CAGATTCGATATTCTCGTTGATGGCTACAATAGTCAAGATAGGAATTCAGTTCGTTATTATCTTCTATTCCGAGCCCGTGACAAATACACACAAAGAGAAGGAGAACAAAGAAAAGAAACCGGTTTTCAGATGGCCTTCGGCTGCGTGCATGTGATATCAGATTTGTCTGCAGAATGGATAGATGGAATGGGTGTTTTGATTGGTGGGATAAATTGCAGGTGGTCTTTGTTTCTGCGAGGCTGTTAGCGTGGTTAGTCGGTGTACGATGACTATGGGGGGGTTGTATGGGTGAGGCTTAGGACTATGGGCTGCGGAGAGAGGGTGTATGTATGTATGGCTTGACTAGATTGAGTACGGGGTATGGAGTACCCCATACGGCCGAGTGTAGGGATTTACAGAGATGTTGTCGTGCATACATCAATAATCATGATAATCGATGATGGTAGATAGCATTCTGCAGACTCAAGTAGAGGTGAGGTGAAACTCGATCAATTCTGCAGACATACCCAGTCCACACTAGTATGTAACCGACCGACTAGGCATCAAGATATTATATTTCACCTCTACTCGCTTTTTACTGTTGTCTCCGCAGAGCAGACAGAGTAGCATGCCTCGCATCTTCACCGTACTTTGGCTACTGCAGTCTCTGCGCGGGGGTATGCCTTGGTGGGACACTGCAGAGAGATTGGCGGTAGGTATGTGGTTTGTGTCGAGCGGGCTGATATTGATAAGATGGCTGTCAGTTCTGCTAGATAAAATGGTGGTGATATATCCATTTGATATCGAGATGGGTATTTCTTCCGTTGCGCCGAGTACTTGTACGGAGTATAGTAGAATGTCAGAACGAACTCGAGAATCAACTAAAACATCACGAGACCATACTCCCATACTCACAACTAAGACATACATACACACCTGTTCACCTCCAAGTACACCGTCTCTCCCCTCAACTCGACCCAACCTCGGCACGAAATCAGTCCAAAGTACAAGCAGAAGTACTCCATCAAAGACAAACACCATACCACTCGTACATAACGCACTAAGCATGCACCGCGCATAGCTAGCACAGCACCTCTATCCCGGTATTCGGTATCCAGAGTATGACAATTACTCAACCCATCACATCACACCTCATTACATATAATCTCATATCACTTCTTCTGTCGGCTAGCGCAACCAGGATTTTCGAGTAGTGAATACTCCGTTCTCCGTACGGACTTGCGGACTTGTACAGAAAAGTACATGCCAACCATGCGAGGCGCCACATGCCTCTAGACCACAAGCAAAGCGCGGTTGTTCTGTAATAGGCAGGCCGTACTTGTACAGGTACTGTAGACTTCGACTGAGGGTGATATATCACCCTCCATATCTTCTTTGCATACAAGTAACAAACTCTTTTTGCCCGGCCAATCGGATGGTGTCCAGAGTAGAGTTAACGAAACTAAACTACTTGTAGGTTGATCTGCGGTTTCTATTCTAGACCTTTTTGAACACTTGTATGGTATGGTATGTATGTTTGTGTAACATACGCTACTGCGCATAGTCGATACCAGTAATGTGGAGTCAGGCAGGATTCTGTACAGTGGGTGAGAAGCGGATAGCGACATTAGTATGTATTATTATAGTATTATTGTCATGAATCTAATCTAATTCGTATTATTCATGGAATATTTCTCGACAGAAATGGATTGATCCGTCAGATTCGGATCAAACAAACAAGTTGGTTCGTACAATGCCTCCCAACCCAACCAGCGCACACCAGCCATGCAATATTATTCAAGAGGAATGATAAGATGCAATAGACAAAAGAAATGAAGAACACGGAGTTTTACAGGACAAACGCCTCAATGCGCCAACCGGGCCAAGCCGGTGTATCTGGATCAGAACAAAGGAAATCACAAAGGAAAGTAGAAAAAGAAATATGCAATCGAGTCACAAAGGAAAGGCAAACAAAGGAAAGGAATGGGTATCATCGTTCGCTCACTCAGTCAAGTCACTCACTTACTCGTCCCAAGCATCCACACTCATCTCCCGAGTATCCATCGGGTCCTCCAACTTGGAACCATAGATAGGACGGCCATCGGGAGTGAGTTGACCCCGGAAGTCGGGGTCGAAGTCGGGGCTGGTCTCGTCCAGGGTCGCAACGTACCTGTTGCGACCACCCCGTTTGCTGTGGGTCTTGGTGTAATGAGCGTTGAGGTTGTCACTGCGTGAGAAGGCCCGATGGCATACCGGCACCCAGCACACATGCGGCTTTTCCTGCGAGTGGCTCTTCATATGCCGTTTCAGGTGCTCCTGACGCTTGAACCGGCCCTTGCAGCCTGGCTCCTTGCACTTGAACTGAACCTGCTTGATGATCGGCGGTAGGTTGTCCAGAGTAAAGTTGTTCTTCGACGACTTCTTGCTGAGCTTGCGCGATGGCTGGCGCGATGGACGGGGCATCCCATCGCGGTAGGGAGACAGAGGGAAGTCCTCGTGGAAGTCTCCTGCGCCACCCGATACATGGCTCATCGGCGTCTCTGTCCCCGATGGGGTGCCCAATGAGCAAGAGCGGACGGAGGTCGTAGGTGTTTGCTTAAAGGCGTTGAGCGAGGTGGGGAAGTCAGAGTACGACGGCGGTGGTGTGGCAGGCACTTGCGAGAAGGCCTGGGACGGTGCGATGGTTTGGGGAGCCATAGACTCGGTAGGCGGCATCCAGTGCAACATGTTGCCCATGGACATCGAGCTGGACATGCGCTCAGGCTGGCTGAAAATGGGTCGCGATAAGCATGGGTTGGTGGCCGATTCCGGGAGATAAGGTGCGTGACGGTAGTGAGTGCGCGCCATGGTCGGGTAGGATGCCATGCCAGAGGGGTATTGCATCCCATGGGGGTTCTCGTACGTCTTGGACATGTCGGATGGAATCCAAAACTGCTCGACATTCTCGTCATAGCCTGACAGATATTCAGGCATGGGCATGCGGTCCTGGGTGTCCAAGGCGTACGGCATAGCCATGGAATCACCCGTCGTCGCAGTCATGTCAGCCAGTCGAAAAGCGCTGCGCATTGGCGTAGAACCCGTATGTCTGTCGTAGTGTTGATTAGGGTGGACAGAGAATGAACCGCCTTCGTGCCATCCGGGCGAAGTCAACGATGTTTGGCTGTACATGCTGGTTGGGGTTGGTGAATCAAGCGGCGAGAAGCTGGAAGCCATTGAGGGGCATTCGCTGGATCCCAAGGATGGGCAGTCAAGTTCTAGAGGCAAACGGTCCGCGATAGTACTCTGAGATCTCATCTCGTCGGTATCTTCGATGGTTTCGAGGTCCTTTCGAGGGATCGGTTCAACCTGGGCGCCTGTGCAGGACGATTTAGTCACTGACCAGTGCAGAACAATAGTATTATGATTATGCAGGTCGCAATGGAAGTATGCAGTAACCAAATAATCAGGATAAGGAATGTTTGTCAAGTTGGGAAAGGGCGAATGTGGGAGAGAAAGGAGTGAAGAGTGCAGAGCGACAACGAAGGACTGCAGTGTAGTACAATCAACCGAAGGAATGAAGGACAGTGCAGGCGGGTTGAAACGCAACGCAAAGAGAATGGATAAAGCACAAGTAGATAGGAGAGAAATAAAGAGACACAGAGTGATAGAGAGAGAAAAAAAAGAAAGGAATGCTAGGCCAGGAATGGAGGACAAACGAGAGATGAAATAAACAGACAGCTCAACCCCGAATAGGACAAGCCGGGCCGATCACACACAACGACAGTATAGACAATAGTTCACTTACCCTCGTATGCCATTATCTTTCTGGTTCGTGTTTAGAACTCTAAACAGTGAACAAAAAAAAAAAAAAAAACGCGATGTCGCGTGTCTGGGAGAGAGAAACCGAAAGGTCCAAGTGAGACCTTGAATGTTACGGTATGTCGAGTATAGAACCCAGTTCCTCGAGTAACGACGATAGAACTGGAACAGCGCCTGGATCGCGGTTTAGGACAGTAGCCCTTCGAAGACCATGCGCGTCGTCGTAGGATAGTGATCGAGAGTCTCAGTTTGCTCAACGAGGGGTAGAGTAGGATAGTTATAATAGACGCAGGAAGGAAGAAACAGTCGCAAGGGGATTATATAGTATAGATATAATAGATGTTGTCTTGGATGAAGTCGAAGGGAGGAGTGAAGACAGGATAGAAAGACAAGAGGATGAAGGGAGATTTATATTAAGAGAGATTGATTCGAGAATGCAGTATAAAAGAAGACGTTGAGGTAAGTCAAGAGTGGTTCGAAGATGAGAAAGAGAGTTCGCGACTACAGCCAGACAGAGAAAGACACGCCTTATCCCTCACTTGGGGAAATAATATCTTATTTTTTTTTTAAAATAAAAAATTTAAAAATTAAAAATAAAATAAAAATAAAATAAATTATAACAATAATTAATTTGCAGTGGATCATCCGCATCAGACTTCGTGCTGTGTCTGTGTGTCTGTATGTATGTATGTGTGTCTATATGTGTGTGTATGCACTAATGTGTGTAGAAAGAATGGGGAACAACATCACTGGAATGCTCAATCTTCGAGTCCACCAATGACATATATGATATCGTATCTATTCTATGCAGCCGCACCGAATCTCCATTTGCCCCATTCCAAACCGTCAGTTCGCTTGTATGTACTTCGTACTAGTACCTAGTATACACATAGGTCCACGATCGCCGGCGATCCGGTGGAGACCAAATGGCCGAAACAAACTAAGAATTACTCAAATTCCCGTTTGGGAGGAATAATAATGAGTTTAGCAGTAGGGATGTTGATAATCGAGATAATGATGCTGGGAGTCTCTCCCCCAACCGCTTAAAGTCCATAATCGCTCGATAGCCTTACAATAATAATAACCACCATCTTTCAGCTGTACTGCAGTATGGCATTCTGTGGTGAAAAAAAATATATATATATATATATATTAAAAAATTAAAAATTAAAAATAACAAAGCGCCACTCATCTAGAACGCAGTGACAATACCATTTAGTACCACTCTCCCTCATTGTGCGTTGCTCAGGTTCCAGGCAAGACAGCATTTTTCGCGGAAGTCGATCCCCGGTTCCAGCTCCAGATTCTGGCAGATCAACAATGGCTGGGGGACGATTAGGCCCATTGCTCATTGCTGCACACCTGGGACTTTGTCCACCTTCCACAGCAGCAGGCATCTTGATTCGGACCAACCAGCTCCCATCCTGCCAGGCCAGAATGACTACTCGTGTGTCGCATTGTTCTCGCCACATAGCAATAGTGAAAAGTGAAACGAGCCAGAGACATCACGTCTCGGTTACTACCAGCCTCTTTCTCTCCAACCTACCCCGTACTCTGATGGAACAAGACAGTCTATTTGCAGGGATCGACTGTACATAATACGTACAAGTACTCCGTACTTACCGATCGGATGCACATCACAAAAGGAACAAGAACCCAGGAGAAGAACAAGATCTTCGTCACCGGCAAGCCTGCCGCACCTATCACAGATCCCATCGGGAGAGTATACACCTTCATAGTACCAAAGTTAAAACCACCCGGGGAGTATCCACTGCGTCAGAAAACGCTTTGACGCTGTCTGTGTGTATGTGTATGTGGATTGGAATGTGGAGAGACTCTTGATTAGGAAGTAGACCGTCGTACTCCGGTAGTTGTACCAAGACCAGCCTCTCGGATCGCATTGTGACTAGCCGGAAGACCTCAACGGCTTCGTTTACTAGATTTCTACTATGATCCTGTTTAATTAAGTCGAAGAAATTAAAGAGGGAAAATAACGATGGAATGGAGACGGAACGATTGGATAGACGGTATTTGGTGCTCTGGCCTACCGCCGGGTCTGACCTGTCATGAGCCAGTCGCTATGCAGTTGGACCAGTCCATATCGTATTTGGCTTATCATATCCAAGAATAAATTCATCCGAAGCATAATACATACCAATCAGCGTGGGGAAAAACAACGACAAAATATTCTGTATGAAGGAAGAATAATGAATTGTCTATTTGTGAGGTCATCGTGGCATGCCCATTGTCTCTCACGAGTCCTTCTTCTATATGCCTGGTTGTCTGTATTACGCAGCCTGATCGGGTAGTGCCTCGTGAGCGGCTAGATCTCGACACGGTGTCTCTTTTCGTTTCTTTTTCTTCTGATTCCTTCCAGGTACTCCAGTGCAACGCTTCCAGACCCGATCATTGATGCAATGTCACGTTCTCTTTCCAAGGAACTGCCCTCGTCAATCTGAAGACGCATGAAACAAGCAGAAGATGTGTGTCACATTCCAAGGTGCGGTGTGTCTATACCGTTCTGTACATTAACAGAACTAGATCACGACTTGGACAATGTGAGCTCTCTTTCGTGTGATCTTGCCAGAACACTGCCGAACACGAACAGAACGATGATCAGGGGATCTGCTGACGTTGGTTTGACAGCTCTCACGGTTCTAACTTTGGCCTCCACCGGGGACGGAGTACTCCCGATTCTGCATCCCCTGGAATCCTCGACTCGTCTCTTTCTGAAGATATTCGATAGTGTATCTTCTCTTGTAGCGTATAGCGTATAGCGTATTACCGGGGTATGCAGCGCTCTGTACTCCGTCAATCTCCATAGAGAACTATGTACATGTACAGGATACGGTACAGGATACGGATCGGCCAGCCCTGTGGAGAGAGGAGTCTGAGACCCGCCTGTTTGTCTGGCTCTCAGGTCCACTGTGGCTGATTATTACCATCAGCCACTATAACGCCACCTATGCGGACAATTCACCGCCATCAATATTGATCTTCACATATACATAGAGTTATAGACAGACAGACGTGGGAAATAGTTCCTTTCTCGATGAATCCTGTCGCATGGCAAATGGGATCTGTCTACTATGACAACCCAATCAATGCGAGTCATTCTACCCCGAATCTAATACCCGTCGTTTTCGCATGGATGACGTTGGCTATATTGATATTTTAATATATATTAAGGAGCGCTAGTGATCGTTTAGGTACCGATTTTGACAAGCGATCAGCGCGTCAAGGTAACGGCCTAAGCGAGAACTATGCCCAAGTATTGGCCAGATGCGAACCCGCAAGGATGGCCCGACTGACCCCAGGTTTTCCTGGTTCTCGTCTCCGTCCCTGCAGTCCAGAGGCAGGGACAGAATCCTGACAAATTCTCACCCATGGAACAGAAACACTCCCCTTCCAACTTTGCATTCAATATATTGGCCAGAAACTTCAATCTCACCGTCTTCTCTTGTGCCTGTCCTATCAGGGCGGGCTGCGTTTGGACTACAGCTATACCGGCCAGCCTTGCCCAGATCGATCGCCGTCATGTGCGGATCAAAAATCAGGACAACGCATTCTACAGTAATCAGAGCAGCAAGGGCGGGTGATCCTCATACATTGACAGTTTTACGTTTTTTTTACCGCTAAGTATACTCGGTCCTCGAGTGAATTCTGTAGAGTCCTCTGTACTCTGCGCAGTGCTGTCATGTACATTCTCCGGAACGATGAACAGCATCCCGACATTCCTCAAATGCCGGTATAATCATCCGTCTTTCCAGATTCCAACATCGTCACCATCATGGTCCCCGACGCAGGAGCATATGCAATAGCAAAGTTTAAAGATGAGCACAGATGTCCAAACAGGAACAAACTGATACCCTCAGCCAGCCATTGTTTCACTAATATTAATCTACGATAGCATTCTTCCTTGTCTTGGCATGGGAATGGTTCTGACGCTGATCCTCCGTACATACATGGGAGTACTCCGTACAGCTACATGCTAATCTCAAGCCTGGAACCATTGCATGACCTGCAGAAACTCCACTAACGAAACGAATCACGGTTCTCTCGGATCCACCGACGCACAAACCTCGACCGATGGGAGGCTTGACTGGGGTTGGCTTGATATTGGCGATAGCTTACGATCTATTGGAGAGCCGACCGTTAACGGTTGATCGTGGAGTATTCTGTAATGCCCTGAGCGTCTGGAGTTGGCATACAGGCAAAGTAACGATCTACTTGAACCATGATCTGCAACGATGAAATGAAAGTGAAACACTCTCATGCGGTTTCACTTCTCTACCACATTAACCCCATAAACCCCTTGTCTTTCATCATCGTAGGGCTCAAATTGAGCCGATTGCACCCCGAAACCCCGAAACATCAACCGAGGTCTTTTGTCTCTCCGACTTTTTAGACCCCTTGCATACGATAATTTCTCTTCCAATAATTTCGATTTGAGTTGCATTGCATCTGCAGCGCGTTGCATCCCTCCCACCGACCCATTGATTTGCTGTTTTCAATAGCGCCTTTTCGGTTCCTGGTACCTGGATCTTTTCTCGTGCGGTGTGGCTATCCATCCCTGCCTACCTGCGTTGTCACCCAACGGTTATTCCTCCTGGAAGTAACAATACTATTGTTTTCAAGATACCGTTATTAGATATTTATTAGGTCCTTGCACTGACGCTATGATGTCATTTATTTATTCCTTTATTAACAAGTACTCCGTACTCGCTCTGGCCATGCCATATGGCCGCATCAGTGCTTTGCAGAAACAAACAAACCAACAAACACCCCCTCTCCCAGCATGTAGCAGATTGACTTCCTCCGCCTAACTGGCCAAGCCCATGCATGCATACATACATGGTACATGAATATATACAGATAATTACATGATGCACATACCAAGCACGCCCTGCTCTGCTCTGCTGTTCACCGTCCGTTGCTCGACCGAACATTGTCCGTCCGGCCGGCTTGTCTGATTATTTCGCACTGTGGTGTAGATGTCAATGCGTCTTAGCGGTCAGACCTGTATGGCACTATCGAGTGGAAACCGGTTGAGGGACTGATTATATGTAGAGGATGCATATGTGTATGTGCATACCTGCGATATCTGCGCGTTCGTTGGTTGGTTGTTGGTTGTATATTCCGTACGGTGGTATTATTGCTACATAGTGAGGATTATGGAGTTGTGGAATGCGGGAAGCTATTTGTCTTAGTTGTCTGACTCGAGTTCTGTGAATGAGTTGTTGATCATCGTTGATGGTATACAGTACTCTGGCATGAGTAGGTGTAGATTAGACAGACCGTCTCTTATGGTACCACATGATAAATGACATACTAGTCGGTCTATCGCTTTTGAGTTTTTGTGTTTGTCGGGATAAGCGACTCGCTCTGTTGTATCTTGTTGCCTATAGCAGTTTAATGTAGACGAGAGAGTCCTGGTAGATGCGGTATACACAGACGGTTATTCTCAGCATGAATGCAACCTCATTTCTGATCCCACTAGCAGCCTGTCAGATGCTGTGCATCCCGGCCCAGGGTCCTATCACGCTTATCTCAACCCATCCATGGTTCAAACCACCCAGTTCCTGGTCCCTGAGCGGCAGACAAGCAATCGAATGTTCGGAAATAGCCGTGTGCTAATCCCCGATCAGGAAATATATGTCGGCAGATATAGAGAGCACTTTCTTTGCCGACGAACCCCAGATCCCCATCTTCTCCTCTTCACCATCTTCCCCGCTGTAGTCTAGTTCGTTCTGTTCCAAATGTGACGTTGTCAAGGTAAAGTTCGTGCTCGTGGCAGAATCCCCTCATCGACTTTCATGTGTCGCGCGGGATAATTCCGTTCAATTCCTCGGCAGAGCCATTGAGTTTGGTTATATCAACCATCGAGTCCCAATAGAATCGTTACTAGCATGCCACGATAGCTCTGCTACATTCAATACCAAGCATGAAGCTCTCCAGCATCCTGGCCATGGGCCTGATCACCGCCACTCAGGCTGTTCCCACGAATCGGAACCAGCCCAAGAAGCAGCCGAACTTTATCTACATCATGACAGATGATCAGGACCTGACGATGAATTCGCCAGCTTATATGCCGCATGTCCAGGCCAGCATCAAGGACAAGGGAACGAATTTTGCGAATCATTTTGTCACCACGGCACTCTGCTGTCCGTCGCGGGTTAGTTTGTTAACGGGGAAGCAAGCGCATAATACGAATGTGACGAATGTTTCACCGCCATGGGGTTTGTTTTTTTTTTTTTTTTTTTTTTTTTTTTTTGATTTAGAGGGATTTAGTACTGATGGTTGATACAGGTGGATATCCCAAGTTCATTGAACGAGGGTTTAACGAGGACTTCCTCCCCGTTTGGCTGCAGAATGCTGGGTATAATACCTATTACACGGGGAAACTCATGAACGCGCATAGCGTCGACAATTACAACACTCCCCATGTGAAAGGATTCAACGGTTCCGATTTCCTGCTCGATCCATACACCTATTCCTACTACAACTCCACCTACCAGCGCAACCATGACCCTCCTGTCAGCTACGAGGGACATTACACCACCGTCGTGACCGCAGAGAAGACACTGGGATTCTTGGAAGATGCGTTGGCAAGTGATAGGCCGTTTTTTCTGGCTACTTGTCCGATTGCACCGCATGCGAATATTGAGCCGGGTGCGCTGGCAGCTGACGGGGATACGTTGATGACTGCTGCCATTCCGGAGCCGAAATATGGGGGTCTGTTTCAGGATGCTAAGATCCCTCGTACGGAGAATTTCAATCCGAAAGATGTATGTTGATTGTCTGCTGCAGAAAGAAGTAAGCTAACACATACAGCCAACCGGAGCAAACTGGATCAAAACCCTTCCCCTCCAAAACCAAACCATAATCGACTACGAAGACCACTATTACCGCCAACGACTCCGCTCTCTCCAAGGTGTAGACGATCTCGTCAACTCATTGATCCAACGTATAGAAAGCAGCGGCCAGCTAGAAAACACGTATATCATCTTCACATCCGACAACGGATACCATATTGGTCAACACAGACTGGCACCGGGCAAGTCCACTGGTTTTGAGGAGGATATCCGGGTTCCTTTTTTTATTCGCGGACCGGGTGTTCCTGAAGGTCGTGTTGATAACACGGTCACAACGCATATTGATCTGGCGCCTACGTTTTTTGAGCTAGCTGGGATTCCGCTGAAGGGGGATTTTGATGGAACGCCGATGCGTGTTGCTGAGGAGTCGAGGGGGATAGTGCATGAGCATGTTACGGTGGAGTACTGGGGGAGTGTGCCTGTAGAGGGAGAGTTTGCCAGTGTTGGTGAGTACACATCCAGAGGTTTGATTAAGACAGGATTGATGATTTGTAGCATCACCACCAGGCACGAAACGAAACACATACAAATCCATCCGCATCCTAGGTGAGGGATACAACCTCTACTACTCCGTCTGGTGCAGCAACGAGCACGAGCTTTATGACCTAACGGTACATTCCCTCTATCTTAAAATTTCTTATACCTAACTAACAAACCAGAACGACCCCTACGAAATCCAAAACCTCTACCCCGGCCAATCCGCAAACACAACCTCAACAGATCCACACCTCTTCAACCGAGATCTATCCACCCTAATCCCCCGCCTAGACGCCCTCCTCATGGTCCTGAAATCTTGTAAGGGGAATACATGCATTAAGCCGTGGGATGTCCTACATCCGGATGAGTCTGTTCAGAGTCTGAGTGATGCAATGGATGAACAGTATGATCGGTTTTATGAGGAGCAGCCGAAGGTGAGTTATAGTAAGTGTGAACAAGGGTATATTATTGGGTCGGAGGGGGCGCAGGGTGTTTTGAATTGGGAGGCGTGGATGTGATACTGATATGGGGTGTATATGACGGTTGCTGTAGATAGTTATGATCAGTGATGCCGTATGTCAGGTACAAATCGACGCCGATCAAGCGATGATCTGATCCGATCCGGAGCAATCATCAACATCAGATCGATCCTCGATGATCGGTGGCAAGTAGTGTGTACTAGCAGTACTTGTATAATCTCCGATATAGGATCCTCAATATCCCGATCCCATACATCGCACACATCACAACTCCAGAACCAGCAGTATCGTTCAATCAATCACCTCTTGATAAAAAAAAAAAAAAAAATTAAAAAAATAAAAATAAAAAGAAAGCAATACAACGCGATCCGATACTTGTCTCAAGACATCACATCACAATGCACATTGTCCAATACCGCTCCCTAATTGGCCACTCCAGAAACCAAACTATCTCGGTGATTTACTCCCATCGGTGTACTCCGTTTATCCATACTGCACAGCTACAAGTAAAGTATCCAGAGATAATCAATCGTTGCGGCACGATCCGATGAATCCTCCTTAGCTCTATCAATCGTCAAATCAGCGCGCGGATTGGACACATGTGGTACAAATCTCCGACACTACCGGAGACTGGTATAGCTTGGAATCTTATCAGCTAGAGCAATATAAAAGGTCCCTTTAACCCAGCCAAGCCAAGTAGACCAGAAACAAGAAAAATTGGAAATAAAAGAAATCAAAATGCACAAGTCTCTGCTTCCACTCGCGTTTACTACGGGCACCCTGGCAGCCCTGCAACCCTGCCCCTCAGACCTCCCTCTCAGCTGCCACAATATCACTACCATTCCATCTTCCGATGCCTGCTGCTTTAACGCCCCCGGTGGTACACTCCTCCAGACGCAATTCTGGGATTACGATCCGGCGACTGGTCCGAGTGATTCGTGGACGATTCACGGTTTATGGTACCTGTCCCTGTTCCTACATTGTTTATCCAACGGATGAAATGGGCGCTAATGTTGATGAAAAAGGCCCGATAACTGCGACGGCACGTACCAGCAATACTGCGATACTTCCCGAGAATACACAAACATCACCTCGATCCTTCAGAGCCAGGGACGCGATGACCTGCTGTCGTATATGAAGACGTATTGGCAGGACTACGAGGGTGACGATGAGAGTTTCTGGGAGCATGAGTTTGGGAAGCATGGTTCGTTTACTTTTATCTACGGAGTGAGGGAAAGGGGGGCTAACGATGATATAGGAACATGCATCAACACGATCAAACCATCGTGTTACAACGATTACTCTCCGCAGCAGGAAGTCGGTGATTACTTCCAGAAGACGGTGGATTTGTTCAAGGGATTGGACACATACAAGGTGTGTATTTCTATACTCTCAGAAAAGGCTATTGCTAATTCGTTATTTGTAGGCCCTCGCCGACGCAAATATCACCCCCGATAGCTCCAAGACCTACAAGCTCAGCGCTGTCAAGAAAGCGCTTGCTTCGCTGCACGGAGGCTATGAGCCGCATATCGGCTGCAGCGATGGGGCGTTGAGCGAGGTGTGGTATTTCTTTAATATCCGCGGGAATGCGATTGATGGGGAGTATGAGTCGACTGAAACGCGTGGGTTTTCCCTTTCTTTGATTGTTTTGAAGGGTATATCTGCTAACTGGGTCAAGTTTCTGAGACGCAATGCCCTGACACTGTCAAGTATCCGCCTAAGAGTTCTTAGGTGTAGTTGGTGGGCTGGATCGGGGTGACCGTGTCAGCCTGGTTAGGCTGTGTATATAAGTGTAGTCTTCCGTCAGATCAATTAGATAAGACATCATACTAGGCATGTCCTGGTAGCGCCTGTACGTTGAACGGGTTCATTCCAACGTAGTGTAGCCATGTCTTGTACGGAGCAGACCAATAGTCTAGCAGTATCGATTCTGACTCCATCCAACAAGCGATGCCTTGGGTCTGGCGGTATCAAGCCAGAGACTGGAAGAACGTTTCAGTTCTTCATGATCTTTACGACCATCTTCCCGATGACCTTCTCTTTCATCCCGTACAGCGATCAGGATCCTTATCGGCATGCACGAGCAATCGCGACTGTGAACCTCAGACACACCGTTATAGCCCCCTCAACCTCACATTCCTCCTCTCCTCCTCCTTCTTCGCATCCACACGGTCCAAGAAGTCCATCCGACCAAGATATCCCTCCTTCGCTTTGCTGTGCACCGTAAGCTCGTCCTTGATCCCAGCCTGATCCACATACGCAGCCCAATCCAGCCGCGACTTCTCGACAGTGTTGATCTTCGGACCCCGTGCGTCCTCCGTCGCTTCCGCAACTGGATGCTTCTCCCAGCTCTTCTTGATAGCACCGGTCGGGTTGGGGTCAAATCGCGAAACCTTGCGAAGCGGTCGGCGGAGCTTGAGGACGGCTTTGACGTTAGCGGCAGCTTCGACGTCGGCTGTTGTTACGGCGTCGACGTTCTCGCCTTGGGCGAGGAATATCTTTGCTTCGGCGGAGTCTTTGGGGACGACTTTCTCTTCCGTGATCATTTCGCCGGCGAATTTGTAAGTGCGTTTGATTTTGACCATTTCTTCTGGGTATTTGGGTGGTTGCTGTGGTTCTTTCGCTACCGGTGTCTCCTGGGCGGCTTCGTCTTTCTTCTCTTCCTGCGCTGGGGTATCGTCGACCTTTTCGGTATGTGTAGGAAGCGCGACGGTGCTGGGATCGGTGGCGTTCATCTTCTCCCATAGCGCGTTCACGTCGACTGTCGCGCCGTCAATTTTCGCAAGTGGTTTTCGCTCTTCTTGTCTGTACAGAGTCAAAGTCAGTATCCACGTACATGAAGCACAATATTGTCAAACGTACGTCCGCATCTTCATGGCCCTCGTTCGAACAAACCCCCCAGTACCACCCTCGTCCTCATCATCAAAGTCAACTTCTTCTTCTTCCTCCTCGTCCTCATCTTCACCACCGCCTTTCCCTTTAGCTTGTTGTCCCTTTTGCTTCCTCTGCTTCCTGTCCTTGGCCTTCTGAATGGTCGCTTCGTCGCCAGAATCCAACTCCTCTTTATGCCCATCCTTTGTCACTTTCTTCGCCTTTGGTGCTGTCTTGCGTTTCTTCTTCGCCGGCTGTTGAGCTACATCGGGCTCGGGTTCGGAGTCTGAGGATAACTCGGATCCTTCGTCTTGCGCTGCGTCTAGTTCGAAATCTTCATCTTCGGCGGAGTCGTATGGTTCGTCGCCGAGTTCGAGGTCGACGTCTTCCGGTTTCGCGGACATGTCGCGTCACAATACGTTCTCTCGTGTTATGATTGGTTAAAATCGAAAAGCACAAAGCAATGGAATATCAGCTGTGCTATGTAGATAGTGCCCAGGAATAGATGCGATGGAGCGCGAAAGATATTCTGCCGGGCGGTGTATATGATACGCGCTCTCTGTCCAATGAAATGCATCAAAAACTGTGGAGACCTGTTGTAGACACGCTAAGCCGAATACGGACACAACTCCAAGCAGATCTCGAGATGAAAGCAAAGTTCCCAGTAGCAATCCAGATGCTTTTCCGAATTCAATAGAAAAAAAAAGTTATGCGGTCAGATTAGTGATATTCCTCGGTGCCGTATGCACACGCCGACGTCTTTAATCGGGCCGACCCGAGCTCGGTCTCCTCACTGCCGAGGTTGAGGGGTTGGGGTACATAGATAACTATCTCTCATCTTACCGCTAGATTCGTTGGACCATCTGGATTCATCAACTTGACACTGATTCATCACAATGGCACCAGCTAAGAATGTTGCTCTGGTAGTCGGTGCCTCGCGTGGCATCGGCCGGCAAATCGCCATAGATCTAGCTAAGAATGGCTACGCTGGTATGTTCATCATCATTCATCACGGACTCGAGTGGAAAAGACAGCAAAGCTAACAAGTCAGTCGTCGTGGCCGCCAAAACCACCTCCAACGCATACGAAACCGTTCCCTTCCCACCAAACCCGAATTCCTCAGAATCAACCATCAGCACCGTCGAGCGCGAGATCCGCGAATCCGGCGGTGAAGCATCCGCCCTCCCCGTGGACGTGCGAGACGTCGCTCAAGTCGAGAATCTAGTACACGAAACAGTCCGTATATACGGGAAGCTGGATGTCTTGGTCTACAATTCGGGGGCGATCTGGTGGTCGTCTGTTGAGAAGACGCCCGTCAAGCGGTTCCAGTTGATGCAGAAGATCAATCCGGAGGGTTTATATGCTTGCGTGCAGGCTGCATTGCCGGTCTTTGGAAGGAATGGATGGAATGGGAGGGTGATTGTTGTTTCACCGCCGATTTATTCAAGGTTCTTCCGGGGGAAGACGGCGTATGCTATGGGTATGTTTGCGCTTTATGTGGCTTTTTGTGCGTCTTACTGACTCGTTGTAGGCAAGGTTGGAATGAGCGTCTTGACGAAAGGTCTAGCGATGGATTTTGTCCGTGAGGGCCGAAAGGAAATGGCTATCACTAGCATCTGGCCGGCAACGGTAAGTCACAATGCACCCATTCATCTTACACCTAGCTAACATGAATCCAAGGCCATCGAATCAACCGCAACAGAAATGGCATCTTCCAATGAAGATAAATCAAACCTCAGGCAGTCAGTAAGTCATCGCCTCCGTTTCCTAAACGAAAAAAGAAAAGGCACTAACCTATCCAGACGATCTTCTCCGACGCCATTCTAGGCATGCTAAACGCACCAGCAGAATCCGTCAACGGTCTTCTTGAACTAGACGAAGATTTCCTGCGCAAGTATTACGGTGTATCAAATTTCTCCAAGTACTCTGTTATCCCCGGGACCAGTCCACGAAGGATCATGCCCAATGAGCTGCCAACGTTGACAGTAGCGGAACAGGATGATGAGGGAACTAGGCTTGATAGTACTGCTTTGAGACAGGCAAAGTTGTAATCTCGGATTCTCCGTACATTTTGGATTTGTTAATATAATGAGAGACTGTATATCAATGACCACTTCTGTGGCTTTTTGTGCGAACATTCAGAAGACACAATATGTCTTGATGTCTTTAGATAAGCAAAGATGATGTCAAATATGAAAGTCAAGATACTGAATAAGATAAGGATACTAGATCAGTCCAGTGAATGTATTAAGACGTATCCAATCTAACTTCTGAACATTCTCCTGCTTTCTTCTCATCCTCTTCCCTTGACAACTTCCCACCATCCAAGAACCCTATATCTATTACTAATATCAATCCCAAAGGGAATTTCCAAGCATTACTGGCATCTCTTATCCAGCTTCTATCCACGATAGATGTCTGCAAGCTCAGAACTGAGAGGAACATGTGATGCTCGTTTGCATTTTGTCAGCCGGGATTGAAACCGGTACGAATAGACATGAAGAGCATATGCAAAACTGATACAACTTCTATCTACTATGACTACAATGCTGTCTGCGCTCCTCGAAGGCCGTTGTCGAAGGAGCTTTTCAGAAAAAAAAAAAAAAAAAGTCGCCTGCGGACTTCAATGTCAGGTCTTTCGGAGGCTCAGACCACCTTGTACAGTGGTTTTTTCACGACATAGTGGGATCGCAGGAAGTTTTCGATGTTAAGGACAATGCCAAAACCACTGGTGAAAAGAATCACTGCCAAATTCCCCATGTGTCCCTAACATTTTCATTGGTGGGAATCCTTATGCGTATACAACGCACATCGTGATCAGAAACTACAAGACACATTTGGCTCAGAACTGCAGAATCGCTTCTCTTCGCAGCCTATCGTATGTCGTTTATACCCGGTTAATGCAGGGGCTGGGACTAACGCCTGAGATACTGGCTCTGTACTCTCTACTTAACGAGAAGATACTTCCGATACTCCCAGGCTTTACATTTCCCTCCAAATTGGGAAGGCTGAAATTGCCAATCGCACTCATGGAAAGACACAAGCTTCAGGGGCACGCATGAAACTTGGGGGTCGGTTTGAGCTTGTATACAGTCCATTTCTAGCAGAGGCTGTGCCAGAGAGAATCAAGATGAGTCATCACTGCAGGTATTCCCTGTCAGACTCAGTCTTTCTGGGCTATGTGCCGCAGTGGCCGATTCCTTCAGTGTGTGCAATTGAAGCGATCCAAAGGGCTTTTGGGAACAACTGGGATGACAAAGACCAGGCTACTGTCACAGGGGGGATGACACACCTACTAGGTCCAACACACTGAAGATGTTCGGGGTGGCATCGGATACACCTTCGCTTGAATTTTTCAAAAGTCAGTTTAGCTTCTCAGGTCGGATCCCCGGTGTATACGGTCCTCAAGAATATCGACGAAGTTGACCATTTCTATTTTGCCGCTTACCGTTCTTAGTCAAGTAAGCCAACCAGACCGTAAAGTGGTGTTCTGTATCTCTTCCCAGGAGGGCGAATACTCGCTTACACTCATGCGAACATTGATTGGAAATATATCTTATCTACTTCTCGGTAGGGATATATTGGGTCCAGAGCCGATTTGGCGAATCGCCAGTACAGGAGCTAAAAGCATTTTGATGCCACTTGTGCGTCTCGCCCTCAAGGCCATTCCATACCTCGACTTTGAGGTCGAACAGATTCTAATCAGAAGCGACTTGCATGATACCACCTATGAAGATAACAAAAAGGGTCATGACCCGATGCCCAGTATACCGCTGCAGAAACCGTTGGAAAAAAGTGTTAGGTCACGCTCACGGGATGGCTTCCTATTACGGCTGCCCTGCTCCCCCTCCACCACCCCCCTATCGCCCTCAACCTCCGCCTGTGTATCGTCCTCGCCTGCACATAATCTTCAGCAACCGCCGGCGTACCGCGGCCCTCTACTTCCGCAAACCAAAGTCCGGGCGGCTACTTCAACGATCCAATAATACGCCCACGTCTTTGCGGTACGTGGTTTTGCATAGGGCAATGGTATGATATCCTTCCGCGTCTGCCCGCCGTAACTTGATTACGCAGAAGATTATATTGGATTTGGAGTCGAAGTTACATGAGATTGGCTACCAGCGCTTCTCATTCTACAGCTAAGGCGGACGGGGCTACATGAGAATGTCATATGTAACAAAAATTGGTCAAGGTGATCTTTTACTGGTCCCACCCAGTCCGATCCCCAGGCCTCTGATCCGTCATTACTTCTTCGAGCGGAGGGACGAAAAAGGTGTATTCCCTTGCTGAGAGCATGTAGCATATGGATCATGTTGGAAAGACAGAAATTAATATCGTTACAAGAATATTGAACAATAGAAGAATAAAAGTTCTACAGACTTCAGGCTCAAAGCAGGACAGGAATGACAAACAAGGTCATGAATACTCATGGCGTACAAATCTCACCGGAAGTTCGATGCTCCTGGATCTCAGCACACCACTGTGAAATAGTTTCCCGGCACGGCTCTTGAATCTTTGCTTCCTCTATTGGGCTATCATCATCATTCCATGGATCAATCCATGGATGCATCTGAAGCCGTCTAATAATTTCGATATCGGCAGATCCATCATCAAGCCAGAGACCACCGTCAAGACACCTGTGCCAGTTGAAGAGTCGCGATGTAGCCCCCCATGACTGTTCATCACCGGAGCGGCGCGCAGGGCAAGGGAAACTTGACTGTTAGTACGTGATACTAAAAGTTGCCGTGGTAGACTCACTCTTCGGTAGGTCCTCCAGAGGAAGATTGGATATGATGGACTGGACCGGGAATAATCAGATATTGCGCGCTTGCTGGTACTCTCGATCCGAACTTCAAATTTCAGTATAGAGTCCATGGAATAGGTCTGTGCTTGTGACCAATATGTGTCCTAACATCCAGACTGAGATTCATAACGGTAGTTGTGCCGAAATGGGGATCTGGCGACCATGGTGGATGTACATTTTGTCGATGAACAATTTGTTGACAGAAATATGAGGTTTGGAATTCATCCGCCCGGGGGAGTATCGACTCCGCCAATCCGTCCGAATGATATCCCACCTGAAGGAACGATTGCAACGTGTTTGTCAGAAAGCCGGCAACTGTACAAAGAGGCGGTAGGCTCCGAAGGGCCTCTGTGATGAACGGCATTTCCTGGTGGCTGCAGATTACAGCAGCCCACAAAGACTCAAGTGAGGCTTCAATTATGTGATCGCGTTCAAGAGCGACTGGTTATCGATTTCATCCGTTTTGGAAAGAGCCTTTCTTATACCTGAAGATGCGGCACCAAGAAGATTGCACGGGACGGCTGGATCAAGAAATGCACTGCAGAGCAAGGAATCGAAAGCATCTAGAATGGAACTGAGGAAGAGTAATTTATCCATTTATTAGGATAAATACTTCTTCGTTCCCAGAGTATCTCCTTCCTTCTGTAGCATCCATGGCGAGTAAGAGAAACGCTTTTTATACGTCACCCAAGCCACCCAGCCGCTTTGCGTGATCATATCCCAAAAAAGAGTTCGCTTTTTCTGGATCATGCAAGATCCGACTCTTATGACCTGCCTGCTGAAGTATTTCCACCCAGCGGCACGAGATTATGTATGACCAGGCCAGAGCTATACTGATGAGATACCCAGAGCGGAGAGGAGCAGCATGAATTGGAATAGCAATTCGACATTGCGACTCGTCCACCACTTTATAGACTGCAGGCCTGAATGCAAGGAACTGAATATATTCAACAGACTTCTGACGCCGATCGCTACTCTGGGCATCTGTCGTTTCGAGAAGTAGTGTAGACCGCAAGAAAAGGTAATTCGAGCCACCCAAAAGCTTGAGATCATCAGGTGGAGAGTGAAAAAGTGGAGGAACGTCTTTGACGAGCTTCAAGAGAGCTTCAATATAGAAGTAAATAGATTCAGAGCCTTGCGGACGAGCCAAAGCCGCACTTTTCCAGATATCGAAGCTCAGTTGCTGGCACGCGTCGAATTCAGAAGTCGATGGACCTGCCCAACAACCAGCTTAGGCGAATCTTCACCCATACTGTGTCTGTATTCGATCAACAAAACCAGGACTGGCTTGGATGGGATTTTATGAGAACGTGGACGGAAGCAGCTGGCAGGATGTGACTGATCTCAAAGAGAACGCCTGGCAACCATTTTTCTATTCTTTCTGCCAGAGCCTCCGCCCCATGACAGTGAATTTCGCGTTCATGTCCTCCAAAATCGCAGATTCGCAGTCTCTGCCTTTGGCTTCGTCTGACCTTCAGTCAATAAAAACACAGCAATCATCGTCTCGCCTGGCATATAGCAATTCATTCTGGCAGTGATGTACTGTCAAATTCCCATTCCATCTAGGAAGTTGTAGTTCCGATTTTCCCTTTTTAGACAAGTTCGACGTCATATATCACACGTGACCCCCAACCAATAAGAACGCCGCCAAAAACGCAGCCAAAAGCCCCTCCACGGGTCTCCATAAAAAAATCCGCGGGGAAAAGGAAAAGATACGGAACCATTGCAAATGATTCGAGCCTGCCAGACGATATTGACAAGGAAAAGCAGCAGCATTGCTCCAATTGCGTTCGGACTTGGATCGAGATATACATCCAGCATGCCTCTTGAGAAGTTGCAGGGAGTTAAGCTTCCCGCGTCTGCGGATTTTCATGGTGCGTACATTCGGACGAAATGGATTACATTGTTATGGCTCGATGCTGATTGCTGAGGTTAGTTCATCTGCGTGATGGCGATATGATGGAGCTGGTTACTCCCACTATCAGACAGGGAGGTGTGAACACGGTTTTTGTCATGGTACGCAACTTCAATTCGTATCTATTAACATGCAAGAAACAACATGAACGAGTAGATTAACATAAAACCAGCCAAACCTCGTACCACCAATTACCACCGTTGACCGCGCGCTTGAATATAAACAACGCCTGCAAGCCATTGAGCCCAATGTAAACTACCTGATGTCTCTGTACCTCCATGAGGATGTGACCCCGGAGACCATTGTCGAGGCGAAGAAGAGGGGTATCACTGGTGTCAAGAGTTACCCGGCGGGTGTGACTACCAACTCTTCCTCGGGTGTCGTCGACTACTCCGTGTTCTACCCTGTCTTTGAGGAGATGGAGCGTCAGGACATGGTTCTCAATCTTCACGGAGAGGCACCCTCCACAGGCGACGTGACGGTCTTGTCGGCTGAGGAGCGCTTCTTGCCAGTTCTGGGCCAGCTCCACGAGCGTTTCCCTAAGCTCCGCATTATCCTGGAGCACTGCACGACGGCAGCAGCCATTGAGGCTGTCAAGAAATGCGGTCCCACCGTTGCCGGTACCATCACGGCTCATCACTTGTCCATCATCATTGACTCCTGGGCCGGAGATCCGTTCTGCTTCTGCAAGCCTGTTGCCAAGACCCCCGCGGACCGTGACGCTCTCCTCCGGGCTGCGGTATCTGGTGACCCGAAGTTCTTCTTCGGCTCGGACAGTGCACCTCATCCGGCTGCCTCCAAGCGCGGCGGAGACAAGATCGCAGCAGGCGTGTTCACTCAGCCGTACACTACCCAGGTCGTGGTCGACTCTTTCGAGCAAGCTTGTGAGAATGGCGTCCTCAAGGAGTCTGACATCACCCCTGGGATTCTTGAGGGTTTCCTGAGCAAATTCGGCCGGCAATTCTATGGCATCGGTGAGGAAAAGAACGAGTTCATTACCCTGGAGAAGAAAGGTGAAAATATCGCAAACATCCTGCAGTCTGAAAAGTTGGACGTGGTTCCATTCAGACGCGGCCAGGAGACATGGACCGTCTCGTGGTCGTCATAGTTTTCTCTGCCAATTGAGTGACAAACAACGAAATACCTGTCGTGTTTTCTTTTCAAATATTGTTTTCTTACTCCGGCTTATTGTCCCCTTGCGTAAGGATGCTCGTCACAGCTTCGAGAGCATGCGCTTCTGAGTTGCCGATCCGTCGTCCTGCAACAATGGGATCACCATCACTACCCACGGCCAGCTGACCGGCACGCTCCAGGTGAAGCCTGATTCTGCTCTCAATGTATTCCTTTCTCTCGTCCTTCTTCGGGTCTTTCTCCGCCAATTCGGCTGATTTCGGTAGAGTATCCAGCTTGGGACGAAGCTGCTTGAGCATCGCTTGTAGAGCGGGGAGTTGCGATAAGATGAAGGTGGTGTTGGTCGTAAGAGGAGTGTGGTGAGTATTGGGTCCGGTAACGGCACCGACGCGTAGCTGTTGTGCTGCGGAGCTGGACGTCAAGAATGAAAGATCCAAGTCTTTGCCTGCAGTGGCCGTGGAATCTCCATTGTTTTTCGCAGCGGACACAGTCGAAAGGATGGATCGTAATTGGGAAATAACGGCGTCGTTGCGAGCACGCTCTTGCTTCAGCGACCGATTGAGTTTTCTCGTTTCATGTAATTTTTTGCGATGCTCAAGAACCATCTCAGGTGTGGGGGTATCGGGGCCCGGGTTGAAAGAGAGACCCTGTCAAAAGTAACAGTCAGCTAGGCGTCCACAATGAGGACCTTGTGGCAGCTGAGTTGTGCTGCATGATCCAGTATCGCGTACCTCGTAGTGCCTCAATCGAACCCAACTAATCAGATCCTCCGGCACGGTGAGAATGTTTCTCAGCACATAGATTTCGAATTTATCATATGCCTTGTCGACAGTCGATTCGAGCAATGTCTCCAGCTGATGTAGGCCATTTTCGATTTCCAATTTCGCCTCCGGATAGATCACGTTCCCGTCCTCGTCGGTGTCAGGGATGGTAGAGCCGTTGTTGGCGTGCGAGAAGCCCAGGCGTTCGGGAGGTGTACCGAGCAGGCCCGATTCGAGACTTGAGATCGCTTGGTAGATTAGGTTGTTAATTGAGTTTATGACATCGTCTATGAGGGACTAGCGATGGTGTTAGTTATGTGGTTTCTCTTCTATGCCGGTTTGCAAAGATTGTTTGGGGAGCAACGAGCGACGCATGTCTCGAAAAGACACTGCAGGGAAACTCACCAGGGGCGTATAACTGAAGTGCTCAGTGAGCAAAGAAGTAGTCGCGTCATTCATCTTGATAGAATTCAGCCAAGCACATTATCCATGCCCGGCGTGGGAATCAAGCGTGGTGAGATGTCGTCCGATGAAGGACGCGATGCGCGTGGAGTTGCGGAAACAATTGACTTTGTCCCCGCCAACCGCAGAGCCAAGACCAACCATCATAGAATATTTGGGTGCTTTCAGCGATAACTACGGAGTATACCAGACAATGATCTGCTTTACTGGGTAATTTTTTTAAAAGCTTCTGGTGTCTAGCATAATTTGGAGAGATAAGTCTCTGGTCGTTTCTCTATAACTGGGTTTAATGGTCCTCTTATTCAAGGCAGCCCGAGATATATAGTTAGTTATCCAGCGAGATGCAGCCATAACACGCCCGAGTCACCCATCAAGTAAAGAGTTTTTTCATGCACCTGTATTCATCGTAAAAGCCCCAACACATCGCTCTTCTGTAACCTCTACGAGACAATTATGAAGTGTACTATAGAGTAGCCACATTGTATTAGCTTATGTAGTCTAAATTGTAGGTGGCATTTAACAACATCCGATATGGTGTAATGGTTAACATCGCCGTCTCTCACACGGCAGCTCGGGGTTCGATTCCCCGTGTCGGAATTACTTTTTGCTTTTCTTCTTTTTGTGTACTGAATGTATTTTCCCCTTAACCTTTTTTTCTCTCTCTCCTGTTCTTTTTTCTTTCCTTTGCTCATTCATGAGTACTTTCGGCGTAGTAACAAGGTATTGAGTTAAGTGACTCATTGAACAGTCATGCGATGCCATTGACTCATTTGCATAAGCTGCAGGGTTCTGGGGCTATGCTTTTTTCAGTCGTCATCGCAGTTGGATATACGACAATGTACGTAGTACAGTCAAAGCACGGCTGATCGCGAGCCGGAGTAGTTAGCCATGCATTTATATATAAGAGAGGACTGGCCGTCCTCAGAATATCTATTCCTCAGAAAACAACAGATCAAGAATATTGAGCGTCGATATATACCAATCGCATTATCATGGCTTCCCACGCCCCATTGACTCCACCACAGGAGCATGAACTATGCTCCCATGAACTCACCAGCGAAGAGAATAGCCTCACTCCTACGCCGTCGTCGTATAAGCATGCTTCTAGCAAGCAGGTTTCTCGCGAAGCAAGCCCTGCTGCTCCGGAGCCAGCGGACGAAGTATACAGGTCACCGCAATCAACATCAAAAGAACCAGAATCAACGGAGAACAGACTCCGACCGGCAGCAGGTACGGAATATTTGAATAAAAGTCTTCCTGAATCGTATGCTGATCATTTAACTGAAGATGTCATCAACCGCATAATCTGGGATGTCAAATTCGACAGCGAGGACTATATAATCGGATACGAGGACAGATTCAATGGTCGCCTAGAAGCTAGCCTTGGATCCTGGAAGAAGGACCTGACCGATGAGGAGTTTATTCCGCAGCATCGAATCCTGTATATCAAGCGGAAGACAGATGGAGACATAGTGTGGGATAAGAGGAGGAGGACCGACAAGATCTTCTACAGTGGGAATTCGGCATACAGTTGGCTGTCGTTCCTTAGTTAGGATATTTTTGAATGCTGTATGTAATTCGTGAAATCTACCATACATATCTTGGTGCCGTGTACATGTTATCGGGATATCATCTGTCTATATGGCTCCAAGTTCGCAGCCCTAGCTTTCCGTCAGGTCCAGAAAACGGGATATATCAAGAGTGATGCAAGTAATGATCAGTATACCAATAAGAAGCCCCGTTAGAATCACGCTATCGAATTTTTCTTGCGCTTGCTCGTTCCTTCCCAAGCAGTTGCCGTTTTCTGTTGTTGTTGCTATTGCCGTGCCGTCACTTCCTTAGTGGGAAGGTGCCACCCAGACCTTCCCAACCCAGGTCAAATAGAACGGAGACCTCTAACTTCTTCTCTTCCTACTCTCCTGCATCGTACTCCTATCCGTTATTGTCTGCTATAGACACAGACGTCGCTTAGCCATTCCTTGTCTTTATTCTAGCATCGGTTACGATTACTTCATACGATCACATCGTCAACATGTCTTTCTATCGCTTTAGAAGACAAACCTACTCACCAACCTCGTCTACGAGCCTTTCACCAACGAGCCCTGTGATCGAGAACCCCATCACCTTCCAGGCTCTGGCTGCGAGGATGGTCCCCGATGTGAGCTTGAGAAAGAAGAAAAAGCAGCAAAAACCCCTCGTACTGCCATCCATGTTTCTGGAAGAGGATGCCGACGACGAGGATACCCCGCCTCCCAAGCTGGTGCGAGTCCCCTCTGCAGACGAGAAGACAGAGAATGCGTCACGGACGAATGGTGGTGAAGCACAGGCGCGCAGGAACAAGACTCAGTACTACGATGGCATCTTCAACGACCGTGGACCGGAGCATCCTTCCACAAGCTTGCTTACCAATGGCTCCATTGTTGTGGTCGAGATCAAGATAAGCACCAGGGTACGTTGTCTTTCTGCATGATACCAATGCTTCTCAGGACTAATGGCTTGATTTAGGTCAAAGAGGATGAGGCCAAGCTCGTGTCCTATCTGACATCTCGCCTGGCACATGTTTACCAACGGCCTGAGACCTCCATGATGGTCGTTATACAGCAGGACGTCCGCCTTCATTTCGGTAACTCGGCTGCCCCTGCCTATCTGATGAAGGTCTTTGCGCACCCATACCTCATTGCCCCGATCACGAACCTGCGCAACACGATCTTCATCCAGAAGATCCTCCACGAATTTCTCGACATCGCGCCCAATCGTGGAGTGATTATATATGCTTCTGTACCCGAAGAGAATCTTGCGACAGACGGAGTCACGATGTTGGGAGATCTCGTACGTCTTGAACGCGACTCGCGGGACTCGGGTGTCTTCAAAAGCCTATCGCGTTCCATGAGTCGGAAGCTGAAGTCCAATAGCAGCAGCCCACGTCTATCTGTCGTCACATCCTCCTGCGACAAAGCGGATGGATCTCATGAATCAACACCGGTCTCGGACAAAGATGGCCATGTCAAGGAATCCTCTGGCGAAGGCGACCACTCCCAATCAGTCAGAAAGTCCAAGAGCCTGCGTGATTTTGTATATCGCCGGGTTGGAGACCGTGGTTCGGAGGAAGAAACGAAGTAGGGGGTATCATTAGATCGGCAAAGGACTGGCTATGGTGTTTTTCTTGATATTCGCTGTATGGTAGTGCATGGGTACCTCGCTCTTTTGTTTTTGAGCTTCGAATGTTGTTGACAGGAGACGGTTTTAGTTAGCATAGCGAAAAGAATCAATCATTCACTGTGATGTCTTGTTGCCTAGGGCCTCTATATTTAGTCGCTATCGCAGACTGCCACCATCGACTTTCAACTCCCATCAGTTCGTTCAAATGTAGCTGCCATAACCATGTCCACCGTCACGGAGATTGAAGGTGACCTGTTTGATGCGCCAGATAGAGCAGCGCTAATTCGTACGTGATGCCTATTTCAAACGCGACGACGAAATTCGCACTAATTTTATCCATTCACGAGGACAGACGCCTGTAACAGTCAAGGCTCCTGGGGCGCAGGAATCGCAGAGGCCTTTCGAGAGCGAGTAAGCAGAAGAGAACCTAGACTCAGTGATATTTGCACCTGCGCTGGACGCTGACAAGTTCTCTTCTTCAAAACAAACAGTACCCCGCCGCATACGCTGTCTATCGATCCAACTGCCTAAAATACTCTCGTAGAAAGCCTCAATACAAGACCGTCGAACCAACCAACCCCAAAGGCAAACCCGTCAAATCCCGCCTACCCACGGGAACAGCGCTCCTCATCCCGCCCCAAGAGAAAGACTATACAGCACAAGACAATGACGAGGAAGGACAGGAGCGAAAGAAACACTGGATAATCTGCCTCTTCACGTCTCGCGGATACGGGAAGAGAGTTAGTCGTCCGGCTACGATACTGGCGTATACGGAGCTTGCTGTTGCGGATTTGAAGGAGCAGCTTGAGGGGCTTGAGGAACGGGGTGAGGGCGAGGATAATGTTGAGCCGCCTAGGGAGCTGTGGTCTTGCCGGTTTAATTCTGGGCTTTTTGATGTGGAATGGTGTCGTTCTAGGCGGGTGTTGGAGGAGGCGGGTTTGGAGGTTACGGCTGTGAGGCCCCCGGGGGAAGAGCTCTGATTGAGTCTAGAGAGTGTTTGGCCTCGGAGGAATGGGAACAAATGATTTAGTCTCATAGCGCGTAGTAGTCAGTTCCATAGCTGATTTCCTACTTTTGCTATGATATCACATGATGAACTAGGCCCAAAATGGAAGGATATCGGTTTCCAGAACGCGGATCTCTAATCGCGAATTATCCACTCAAACCCAGCCATTTCCCATATAGACACCGGCATATTTACAAAGGAATAGCAGAGCTGTTTCTCTATCGACGCCGCAACCATGCCCGTCGAACGCCAACCCGCCCAAAAACGCCGACGACTCCCCTTCAACCCACCGCGGCGCGCGTCTCCCGGCGAGGGACCCTCGAATCCAGCACCAGCAACAAAATCCAACACAAAAAACACCACAACCACCTCCTCAAGCACCTCAAATCCAAAACTTAAGCGCAAATCAACAACAACAGCATCTTCCTCCCGCAAAAAAGCCCCATCCCCCACCCCCTCCGCCTCACCCTCCGACTCCGCCCCCGAAGACAACAACAACCGCGACCCCTCCGAAGACGAAGAACCAAATTACATGCTCGCGGAAATAATTTACGGCAAGGAATCCAAAGACGTAACGACAAGCGACCCCGCGATTCCGGGGAAATTGCTTACGAGGTTACTGCATCATAACTTCCAGAGCGAGAAGACGAAGATCGCGAAGGATGCGAATGAGGTTGTGGCGAAGTATATTGATGTTTTTGTGAGGGAGGCGCTGGCCAGGGCTGCGTATGAGAGGGCTGAGGGTGGGGGTGGCGGGGGGAGTGTTGGGGATGGGTTTTTGGAGGTATGTTTTGGTTTTTCTGGAACTGAGGTGCTGGGGTGAAACGGTTGCTAACTTGTGTTTTGTTGATAGGTCGAGGATCTCGAGAAGATGGCGCCGCAGCTTGTTTTGGATTTCTAGATTTCGATATCATGATAATTGGGCATTGGTTTGGAGTTATGGAGTTCAAAATAGGCATAAGAAGGCCAGACATATTTGCATATTTATTCTATATGACAATGGTCGAGGGTATATTTGCGTTTTTATCTGCAATTGAACGAGAACGAGCACGCTGAATGTTGTGTCTATACGCTTTTATAAACGCACGAATGTCAAAACTGTACTCGATGAACTCCGTCCCAAACGTCACAAAAGGAGAGACGTCCGTTAATCCATTCAGCCACTCACCAGAGGAGTGGTCGAGGCGTCTGCCAGATCAGCAGAGGGAGCAGCAGAATTCTCAGCGCCAGCGTTCGTTGCCTTCTCTTCAGAGCCGTTTTCTTTAGACTCGTTTTTCACGGCATTCTTCTTCAACTTGAGAGCTCCGTTCTCCAGAGCTTCTTCAGGCAGAGGGCGAATATGAGGCTGGCAAACCCAGAACGGCCTACCATACTGCGCAATGGTGGCCTTAGATCCTGTTAATTGCGCATCAGGCGATTCTGCAAAGCGCTCAGGGAACTGCTCGTATTCGTCGAGACCGCTCTTGACTGCCTTCTCAACAAGAGATAGAACATGTTCGAAGGCAGGCATGTCTCCTGGTCTTGATCTTGCGAGGGCATCACGGACATTTGTGTGCAGGCCAATCATCGGACGCAGGAGTTGGAAAAGGTGTCCCTGCATCACTCCCAGACTGGGCGAGTTGGGCCTTTTGTTTTTGGACTTGGACTGCTTTTGCTTCTTCTTCGGGGGCCCATCTTCGGGTTCTTCTTCTGCGGTGGTTTCCGGCTCTGGCTCCTCCTCCTTAGGATCCGATGGGAGATAGAGAGGCTTTCTTTCGGGACCCGGTGTTTCGAGGACATATTTGTAGATGATGTCCAGATATCGTCGGAGCACTGCGTCTAACCGATAGCCTCCCTTGCCGTTCTCGCCTCTCCAATATTCTCTTCCTTCACTTCCGACTGGAGGAAGTTTGCCGAAGATGGACGGATCGGACAGGTTCCCTTCAGCGCTCATCACACCGTCAGCACCTGTTTCTTCAAGGCAGCGTTCCAGGTCATCGTGGTTCAGGTTGTTGCCGTTTGCGAAGATGACGGTCTCCGGCGGCAGATTGTCACGAAGATACCGAATGTAACCCCAATCTGCCAGGCCAGTGGCGTGTCCCTTCTGTTCCCTTCTGCGTCCATGGAGTGTGATGATGTTCGCGCCAGCGGAGAGGATCATTTTTGCGTATTCGAGTGTTTTCTCTTTCGTTTCCTGGATTCGGAATTTAGCTGTTATAGGTATAGATAGTTCCGTGTGTAGGCGGTTGATGAGTTTATAGATCAGATCCCAGTCTTCCTGCAAGAATGCGCCGTAATTTCCTTTCTTTGCAATGCCCTGAGGGCAGCCGAGGTTCAGATCGACAGCATCACAGTATGGAACCACATGGCGCGCTGCTTCCAAGAAATCCTCGGGGTCATTTGCGCAAAATTGTACGAAGAGAGGTCTGTCGATGGATGGGTTGCCGTCGAGGAACAAGGACTCGTCGTTCTGACCGGCCGCAGCGCGAGTGGGTTGGAAGTGCTGAGAGCGCACAGCGGCCTGCTCACGGAAAAGGCGCGCATGGTACATTGGCGAGTAGGAAAGAAGTCGTTTCGCATCTTCAGGCGACATGAATGAACGAGTGAGCATACGCCATGCCTATTCAAAGAGTACTGTTAGCCCATGACTTGGAACTAGAAGTAGGCATCGAGAGAAGAATTACAAATTCAGACCGGTCAACCATAGGCGCCACAATGTACTTTGGGCTGCCTATGCTCTTGTAGAACTCCCTCCCAAGCAACTTCTTCCTTGGCTGAGGAGTCACATCCACAGGCGCATTCTGCGCTTCGGGGACTGACTGTATTTCGGCGAAGGCGGCCATTTTTGCGACACTAGAACGCTGGAATCGAGGGATAAACCGCCCCAAGTACGGAGCAATGAAACGACTAAGCCCTATGTTTGCTGAGAGAAAAGAGATTTAGAAAAACAAAATTGGAATTGATCTGGACTGCGGTGCCGTGGGGAAATGCGGCAACATTTCGCGAAAAAACATATTGATACGTAGCGGACTATTGATATTCCGTCTTATCTTATCTGAAAGCTTGGCGCTGTCCCGAAATGGAAATATCAATAAGGCCCGACTCGAACCCTTGGTCTTATCTCCCGGATGATGATCATTTTTCAAGATTCACCGTGGGAAAACGCGTATCATCTCGAGAGGGCTAGGAGCACCCAAGCAGCATATTTTATTTTCCGTTGATGCGCCTTTGATACGTCATTATTGACGTTGTGTTTCTGTCAACATGGACTCCACCGGAGGAGCAGGTAGGGCAAAAAACGCTTCTTGAGGTGACGCATGCATCTCTGACAAGCTTGCAGGATTATCACCGGTATCACTATCCGAGGATGGGGCGTTTGTCGTCCAATTGAACGGGAAGGATCTCATAGTCCATCTAAACCCCGCATCGTCAGGGTTCAAAGAAGTGGAGATTGTTAAAACAAAAGAGAACGCATCAAAATTTGTCAAATTCTCACGACCTAGTGCCTCTGATGGACGTGTACTCTGGGCCAGTGATTCCCGCATTGTGCTTTGGCAATTGAGCCCGTTGCAACAGCACGCAGGAATCGAGAGCATTGAACCCGGCGCGTTGAACATCGATTTCGGCGGGGACGAAAATGAAGTCATTGTGTTTCACGCGTGGAATACCAAATTGACAATCTATTCTTTGGACACCGGGCGAAGTCAGATCATCAAGACGCCGAAATCATCGCATTATAACAACTTTGGATATCGACCCAATACTCGACAATTTGCAATCATACTGAAACCTGACGCCAACGATCTACTCACTATCCATGAATTCCGGTCTTATGAGCTTATAGGACGCGCAATATTACCTACGGTGGATGCCCAAGGCCTGAAATGGAGTCCCGATGGAAGATGGATAGCTATCTGGGACGCTGCAAGCACAGGCACGAAAGTGCTCATTTATACGGCCGATGGACAACCTTTCAGGACCTATACCGGACCACCGGAATTAGATGACACCGTTGATCTTGGGGTCAAGAACATACAATGGAGCCCTGTTTCTCCTAACACCGGTGCATCTGAATACTTGGCTGTGGGCAAGGTTGACGGCACCATAGACCTTCTCAAAAACAAAACAGTAAGACGAATACCCGGCAATTATTGTAGAGTGCATTTGCTAATTAGACTAGTTCACATGTTCCATTTCGCTCGCACATGTCGCCCCAGCCGATCAGAATTCCTTTGTGGTCTGGCGAGAGCAATTCACAAATGCAGACGGCGACCTCGAATACACAGAGGTACCAGGCCCCTCTGCACCCGCCATGCTCGCAGAAACTTCTGCCCCACCACGTGGTGTCTCGGTAATGTCATTCAGCTCAGAAGGAAGCCTACTCGCAACCGTAGACCAGACACGACCGAACATCGTCTGGGTATGGACACTCGGATCAGCACCGGGACTCTTTGCAGCTCTTTACCACGAACATCCAGTCAAACAGATTGTGTGGCATCCTTCGGAAACAGCGATACTTATAACGACGGCGAATAATGTCACGGCGGCGGTGCACTATTGGTCTCCGAATGGTCCACCCGTTGTTGTGCGGGTTCCTGTATCGCGGAGCGAAAGTGGGAAGTACGACGCGCGATGGCTATATTCAGGCCAGGATAGTGATTGGAGGTTTTGGTTTGGTACACCAGAAAATTACGTGCTGGGTGATATCGAGGACCAAGGGATTATTCCGCAATTGCGGGTTCATTATTTTGTTAATAGCAAGGCTCCCGCAGGGAGTCATGGCACGAGTATGTGAGCATAGATGATTTGATGATTATAATTCATACGGGTTGAATGTCAAGATTGCGCTGAAGTTTCCAGCTTCCAATATCCACCGGGAGTATCAGTTTCGCATCTCCGAAGACGTACTGTTATATCAGCACCGCCATACTCGCTTTTCATGGCAATCGCCCTAAGACGCACTCTGCACCTAAGCATCTTGTTACTCATGTTTGAGATCGAAAATATACATGAAGAAGGAATAATTTCCCATGTAAATGTCCTCCAAATAATCAAAGTGTCGGCGTAGATCAACGTCCCCAAATGCCAAGGCCGGATCGCCAGAATTCATGATTAGGTCAGCATCGTCACGTCCCCTCTTAAAGACCTCTTATCGTTGTGCTGCTTTCTGCATCTTTCTTGAGTGGATTCTCATAAAACCATACGGGGATATATCAGAAGCCAATAATTCCGAGCTCAATTGTTCTTTCTCCAGCTCCGGAAAGCTATCTCCCCTCGGTCATTCCCCGGAAATTCTAATCATTTCCCCGCAAAGATACCAACTCATCTGTCCTCACAAGATCCACCGATTTACAGTCACGACCTGCTTTTTATATGGCATAGCCAGGGATCAATCGGATTCAATTTCTCTATCCACTCAACTACCGAGTGATATCCCCTTTGACGTCTTTATACCCACAGTGGCCATGGGTCTCAAGATTTGAATTGCAGCAGTTCTCTCCGGCTCTATCTCTGTTCTGCAAGCCACGCCAGTAGCTCATTCGAAAGAGAGAATTATATCCTCAGTCTCGACTTGAGCTGTGCTTGAAGGCAATAGGCTGATTCCGTGTGTGCTATTTCTGCCTTTTGCCATTATTAGATCCCAATTCGTTAGACAATATGGAGGTAAGAGATCTCCTACTTGCTCTTTGATAGTTCAAGAGTCAAACCAAGAAATATCCAAACCTGCGCATTTCCCATTCTGTTGTGTTATGCTCCAGTCAATGTGTTGTGATCGCAACTTGTCTGGTCATATTTTGTTGTCCTACAATGCCCATTGTGTGATGATCGCTCTGCCTTCACTGCATTAGCCAATGCCTCACTGTACCGAATCACGCCATACTATCTTGACCTTGTCTACCCCAACTTCCCGTTTCATATGTCCCTGAGATGTCTATGGCCTCTCTACCACTCGAATACTTCATTGGGATCGTTGCTAACATGAGGTTTCCGAAAACCGCACAGACTTCGAATCAGGCCCTGGTGGCTCCGGGAAAAGCCGGCCAGTCTAACAGCAAGGCTCAAGATCTCAAGCCTCGTCTTCTTCTTATGGGGTTGAGAAGGTAAAATACCGCATTTCCCAGCATCCAAGAAGCAACATACTGATAATATACAGGAGTGGAAAATCGTCTATCGCTAGCGTTGTCTTCCACAAAATGCCGCCGAACGAAACGTTATTCCTTGAGTCTACTACTCGTATCCAAAAGGACTCGATCCAGTGAGTGGTATTGCGTTTCCGCTTTATTTGGATCCAATCTCACCTAACTATTACTAGCTCTTTCATGGACTTCCAGGTCTGGGACTTTCCCGGTCAGCTGGAATACTTTGAGCCTTCCTTTGACCTCGAGGATATCTTTGGGAGCCTTGGAGCTTTGGTTTGGGTCATCGATGCGCAGGATGACTACCTGGACTCAGTTGCTCGCCTGAACCGTACAATCTTGACTGTCCAGCAATACTATCCTAACATCAACATCGAGGTTTTCATCCACAAGGTAGACGGGCTTTCGGACGAGTACCGTGGCGATACCTTCCAGGACATTGTGCAGCACATCTCGGATGAACTAAGCGATGCCGGCTACGAGAATGCGCCAGTTCACTACTATATGACATCCATTTATGACTACTCGGTATTCGAAGCATTCAGCAAAGTCATTCAAAAACTCATCCCCAACCTGTCCACTCTGGAGAACTTGATCAACACGCTTGGTGACAACTGTGGATTCGAAAAGACCTATCTCTTCGACGTGCTGAGCAAGATTTACATTGCATCCGATACTCGTCCTATAGATATGGCATGCTATGAGATGTGTTCGGACTACATCGACGTAATTGTCGACGTTTCAGAACTGTACTCATGGGATCATCCGGACCGCAAACCCAAGGGTGACCAGATTCAAGAAGCAGAGAGCCACGTCGTTTTGCACGACGAGACGATGATCCATCTCATGGAAATGAACAAGTACATTCACTACTCCCTTTACTTGTTATCTCGCAGTTTGCTTATGATTGCTAGGTATTTATGTCTCGTATCCGTGCTCCGTCATCCAGAGGCCAAGGAGAAAAAGGGCCTGATTGACATGAACTGCCGTACATTCCAAGACGCTCTCCAGGATGTGTTTACTCGCGGATGGGATCAGGACAAGGATCATGAGACCGAGAGTCAAAGGGACCAGGTGTAAGGCCAGCTGAGATGGACTCGTTCCAGGAGCTGCGTGGGCACACGCCCAAAAATTTTTTTGAGATAGCTTGTTTGTCGATATTCCTGTCGCATTTCCAGGCTTTTATACTTCTATGAAGTTCGACATACCCAAATTTCTTCTGATAGCATCAATTGACTGAATGATCACACATTCTGAGCAAAATCCAGCCAGGCAAATCGTGATGGCCGGATTGACAATAAGGCACCAACTATGATAGTCCAGGCATCATAACGACCCGCTTTAAATTTTTTTTTTTTTTTTTTTTTTTTTTTTTTTTCCACCCTTTAAATAGTCGCTTCTCTTCCAAAAAATTTCTTCGCCATTCAAAGCTGCAAAAAATGGCTTGAGTATCCGATTTGATGCTCAGCGACCATTTTTCTTGCTCATAACATTTGCGCCTCGATCAATACATACTAACTAATGGTGAGTCTCAATTTGTATCTCTTCAGCACAGCAATGCCCTCGACATTTTTATGATGAAAACTTTTCCTACATTCGCAGTTTCCACGCTAGTCATCGTTTGAACCCATTCTAGATGGCGTTGAGCGCAATTACTTCCTTGGATGTCTGACTTTTGTCGAGCCACATTTGCTTGCTTCGATTGATTTATTTGGTCGAGCTTTTGCTAATTGTTGATTAGTATTTAGGTGATTTCTGTCTTGCGTGTCGATTGATGGTTATACTGGATTATACCATACAGTTTTGTCTTGGGGGTTGTCGAGCTATACGAAATCTTAATGCTGGATTCTCGAGAGCTCTTACAAGGGATACACAGTTCTGCGCCTGAGTTGCGCTTGGTCGTGTCGGACCAATAGTAGTTAGATAGAAATGATATTGAGTTATTTTCATTGGACAGACCATCTGTTTCGCCTGCTCGTAAACGTATAGCTATCTGAATCCGGATCCTCTAAAATTGGTGCCTGTAGCAAGGATAAGCAACCAAATCAATATAAAACGACCAGTGTCACCCTTGGCCAAAGCGGCGGAGAACTCGGAAATTTTCGCATTCCCAGAAATCAAAACACATCATCACCTTTACCCAGATGAATCTCTGAGGAATCTCCGAGAAACCAATTAACCATGTCAGACCTTCGCCAGAGACAAGTTGCATCGTCCGCGTCAAAAGAACCCGACAATCAGCCTGCAATCGATACCAAGTTGAAAAAGCAGAAGCGCAATGGCAACAAGCGCACCGGCATCAGCCTGTTGGATATCATCCGCGTGCTGGTCACGTTGGTGGTGGCATCGTGCGGATTATCATACTACATGACCTCGTCCGAGTCTGTTCTTTGGGGGTATCGTCCGTGGTTTACGAGGTGGCCGGTGTTGGTCCGGTATATCGTACGCTTCCCTCCCTTCCTTCCTCCCTTCACGATTGGGGGAGTACAAGCTAACAGTACGAATAGAAAGGACCCCTCCACCTAACCCTCTCCGACCTGACCCTCTACAACGGCTCCGACCCCTCCCTCCCCGTCTACCTCTCCGTCAACAGCACCATCTTCGACGTCTCCGCAAACCGCATGATGTACGGCCCCGGCGGGCACTACAACTTCTTCACCGGCCGCGACGCGACGCGCGCTTTCGTGACGGGCTGTTTCCAGGAAGATCTGACGCACGATCTCTCCGGGGTTGAGGAGATGTTTATCCCGATCGATGATGGGGAAGTTAGGAGGTTGAGTAGTGGGGAGCGGAAGATCCGGCGCGAGCAGGATGTTAGGATGGCGAGGGCGAGTGTTAGGAAGCAGGTGGCGCATTGGGAGGGGTTCTTTCGGAATCATAAGAAGTATTTTGAGGTGGGACGAGTTGTTGGGTTGGATGAGGAGCCGAAGGTTGAGAGGGAGCTTTGTCGGGCTGCGCAGCAGCAGAGGCCGGAGAGGAAGGTGGACTAGTAAGAATATTGTCTAGGGAGTTGGCGTTGAGTGTATATTGCATGTTTAGAATTTGCGAATGATATTCATGATGTGATTCTAGAACGATGTAGAGGGTTTCCGTATGATACTTCACGCACAGAATGCGAATAGTCCATCCCCAAGCCCAGCTCCATATAAAATCAATCGTCTTATTACGGAAAGAACAATGAATTGAAGGGATGAATTGCGTTTAGTCCGTTACTTGACACGGCCAATAGCGCGACTATTCGTTCACTCCGAAAATCATCGAACCACTATACATCATTCGCCCAGCCAGAATTCCCGAACTTTTCATGGAGATATCATTCGTAAAGGAAAACAAGAAACCGCGAGAAAATTATCGGAAGGAAAACGTTTACTCGGCGGCGACGGCGCGGGCTAGAAAAAATCGTTGTTAGAACCTCAACCACTCCTATGCACACATGCCGGAAGGCGAAAAACGTACTGTAGATGCCGAGGTCGTGGTGGCCGACGACCTTCTTGATCACTCCCCTCTCCTCGAGATCAGCCAGAGCCTGGCGGGCCAAGCTACCGTTGATCTTGAGACGGTCGACAAGGGTGGCGACGGTGATGAGACGGTAGGACTGGACATCCTTGTTGAGCTTCTCAGCGGTAGACTTCTCAAGGACGACGGCGTGCTGGGCCTTGTCCTTAACTATACGGCGAAACCTATGTCAGCCTCATTCTGCGCGATTGTCTCTTTATCGTCCGTTCGTCCTCCTCGTGTATCGCCCAAACTCGAAAATCCAGAATAAAACATCTTTCCATCGTTCTCGATGAAGAATCTTCGCAGGACCGATAACGGGAGGCGAGGTAGGATAGGGAGTGAATCATGGGAATAGCGTACCCTTGCCCTTGGACCACTTCTTCTTTTGGGGGGCCTATATTATCGTGTTAATACCATTCTAGAATAAAAAACGTCGTTTCGCCTTTAGATAGGATCGCAAACACTCACCATTTTGACTCTGTCTGATCTGGTTGTTCAACGGAAGAGAGCAGCGCAACAGCAACGGCCAGAAGTTTCAAAGCCAAGTGCGAAATTCGAGTGGGGAATGACTAAGCCCATGCTTTTTGAACCCTAAGCCCTTACTGGCCGCACCTCGGCTAGCGGTGCTACGGAGGCGGTGTGAACCATTTGCGCATTATGCCTTATGCGTCGGGCACCAACACGTCCAACCTACCTATCATGATCTGACGTCAGTGATAAGATATGTTGGCACCAGGGGTACCACTGTAAACCTCCATTCAAGATCTCACCAGCCTTGCAATCCTGTCATATATTTGTCAATAATAGCGAAGTTAAACATGTCTATATCTAACGCCTTTTGCTACGTTGGTGTGGCCACGACCTGCTACTGGATGATTCAGCTGGCTCGATATCTCTACTGCTACATCCGCCCAAGCTCCCTCCCTCGCTACAACCCCACCGGGAAAGACGCATGTGCTCTCGTAACTGGTGCTACTGATGGGATTGGTTTTGGATTTGCTGAAGAGCTCAGCGAGCGTGGATTCAACGTCTTCCTGCACGGCCGGAACCGTGAGAAACTCAGTCGGAGACAAGAGGAACTCCAGACGAAGTTCCCGAACATCAAGTATAAGATCATCGTTTCCGATGCGGCTAATATCCACGAGGATGTCAACCTGATTCCCAACGAGATTGGCGATGCAAACCTTACGGTCCTGGTGAACAACGTTGGAGGAGAGAATCAGTCATACCGGGGCCTGACAGAGCTGTCGTATCAGGATGTCCGGACTACCATCAACACCAATGCCACTTTCATGGCACAGCTCACCCGAGTCTTACTCCCGGTCCTCGAGAAGAACGGTCCCAGCCTAGTCCTCAACGTCTCTTCGATTGCGGCTTACGGCATGCCATTTGTCCCCGTGTATAGCGCGACGAAGGGATTCGTCGATTCGTTCAGCAGAGCCCTCGACGCAGAGGTGAAGGCGCGCGGACAAGACGTGGAGGTACTCGCAATTCGAGTGGGAAGTGTGCGGAGCCAGAGCAACGACGTCGATGTGGGCTTAATGGTCCCTGACTCACGGACCATGGCTGCCGCTTCATTGGATCGTGTTGGATGTGGCCTTCCGCTGATCTTTGGATACTGGGGTCATGCGATTGCGGGCCTCAGTCTTGATTTCATCCCCAGACCTTTCATGGTCAAGATGTTGGCGAACACCATGGATTCTCTGAAGAGGCAAGCTGAAGAGAGGCAAGCGAAGCGGAACTAGTGCGCATGCCACTCTATATAACAGTACTCCCACTGTCTTGGTCGAATTGTTTGCATATGATATCCGATACCCGAGGCTTTCGAAGTATATACAGTACCTTGCATGTGTATGCACGTACATAAATAGTACTCACAAATGTGACCCAATTTTCTGTTTATACATAGCATACTCTGTACATTGAACCAATATCTCTTTTCCACCGTTCATTCCGTTTCTCCCCCAATCTCTTAGTTGTATAGATTGACAGGTGACCTCAGGCACGCCGCTGATTGGCCGCCCCTCCGCCCACCGCCTTCTGGCGTCATCCAGCAGATCCGTCTCTGTTGACAGTCATAACAGTTGGCACTGCTCTGATTAAAGGCAACACAAGAAGAGTCATTCCAATGACGAGCCTAGTTCCTCGTGAGGCTTACTCCCAGGATGAGCTTGACCGGCTCTATCCTAAAGATCTGAAGCTTGAATTGGTCCAGGTGGTATGTTGATGATGCCGCGACTTATCGGAGGTTTGAGTTAACTGACATACGGACAGTTCCTTCGGCATGGTGCGGATTTCGAAGCCCTCGTAAATCGGCAAAGACTGACTCTCTCTAGGTGAAAGGACGCCTGTCTCTGCGCGGTTCCAGAATGTATGTACTGCTTTCCCCGCATCTAAAGGTCCCCAGAACTAATAGTATACAGACAGGCCTTGCAGCATGTAACTCTCCCCAATGATAGCCTTCCTACGATCCGTGAACTGACCCGATCAAGACTGGCCATACTGCAATGTAGCGCGCCGAATGATCCAGATGGCATCCAGCAGCCAAGACATGTCGACATGGGACTCATTCGCATGGAGAAGGAAAATGGAGACCTTTGGCGGCAGAGACGAAGCTGTGGTTGCGCAGGGTGCACAGGGTGAAATCGAGGGTATCTGGTGCGGCACTAACCTTCGTCTATTTGCCCGGAAAGTGGAGATGCTGACTGGAATAGCCAACCCGGCGAGTTAACAGACAAAGGACGAGAGACGACATTCGCGCTTGGGCAACGACTGCGACGTCTTTACGTGGACCAGCTGGGTTTCATGCCCGAGGTGAAATCGGACGCTGAGGATATGTACCTGCGGACTACTCCCCTCCCGCGAGCCCTCGAGTCCCTCCAACAAGCCTTCTTTGGCATGTACCCGCGAAACGCACGTACCCTCGACTTCCCTCCCCCAGTGATCGTAGCACGTTCTATTTCCGAAGAAACCCTGCTCCCGAATGAAGGCAACTGTCGCCGTTTCAGACAAATCGTGCGCCTCTTCGCAGACCGCGCAGCGAAGCGATGTACGCCCCTCTCCTCCCTCCCTCCAATAAACCGAATACTGACAAAGTCAAGGGAACGACACCGACGAAATGACCTACCTCAACACCCTCTGGTCAAAATGGATGCCCAGCAACTCCCCCCACGTCGCCGTCGACGCCCACCCCCGCCTCTCCGGTATCAACGACACAATCAACGCAACCTATGCCCACGGCCCCGCCACAAAACTCCCCCGCGAATTCTACGACGCCAAAGCCCGCGCAATCACCGACAGAATCGCCAGCGATGAATGGTTCTCTGGATACCAGGAGAGCAACGAGTACCGCCGTCTCGGTATCGGAGGACTCATGGGCGATGTCGTTGATCGGATGGTTAGTACCGCTGTGGATGGGGGCTGGCGGAGCGAGACTTCTGCTTCGGGATCGTCAGCGGAGAACGGGAAAGCGATTAAATTCGCTATGAGCGGATGCCATGATACCACTCTCGCCGCTATCCTGGGTAGTCTGGACGCTTTCGACGGAAGATGGCCACCGTTTACATCCTCCGTTGCCATCGAGCTCTTCACAAAGACCGAAACCGAGCCGCAATCCCAGTCCAACGAGGATGCACAATCGCCCAAGAAAACCACCGGTTTTCTCTCCGGCCTGCTAGGCGGTTCCTCTGCCTCAACACCCTCCCTCGCTAAACCATCCACGTTGTCCCGTGCCCCGTTATCGACACTCCCAGACACAGCCAGGAAATCCATGCAAGAAAAGCACTACGTGCGAGTCAGATACAATGACCGTCCTATGCGTATCCCCGGATGCGCTGCGAAGCCAGAGAACCATCTCCCTGGTAACGACACCTTCTGTACGCTGGACGCGTTCAAGGACATGGTTGATAAGTTCACACCGCAGAACTGGATGGTCGAGTGTACGGAGAATTTGGGGGAGGGGCTGTATGGGGAGGGTGATGTCGAGAGGGTGAAGCGGTTTGCTTAGACGGAATGTTGATAAAGATGGAAAAATGTACATAGTACATGATACCTAGCTATGTGGTTTTGGTTTTGGTTTGCTCATAGAATAATGCTTGCTATTTATTCCATAAACATACACATAGACAAGTTCTTTTCATACCCAACCCGAGCCAATCCCAAACAATCTATAAACATGAACCGAACCGAACATAATAATATACAGAGCAATAAGCTATACCATTCCCAAGTATGTATTGTATCACTTGTCATCCTCCGGCTCACTAGTACTCCACCCACTCTCACTCTCATCCGCACTCCAAACGCTAGGCCCAGTCTCCGCATCCACAGCAGGAACTTCCTGCACGGGCAGCTGCTTACCCTGAGCAAGCGCCTGTCGTTCAGCCTTCTTCTTCCCACGCTTCGAATCGATCGGCTTCTGTTCCTCCCGCTCTTTCTTTGCTTGGTTCGCCTCCTCAGTAGACGCGCGCTCAAGGATATCAAACAATTTCTCAAGCGCGGGGGCGTAGGCTTGAGCGATGGGAATATCACCCACACGCACGCGCATGTAATCAAACACGGCTGTTGTAGGTGTGCGGTCTAGGACTGATGAACGGGTGGAGGGCGAGGTATGCTGGTTGGGACGGCGGAGGGTGATGACATCCTTGAAGGATTTAGGAACTGTGGATGAAGTGTCGTCTTGTAGGGTTTCGGGTTCTTCGCCTGCATCTGCGTCGGCGGGGGTATCTTGGGCTTCTTCGTGCTTGACGGTGCCTGTTTTCTGGTCCACATAGGCAACCTTCTGGTATCGTTGGCTGAAGTGCGTAAGCAGGATAGTCCGTGCCTCCATGCGGCGGCCAACTTCGAGGGCTTCGGAGGTGGTCGAGTGGCGCTTCGCCATGGCGGATTGGTACATGTCATCTTGGAAAGTGGCTTCGTGGATGAGGACTGTAGAGCCCTTTCCAATCTCGGCGAATGATTGCGATGGTCGACAGTCACCCGAGAACGAGACTTGGAAGCCATCCGGGAAAATAAGCGAGGCAGCCATTGCGCCGCGGCAGTGGGATACTCTCGTGGTGCGGAAGTCTTGAAGACCCGTCGCGGCGCGGAGTTGAGCTGTAAGGGGGGAATTGTCGTTGTCGAAGCGGAGAAGGGTGTTTGAAGGTTTGCCAACATCCCGTATCTGGCCAGGGTAGCTGCCATCGGCGCGAGTATGGCGGTAGACGAAGCTAGTGAGTATACGCTTGTTTCCGTCCATGTATGGATATGCTGAGAGAGGAACTGTCTTCGAAAATCCGTAGTCTTCAACAGCTGCGTATTCTTCCAGCCAGCTAATCATGCTTTCCTCGGATAGAACGAATAGGCGCTTTTCCTCCAGGATCTTGCTGACATCGTCTTCGATGTATTGTCCCTGTGAGGGTACGCCTTCGGGGTAGTTCTCTTTGTACCAAGCCTTGATGAGAGACGCAGTACCCAAGTGATGATCGGCGTGAAGGTGGGAAATCCAGATCATGCGCAAGTTGCGCAGCACCTCCCGCAATTCCTCAGGGTTATAAACACGCTTCAGCTGTCCAAGAGTGTTCTCACCACAGTCCAGCATGTAATAACCGTATCCAGGAACCTTGAGTAGCGTAGCAGAGACGTTGCGGTATTTTGATGGTGCGGAAGAACCAGTTCCCAACGCGATAATCTCCACATCCTGTCCAGGGAGATCTTTCCGGACATTCTCCAACTTATTCAGGAATTCCTGCTTCTTCATGCGCTTGCGGATCGTGTCGACTCGTTTCTCGACCGCACGGGGAATTTTATCTACCACTTCCGCTGGGTTGAGTCTTTGCATGACCTCGGAACGATTAACTTCGAACTTGGGTTCCATGCCAATAACGAGACCCGGCTCTGATGGTTCGAACGGCGAGGACTGAATGCCCTGCTTCGTAACCTCCGATCCATGTGTTGGTGTTCCTGGCTGCGGAAGCGTCACGTTATCATGGAAAGGAATCGAATAACTATCACCCTTCAAGCGAGCCAGACGGATCGACGATCCCGCAACACTAGGCAGGGCAAGGTAGTTCGGGCAGTAATCCGTACTGGAGACGATGTGCTTGGCGTTTGGCCTCTTCTCAACAAACTCACGCAGCTTGGGATGATCGCCCACACCAGGTCCCAGGATCCAAAGGAAAGCCTCCAGATCTGTCGTCACAGCTGGCGAATTCCACTCTGGGCGGTTAACCAGGTTCTCGACATATTCCACCGATGGCAAGTCAATGATTGCCAACCCCTTGCCAGGTCGCGGGGGTCCCAGAACCATCTCCGGTGTGACGGTCTTTCCACCCATAGATACGACGCTTTCGCCCTTGGTCAGACGAGCATAATCGGGACCTTTGCGGATCTTCAGCGCTTCGGCTTTCTTAGGGTCGAACTTGCCACGGACATCGTGATTCCGCACGACGTACGAAAGAGCCTCGTCGCACCAGGTAGTCGGGGGTAGTTTCTCAACTGTCGCGCCCGGCCAAGGTTGGCGTACGAGAACCTTGATGTTGGGGAGTGGCTGGTCACTTCCCGGAGCAGGACCCATATACTGCTCGAGTTGCTTGGTCTCGGGATTGCGAATGAACATGGACGCAGGCATCTTCACCTCGGCCAGAGGGGTCTCAATGAGCGCATCCATCCTCCACGACGAGTTGAACATATCAGTGACAACAGACTGCCTCATGATCTGCTCCCTGAGCCGCCGGTCACGCATATCAACGCCATCCTCTTTCTCCTGAAACTCATCCAGGCTCCTCTTCCTAGGACTCTGCTGACCACTCTGCAAAGTCTCACAACCATCCTGCCACGACGGCGAAGAACTAACAGGCATAGCCCACACCTTAATGTTATTATCAAACCACGACGGTTCTTCAAACGCATCCCCGTTCGCCACAGGCTTCCTCTTCCCCAACGTCTCCGAATCATACTCCCTCATAAAAACCGGCATCCCCTTCCGGAACACAAACCGCCTAGCAGTCGCCAGACTATGCGTGATATTCCGTCCGCCATGAATCGTCAAACTGCCCCTCTGCGCCACAACCTGTCCATCCTTCTCCGCATATGGAACACCATGCTTCGTCTGCTCAGCCGTCAACCCTTTCGCCTGCGCGGCGGTCTCCAGCGCCAGATTCGAGTTGATAAGGCCGTCTGCCTGGGTCAGGATTGTGCCGATTAAACCGCCGTTGTTCGCCCATTCCGTACGGCCGGTCAGGAATGCATCGGTTAGGTAGGTGAGTTTGACGCCACGCTCCGTACACGCCCGCTGCGTACCTTCCGATAGATGTCCGAAGAAGTACCGCTTATCCGGGAAATGCAGCAGCAGTGTCGTGCCGGGGGTATCGCCCGTCGGCGTCGTGAGGACCTGGTAGTAAAACTTCATTGGCGCAATTCCAAGTGGCGATGGTCTTTTATGATCAAATCCGTTCGATTTATACGAATCAGACTGGTAAATAATATAATTATTGTTCGAGGAGCGAAAAAGTCGTCGAGACTCGGAGCGGGGCGCTCGAATAACGTATGCGTCTGGAATTGCGGGTGTGCGTTCAAAATGCAGTAACCGAGGCCACTGGGGTTCAGAGACGAATGGTCGGAAGGTAGTTTTATTTTTCGATTTCGCTAAGAGAATGGCAGCTGCAGAGAAGGAGCGAGGCGTTTGTGGAAAGAAGCACCCACGAGAGGCTTGCGAGAACAGCCTCCCGGTTCGACGGAGAGAAGCCAATTTGGCTGGGGGGAAGGAGGCTTTAACAGCAGAGGGAAGGCGAGACGCACACCATGTCACCATAGAGCGTAGTGAATCACAATTGCAGGTAAGAATGACAGGGTTGTTCTGTCGTCGACATACGGGAGGCGCTGCGGTGCTTCGGAGTTTGCTTTTTTGCCCGGGTTATCTTTTTCGCGGTGACTGTACGGAGTACGACTAATCTACATTGACACCAGTAGTCATACTACCAGGGGTATAATAGCACTCATTTTGATGACAATTTTAAATTCAGTCTAATGTAGTCAAATTGCAAATATCCCAAATTCCCAAATGTAGCCATCCAAATCCCCGGAAATTACAGCCAAACCAAACCCATTGAACCCCGCAAACAATGAAGAAAAAGAAGCACGAAGGATAGCCAGTTAAGGCAAATACATAATCATGAACAAAGGAAAAGCCAAGTGTCCTTGGAATGGTGCTCAGCAACCTAAACACTAAAGGAATGACTCTAGAGAAAGCAAACGAATTTACAAAAATTTGGTCCGAAACAAGCGCGGCGTGGGGAATCATGAAAGATGAGTAGTCACCATAGAAACACGTTCGAAAGATGCTTCCATGCTGAGACATAATTGAGCGAATCGGGCTTCGGTAGTCTTGGAATCACTCTCAACCACAAGCTCAAAGGCCGGGGCCTTTTCCGATTTGACACCCTCGAACGACTCCTCAGTATTTGTTTGCGACTTGACGGAGTCGACAAACAGAGCAAAGGCAGGATCCGACTCGTCAATCTCAACGTCAGGGTTCACAACACCAGTCACTTCCTTGGGCTCCTCAACCTGCGGTGCACGCTCAAGGACAGGGGCTTCCTGCTTCGTAGACTCCGGGAGGATGCTACCAAAGCTGGACGACTTTCCGGAAAGAACTTCGGCATCAAGAGCAGGACCCTCGGGCACTCCCATGACGGCAAAGACGGGGGTGTTTGCGTAGTTGATGTCAATTCCAGAGTTCCATCCGCCATTCAGACCCATGCCAGTCATGTCCATTCCCTGATTGGGAACCATGACCATGTTCTGCTGCATCTGGAAATCTTGGGGAGCTTGGTTCTGGGTGGCCTCGGGGATGTTGGCCTGCATAGGCGGCTGCGAGGGCTGTGCCGGCTGCTGCTGCTGCTGCTGTTGAGGCTGCTGCTGCGACTGCTGAGGCTGTTGCTTGGAGGTGGTCTGGAGCTGAGGCAGACCGGTGACGTTCATTTCTTCCATGAAGTTCGAGAACTGAGGCGACGACAAAAGCATGTGAGCAAGGTCGGTCAGGCGGGCGTTCTCCTCGTAAAGAGCGCGGTTCTGGATGCGAAGTTCGTGGGATTCGTTGGTGCGCGAGGCAATTTCGTTTTCAAGCTGGCCGATGTATTCTATTCAAGTTAGTTTAACCAGGTCTTCTAATTCAGAGGATGTTAAATCATACCCTTTCGGCGAGAGCGGAAAGCACGAGCAGAAACCTTGTTACGGAGCTGACGGCGCTCCTTGCTGCTGAGCTTCTTGCCCTCTTCGCTAGCAAGGAGTCTCTCGTCCTCATCCATATCCTGCTCCTCCTTCTTGGCCTTGGCCATCTGGGGCAGAAGGGAAGGACTGGGCGAGTCGGAAGGCGAACTCATCGAGCTCTGTCTGATCTGCTGGAGAAGGCGAGAGATGCGCTCTTCGACAACAGGGTCGGAATTCCGCTGAGCATGGGGCTGAGAGGCGTTGCTTTGCTGGGCCTGCTCCTCCATGCGACGCTGCTGGAGTTGTTGCTGTTGCTGTTGCTGCTGCTGTTGTTGTTGTTGTTGTTGTTGCTGCTGCTGGCGAAGCATCTCATGCTGCCTCTGTTGCTGAGCGGCCTTGGCCATGGCTGCTTGCTGCTGGTGCATACCGGGGTACATACGACCGACCTGGGTCGAGTGTCCAGCGGGAACAGCCTCCTGGGAAGCCAGAGCATTAGGGTCGACAAACTGGGCCTTGTTGGGGTTTGGCGAGAAGAAATAACCAGGAGCTGAGCTGATGTTGTCGCCCTCCATGTCCATCTCAGCTGGGTTACGGGCGGGGATGGCGTTGAAGTCAAGAGGATCCTCGCGCTTCATCTGGGGGTACATGTCCCCTCCCATGGCAAACCCGGGGCTGGCACCACCATAGCCCATGTTGTTAGCATGGTTGAAGGACATCGCATGAGCCAGAGCGCCCGGAGGAAGACCAGTCTGCTGCTTGTGTTCGTCATACTGGTGGCTCGGGGCCTGGAAGGCGATCGGTGTTTGACCATTCGAAGCGAAGCCGGCACTGCGAACATCACCAGCAGCGAAATCTGTGCTTGGAACGGCGGGTTGACTTGGTAGCGAAGCCTTTGGCCTGGGAGCTTCGGTGGTGTAGGTGATCTGGTCGAGGTTGAGGAAGGAGTCGATGTCAGGGTCGTAGCAAGTCGTCGACGACGGGGCGACGGTCGGGTGTTCGGCCAGTGTAGCCATGGTGATGATTATGTGGTAATTCTCTTTTTTTCAGAATAGACGAGGATTTAACAAAAGCAAACGAAAGTGGATAATATCGCTCAAGAAACAAAAAAAACGTCAAGGTTGGATCTGAAGAAAGAAGAGAGAGAGAGTAGTGGAAGCGAGAGACTGATGAAAGGGAGGATGGTTTGGTCGGGTCTCTCAAGGGGTTAATTTGGGACTGGCAACAGACCAAAACCGAGATCGGAAAGGATCAGAGGGGGGGGGGAGATCAAAAATAGCCCAGTATGGAAATAACAACGAGACTAGAAGTGATTAAGCGACCACTTATTGTCTGATAGTATAGAAGCGAGATCAACAGTGGTTTCAATGATTGCAATATTGGTGTGGCTATGAGCACGATAAAGAATCTAATGAAAACTGGGAGTAAACAGGAAAAACAAGGAAAAGGAAGAAAGGAAGAGAAGAGAGGCGACTCTGCGACCCCCCATACGGAACACCACACAAACCAACTGCGCAGTTACCCAGGAATAGAAACCAGTCCGTTTTCGGTTAGTGTGCTTGCGCGTCCTCTGCTGACTCAGAAGAGCCCCGCTTGTATGTATTCTATGATTGGCAGGCTCGGAAATAGGCTTGGCCTGCGCCCCATCAGGCATTCTCCATTCTTTCCGTTTGGAGATTGTTGGAGCCTGAGGACACTATTTACACTGTGCTACCGATCTTCACGGAGATCCAACGTCTGTCTAACATCTGTTTGTGATAGACAAGAAGCACAGAAGACACCATCTGAAGCAGGTCATATCACAATGATGCCCTGTCATAGTGTCCTACTCCGCACATAGTACTCCCCATCTAGTCGCCAGTAGTGGGTAGTACGTAGTACTATTACACTAAAGGATCATTATTCCCTGTCCCATCCATCCCATCTCATTTGCCAGGCTCAAGCGCTCCCCCCTCCCTCCCATTGACTTTCTTTTTCGCCTCCCACACACTTGCACACTTGTTCGTTTCAGGCCAAATACAAAATATTCTCGCTCGGGAAGGCTACTGAAACGAAATCGGACCACTCAATAGGCTCTAGAACCCCCTAAACCCTCAGCAGTATAGTGGACGTGGAGTGCAGCCATCCGATTGGATTGCCCTGAAGAGCCCTAGGGAAAGTTAATGGGCCAATTAATAGGACTTGGACCAGACTCCCGGATGCTGTCCGTCTCCCGTGAATTTGTCTTTAATGAATCAATCTGAGATTGGTCCTCAAGTTGATGCGGGTAGTCAATCTCGAACATACCCCGTATTCATCCTGTACTATGCACATATTTGTTGTACAGCACAGAGTGCATCATCTTCAAATCAGAAGGCAACCAATTCCCTCCCATCCCCAAACCTTTTCCTGTTTGTCTTTCTAGAACGCCTCCCACCGACTCCTCCCACCCACACTCGGTCCCTAACCAAACCCGTCCTAGTCTCGGAACACTATTGTCGCAGTGGGGAATGCAGGCAAAGCTTGGCACGGCAATCGACGCTCCTCATTCAACGGCACTGCCACCCCTGGCCCCGCTCGCCTATCCTAGTGCGTTCCCGCCCTTGTCTCAGAAGAGCACACTGTCACTTCATTGGCTGTGAGAGTCATGCGTTCGTCCAATGAGTAGTTTTTATTCAGCCCTTTTTGCGTTTGTGGGTTGTTTCCACATCTGGTAATCAATTCCGAGGATAGAAGAAAATGCGGAGGTAACTTAACACAAAAGTGCCGCTTAGTCAGGGTACCAGGAATTAACTAGTTAACTAACTAGGGTAGTTACAACATACAAGGGAAAAAAGAAGACTTTTACAGCGGTTCCAGTGGTTGAAAATTGAGAATAAAAAATGGGAACTGAAAACAGGTCGATGTTTGTAGGGCTTAGCACATAGCCCACTAGTCCACTATGTTGATCTTCTCTGGTTGCCATATATATCCTACGGGGTAGTACTAACTACTCCGTCAGTGCTCTGTGGCAATGGTCCTCCAGACAATCCGTAATGCGAACAAACCATATAATTATGTTCCGCAGCAACCAAGCACCAAAATTGCCGCGATAAATACGCGGCAAAAGCTATACAGACCTTGAGTGCCTGCGGTCGCTGATTTAGACCTGTCAGATCAACAACTTCGACCGTCTGACCCAGCGGTTCTGATCGATTGTCATGGTCGGGCTATTGACTGCTTGCGGGTATTTTCTCGGAAGCCAACCGTCAACTTGAAGCGAGTGCCGTGAATACTGAGGACGAACGCCTCCTGATCGGACCATGAGCTCCGGGTTCTTCTCGAATGCTATTATCGCTTGGACAAGGAGATGTGGTACTTCGCGGCAGATTATATCAGCCTTTTCCCTGACTCTCACAGCTTGCCATTTTGTGTTGGTAAGTTTAAAATGTAGTAATAGTGGAATGGTCAAGACAAACCATAAAGCTAATTTGCGGAAGTGAAAGCTTGTCGTTCATATCAGAATCATGCCAAAGACAATTCGAGCGAAACAAGAAGCCCTCCCTGTTGCAGACAGGGATGGGAAACTGGATTCTTGTCTCGTACGAAGGATAACTAGTTCGTTTCCCAGTAAGCATATCTGACAAACTTCAGAGTGTAATGTGGCTCACTTACTAGCTGTGGCTACTGTAGCCGGAGTGAGAAGCGACAAGTTGAGTCGTAAAGAGATTGGACAGTCGAGCATGTTCTTTGCCCAATTGTTTCCTCTCTTCTATTTTAATAATTTCTCCCAAATAGATGAAAAGAACATAGAAATCTCCATAGGTGGATCTATGATTGGACCTCAGATGTTCTTTTGTCGGCTTGGTGAACTTAGCAGCAAGATGTTCGAATTCTTTCTCACGTGTTAGAGAGCGAGCAAGAGAGGAAGGGGTATGGCCAAGTACTCTTATCACCGTCTTGAGGCAGGCAAGCTGGGTCGAATAGTCTTTCTGATGATACCTCACGCTCCTCTCGCGCCTTGAGGAGCTCCCGTTACTTAATTGTCTACAGATGTGGTTGTCCGAAAAGAAGTTCGAGATCGCGAGTAGGCGAGAACAAAGGACTTTTCGAGAAAGACATCCTAGCCAATGAATAGAATAGGATTGATGGTAAGTCACGGACAATGGTGCAATAAGCCAAGAACATATTAGGCACAGAAGTTCAGCCTGGTTCATCACATGACGCCCAAACCACTGATTGTCCACGCATCATCCCAGCGTCAAATCTGAGCATGTTTATTTTTATTCTTCACTTTATTCTGGAGCAGCCAGCCAATTCTCCCCGCCATGGTAGAAAATGCACTACCCCCAGGCAGGCAGACGCCCGAGAGCGTCGAGGAGCTCGACCCGAACGGGAACGCCATCCTCGTGGTGGTAGATTAATTGCATAAAGACAAAAAGAAACTCCTTGTATCGTCGAATGTTCTTCGACTCGCATCCCCAGTATTCAAGGCGCTTTTTTCACGCTTTTTCTCCGAAAGCGTCAGGATAACCACATGCACACTCGCCCTGAAATCACACTCAATGGTGACCATCCAAATGCGATGCGGATACTACTTGGAGCCTTCCACTTTAAGAGACTCGCAAAAGTCGATACGAAAATGTTGGCTAAGATTGCTATTCTCTCTGATAAATACCATTGCAGGAGGGCACTCGGACCTTGGGTTGAATTTTGGTTCGAAAGAAACATGGGAACGACCAATGCTGCAAAAATAACTCTTTGATTTTGGCTGCGCTTTTCTTCTGACTCCCAATTCCATTTGCTCGCTTGTCTCGGAATATTCTTAAGTATTGCACTCCAGAGCAGCTGTATACTCTTTGGGAGAGCGATGGATTGTATGACATGTTACCTCAGGGTGTCAAGAGTATGTATATGTCACCGCATCATTCAGCATAGAATGTTGATACTTACAATGCCCCGCAGGTGATCTGGTGGTTGGTATAAAAGTATTACAGGCCCTCTTGGAAGACAAGATATAAGATGTTGTGGAATGCTTGAGATATTCATCGTCAACCTATGAAACGCAGACCTATATCTGCACTTATTGCGGATATATCCACTACGGAAGATACCAACCAGCTTCCTGTTCCGATTGCGGCAACCGTACATTCTACCACAAAGCATGTACCACAGACACCAGGATATTAGGCTATCTTGATCTTCTAGGGCGTGCTAAGCTTTTGTTTTCTATAGTCCCATCCAGAGACTCCTCAATATCAGACTTGGCATCGACCATAATTTGTATATACGATAAGAATGAACACAGGTGTAGCGGAGGAAGGGACTGCCGTCTCAAGAAGGAGCTGAAAGCCCTAGCTTGCGCAGCGGAAGATATTGCCGATCAGGTTACAGGGCTATCTCTTCCTCCGCTCCATGGGGATGATAATGGCCCTGATAATGTTACTTGAATAACTGATGTTAATGGTAGTTATATATTAGCTGTCAATAGTAAATTCATTGCTTCTATGATACCGGTCCTGTAGAGAGTAAACGTTCTTTTAGTCTTCACTGAAAATCGAACTTTTATCATTAGTTCGCATGTAATGGACCGAAATGTGTTGATCGCATGCGGTTGCAGGAGCCAACAGAGTTGGACCGCGCTTCATAAAGCTAATGCGACTTATATTATAAAAGTCACGCCTAGCATTTCGTAGAAAGCCTTCAGCCACCAACCATGCCTTATAAACCGTCATTTTTGGCTTTCTAGATCCAACATGTCTTGTTTGTAGTCTTAACGCTGATGACTCAAGTCCTGGTAGCTGTTGACGAAATAATCCCATTATGTTCTTTGGTACTCGGTGAACCGCAGCTATGGCATTGCTATTCAATTGTTTGCTAAGAATATAAGATGGACTAGAATTAGGATCTCACGACTATTTCATGAATTGTTCTCAAATACAGTTGTTCGGGCACTCAGCGCCCATAGAAAAGCGTTACTTACAAACAGCATATCTCCAAGATCATATAACCTTAATATCAAACCATGCATATAACGCTCACTCATCCGGCATCTCTGACTCATCAAACATATACGCCTGTCTCGAACCCCGTCGTTGACTATCCTGTGCCGTTTGGCTACTAGCCGTGAATCCGCCTCCAGAAAGACCACCCTTGGGGGCATTATTCCGCTGAATGCTGTTAGCCCGTTCCGTATTAAACACAGGAAAGTAATAGCATACCTGCTTGGACGGGTCCATGTTTGCAAATATTCCCTGGCTACTCTGCTGATCACTCTGCTGGCCACCCTTGCTGGCCTTTTTTTGGGCCTGGTCGTGGGGTGGGAAGGCAAAATTGCCGGTATTCCAATTTCGATTTGAGGACATTGTGTAGTGGTACATAAAATAATTGATTCTTTGAGACGATTGATTCTGAGTGAACTTGTCTAAGATTTTGAGATTGACTAGCTTTTTATACTTCGCATCCAAGCCGGTGGCGTCCGCTGTCATCGGGCATGATCTATGCTATATGCGGGGAAATGAACGCATTGTGATGTGGATGAACTGTATTTCTGAGCTTGAACTTCTTTTACATTTGAGATTGGTGAAGTATGCACTCGTGATGCCATGAGTTTGAAGCTAATGGTTAGATGGCGATCTTTGGTTCTTGACATATGCCAAGAGAACTATGAAATGACTTCTATTGAATAACGCCCAAGGACCATGGAACTCGAAATGAACAATCCAGAGAATAAAACATCAGATTCGCCTCCATCATAAAAAAGAATGGTCATCTTGACTCACACCGAGTCACACTATCCGCTGCATAACATGCATAAAAATTCGGATAAGCCCGCATTTACCTTTTCGGACCCCGACACACGCCAAGGACGTCGTCTCAACCTTGACGATGGCCGTATACCTCGCTATTTGTGCACAATGACTTTTTTGTGGATATCGGTTATTTTCCGGCTTGCTGTTCCCCTGGGGTGATCCTCCAGCGCAGAATGGGTTGTTATATAGAGTTGTTTTTGCACATAAGTCCTAAATCTCTTGGCCCTACACATTCTCTCCTCTATTACTTAACGAGAGGAATTCAACTGAACTATCTAATTGGTATCTAATTGATATCAATCGATACCATGGTTCCGTCTATCATTGCAACTTGCAAGCAAACGCGCTTCCATCTTGATAACAACCCTTCGCAGGAAGTAAGCCAATTGGCTCCCATTTTCCCATTCTCTTCTAACCCATTGGCTCAGATAGATGTGGACGGACTCAATGTCTCGGTTGTAGCTACCCCGAACACAAACGATACCTCAACAGATACTTCATCCAAACCATCCAAGCCCAAGGGCAAGTCGAAAGCCAAGGCCGAAGCTAGGGAGCTGATTGTGGATGCTCATCTGCGTTTGAAGCCGGGCATTCATTATGGCTTTCTTGGACGCAATGGTACCGGGAAATCAAGTAAGAGGCCCTGCATATTGATAGTTCATTACATGGTTGATGATGGATTTACTTGCTAGCTCTTCTACGGGCCATGGCGGACAAGCTCGTCCCTGGTATACCTCACGCGACTCGCATTGCTATTCTGCAGCAAACCGATGCCGATACGAATGGAAACCTGGATCCGGGAAGTGGAAGTCAACATGCGACTGTGCTGGAACGAGTGATGGGGAGTGATACTTCTAGGAATGAAGTGATACGGAAAATGGAGTGTAAGTCTCAGTCTCGTTTTATCATAGCCATGCTAATTTTATCCCGTTCTCAAGTCTTATCCAAGAGCTTCGACACTGATGACCCATCCCAGCCGGTCCGCGCAATTCGCACTATTCGTCACGAGCAAATCGAGAGTCAACTGTTCTTGGCTCAGAAGAATGCAAGTTTGAAGAGTGGAGCAAGAGGACTGCAGGCGCGCAAAGATTTGAAGACCGTCGAAGGGAAGGTTCAAGCCTCGAGGGACCTGTAAGTTGGTTGGTAAATGTGTCGGAGATGCATTCTGACTTCTTTAGACTGGAGCAGGAACTCGACGCCGATGTAATCAAGGCGGATACACAGGCCGCGATGGACACACTCCAGGATCTCCAATCTCAATTTGAAGCCGTATGTTCAACCCTTGACATGACAAATCGGTAGCTAATACACTGAGGTAGATGAAACTGGTCGACATCGAACAACAAGCCCGTCAGATTCTCATTGGTTTAGGGTTCAAGGAAGCTTGGTTTACAAAGCCATTCTCAGATCTATCTGGTGGCTGGCGAATGCGCTGCATGCTGGCTAGCGTCCTAATTCAAAACCCCGATGTCATGATTCTCGACGAACCAACCAACTTCCTGGATCTTCTGGGCGTCGTCTGGCTTCAGAATTATCTCCAACAGCTACGCGACTCGTCAGAAACGACTGTGGTTCTTGTCTCCCACGACAGAGACTTCATCAATGCAGTCTGCGAAGAGATCATGATACTCAAAGATCAAAAGCTCACCTACTTCCGCGGCAACCTGTCCACATACGAGAAAGATTTCGAGGAACAAAAGCTCTACTGGGGACGCATGAAGGAAGCACAAGAGCGCCAGGCGGCTCACATGGAAGCGACCATTCGTGAAAATATCAAAGTTGGGAAGAAAACAAACGATGATAATAAGCTGCGACAGGCCAAATCCCGCCAGAAGAAAGTGGACGACCGAATGGGCATCCAAGTGAGCCATAATGGAGGACGATTCAAGCTGAATAGAGACCTTGTGGGCTGGCACTTGAATGCGCGTGCGGAAATCGAGGTCCCAACAGATGAACGAGGCGCGTCGATGAGGCTCCCCGATGCTAGTGAACTACGGTTCCCAGGTCCGTTGATCTCCTTGGAAGGGATCCTCTTCCGATATAAGAATAACGAAGCCCCTGTTCTGAATGGCATTGACTTTGTGGTGCACATGGGGGATCGGGTCGGTATCATGGGTCTTAACGGTTCTGGGAAATCGACAATGGTCCGTCTCCTGGCAGGCAGTATGCTGCCGACCAAGGGGAAGTTGACGACACATTCAAGACTCAAGCTCGGCTACTACGCACAACACTCAATTGATGAACTCCAAGAACGAGGTCAAGCTGATCCTGGCCTAACTGCTTTAGGGTTGATGACAAAAGAGGTTGATGGAGCGTTCAATGAAGGCGAGATCAGAGGCTTGCTCTCCTCTATGGGTCTCCAGGGCCGGATTGTTTCTGATGTACCGGTATCCCGGCTATCAGGTGGCCAGCTGGTAAGCACTCTTCATCCATTTCTCTCCTGCAAAGCACTGACTGAACTATCAGGTCCGCTTGGCCTTAGCCAAAGTCGTATGGAACTCACCACACCTGCTCATGCTGGACGAAATCACGACCCACTTGGACTTCCACACAGTGACAGCACTCACATCAGCGCTCTCCTCGTTCAACGGCGCAATCTTGTTGATATCGCATGACCGTTTCCTCGTTCGATCTGTGATTGAAGGGAAGCGAGATGAAGAGAACAGCCTGGACGATGATTTCGAAGGTGTTGATGATAGGCAAGAGGAATCGCAGGACAGGCGACGAACTGTGTATGTTATGAAAGCCGGAAAACTCCACGAGCAGCAGGATGGTGTAGAACAGTTCGAGAAGAGCCTCGTGAAACGGGTTCAGAAGATGCTTCCGGCACCGGGATAGTGCTGGACCCTTAATTGAAGCTCACTATTGGGTGTCCCTGATAGTTCCGAATCCCTGGACGTAGAGTAGACGTCATGGAGAAGTAACCAGGTTCCAGGATGTCCGAAATAGGAAAGATAGCGGGGACAAGATTATCCGGCCCATGCCGATGGCGGCGACTCCGCGGAGCCCAGTTATCCTGATAAGAACTACTACCGTTACTAAGGTGCATCATGGTGATTACCATTCGCTGAATTCATTTCTTATCCTATCCTAGAATCCATACCCTCTGCGGAGTGTCATGCATCCTCACTTTTGTTGGGTACTAAGTAACATCTCTTCCGTTGAGAATGGCTGAGTGTCTATTGCGCCGGCGGGGCGCCTTATCACCATCGCTTGCGTCCCTGTCCCGGATCGCTGTCCGACCACACCTTCGGCGACATAGCACGAATGCGACAGCAGCGACGGCTCAACCGAACGATGAGATCCGGTCACCGCATGCTTACCCTGCTACTCCTTCTCCGGAAAAACCCTCGCCCTCGAGATGGTCTGCCCTGCGATCTGCGAAACCGTTTTCCGAGTTCCTGACAGACACATTCAACCGCCAGCATGATTATCTGCGGATAAGCGTTACGGAGCGATGCAATCTACGGTGCCTCTATTGTATGCCCGAGGAGGGTATAGAACTCTCTCCTCAGCCTCGTCTTCTTACATCGCCGGAGATTGTCTACCTCTCGTCGCTTTTCGTCTCGCAGGGCGTGACCAAGATCCGATTGACGGGCGGGGAACCAACGGTCCGGAAAGACATCGTCCCTTTGATGCAATCGATTGGAAACTTACGACCTAATGGATTACGGGAGCTGTGCTTGACGACAAACGGGATTTCACTTCATCGGAAACTCGATCCTATGGTTGAGGCGGGGTTGACAGGGATAAACCTCAGTCTAGATACACTCAACCCGTTCCAATACCAGATTATGACCAGACGAAAGGGGTTTGATGCCGTGCTGAAAAGCATTAATCGGGTCTTGGAGATGAACAAAATGGGCGCAGGGATAAAGCTGAAGATCAACTGCGTTGTAATGCGGGGTCTCAATGACCGGGAGATTGTCCCGTTCGTTGAAATGGGACGTGACAATCCCATTGAAATCCGGTTTATCGAGTATATGCCGTTCGATGGCAACAAGTGGAATGAAGGAAAGATGTTCTCTTATCAGGAGATGCTAGCGGTCATCCGGGAGAAATACCCTAATCTGGAAAAGATGGCTGATCATAAGAACGACACGAGCAAGACATATCAAGTACCTGGCTTCCAGGGCCGGGTTGGATTCATTACCAGCATGACCCATAACTTCTGTGGAACCTGCAACCGGCTGCGCATCACCAGCGATGGGAATCTGAAGGTGTGTCTATTTGGGAACTCTGAGGTCTCCTTGCGTGACGTTGTTCGGAAGGCGAACGATGGCGAACCGATCGATGAAGCAGCATTAGAAGAGCTGCAGTTACTCAACACCGTGCAGACAGCGGCACGAGCCAGCGATAGTGGTAACCTTGTCAATCCTCGAGAACGCGAACTCCTCGACATCATCGGTATGGCAGTGAAACGCAAGAAGGCGAAGCATGCTGGCATAGGAGAGCTGGAGAATATGAAGAACCGGCCCATGATACTTATTGGTGGGTAGGCGTATCCTTTTCATCCTTTATATATACATGCATTGATATATACATGCATTTGGGGAATGTTATGAATCATGACTACATGCAAACATTTGCTGTGATTTTGTTTTATTTGCAGTACAAGCGGGACGTCCAGCTTTGACTTGTATATACCACATTGTTTTGTTGGATAAGGCTGATGGAGGATATTAGACAATAAATCGACAAGGTCTCGGATTCAATTGGCAACATCTTCGAGGAATAACCCATGGTCACATATCCCAGCACACATTCTTCCGTCCAGTATATCATACGCAGGTCAAGCCCGATTCTACCATCAGCGTAGTACTAATGCCGCTGAAGGACACGCAAGGTCTCCCACTAATGCAGACCGCAAGGAGAAATCTGAAGCCGAATCAGCTCTCCCAACAGTCTCCGACCCAGACCTCCCGCATCTAACCCCTTCCCAGAACGTCCACATGACCCAAATCAGCCAGAAAGCAGTCACTCCGCGGCAAGCCACCGCCACCGGCCTGGTCTACTTCTCCAACTCGCGCCCATGGGAACTGCTCCGAGAGGGGCAAGACACGCACAAGGGTGATGTGTATAGTGTCGCTCGTATTGCGGGAATCATGGCTGCTAAACGAACTCCGGATGTGGTTCCGCTTTGTCACCCGGGCATCGGTATCACGGGTGTTGAAGTGGATGTGAAACTGCTTGAACCGACGGCAAACGACGAGGCTATAAAATACGGTGCCATGTCTGTCAAGGCAACGGTTGGCTGTCTAGGCCGCACGGGAGTTGAGATGGAAGCCATGACGGCGACAATGGGAGCTGCGTTGACGGTGTACGACATGCTCAAAGCTGTGGACAAGGGCATGGTCATTGGAGGGGTACAACTGGAGGAAAAGAAGGGAGGGAAGAGCGGACATTGGGTGCGAGAGCGAGAAATTGGCCATTAGAGTACATACTTGTTTTGCATAGTCGGAATAGAGTAGCCATGATCAGCCCTACCGAGTGCCAAGCCGGATGGTGGATTCGGCCCGGAATTTTCAAGTCTTTTTCTCGCCAACGGTCAGCGCTCCCCTTTTCTCTCTTCCATCATTCGTGTCCAATTCAGAAAATATTCACTGTTAGGAGACCGTTGAAATGGAATAACACACGCTTTTCCCCAGTTGTTTACGATAAAACCCGCGAATCCATCACATTCGATTGATTTTATCCCTCGCCGCGAATCTCGCCGCTGCAGAATTGAATTACCGCATCATATCGTCCCTCACCATCTCGACCAAATCACGACTTTTTAGCCAGGCATTCCTCTCGTGTCGAATCGCTAAACCTCGCATCAACCAGACGCTTCCCCCCCCCCGAAACAATACAATGACTTGTGGTACTACTAGATTAAAAATTCATCGAAAGTCCAGAGTCTGGTGTTGTGGGTAGCGGTGTGCGCTATACATTTAAGGATACTACTATTGGGTGGCCTTATTAGGCCGCTTTGAAATAACCTTTGAGCTTGTTCGGCGCAGATTTACGCTGCCGCTGTAGGGCCCTCTGTCCAACCAACCAGCAAGAGCATTTGGGGGTGATCCCCTGCATTTTGCTGGGAAGGCACGAAGAGAGAGTTTTCTTTGTGTGTCGCCAGGATGATCCGTGCGTACTTTTCTTTTCTTTCTTTTTTTTCCTTTCTTTATATGTGTTGTTGTTTCGATTCTTGGACGAAGCTAATATGCATGTATAGTCCGCGAATGGCGACGACCTCTTGGTCGCTTCATTATGGCGGTCCTTCCGCCATGTAACTTTATCGTGCTCCATTATGCCTACTTTATCCTCACACCACTGGTCTGCAGTGCTATTTTCTGGGGCTCTTCGACACCCGCGCGCAGTGTGGCTTATGTCGACTCCCTGTTTATGTGTGTCAGTGCGATGACGGGTGCTGGGTTGAATACTGTCTGTTCCAATAACATCCCCAGTGTTTTCAAATGCGGATTACTGACGTGTTTCAGGTCGATCTATCTTCATTGAATTCCTTTCAGCAGTCCATCTTGTTTGCACTTCTTATGCTAGGGCATGCCATCCTTATTTCCATCACGGTTTTGTTTGTTCGGAACCGGGCTTTCCATTCCAAATTCAAAGGGATTTCCAAGAATCACGCGCCTCAATGGCTAGCCAGACGCACATCGGAACCAGATCGTCCCTCGAATCTTTGCATTCAAGAAGCTCCAGTTTATGTGGAAAAAAACGAAGACGGATCAGCCACTAGTAAAGACGGAAACAATGCAAAAGTCACTGCGCAGCCTGTGCTTGCAGGGGCGCCGTCTGACCAGGACAACGATGACCGTATTCGATGGGCTGATGATGACCAACTTACGATTGGCGCAAGGCAGTCTCATCACAACCACCATGCCCATTGCGTGTTTCCGATGGTCGGAGTCGGGGCTCGCCTGGATCTAAACAATCATCCCAGAGATGTTACGCCCAACCTGCCGCTTTATGAAAAGGAGAAATTCGGCGGACTAAAGGGTATCCTCCGGGGAACACACAAATATTTTACTTCCAAGGGTTCCGTCTCGAGGAATTCGTCGTTCCATGGCCTTACTCCTGCTGAACGGGACAAGCTTGGAGGTGTTGAGTACAAAGCAGTTTCTTTCTTGTCGGTCATCGTCCCGATCTACTGGCTAAGTTTCTTGATCCTCGGTATTGTGGGTATGGGCGGTTGGTTAGAAGCAAACCATCCCGAGATCTCACGCGCCAATGGACTGTCGCCTTTCTGGACGGGTGCTTTCTTTGCTGTTTCTGCATTCGTGAACAGCGGCATGTCCCTTTTGGATGCAAACATGACAGCCTTACAGACGAACACATATCCGCTTGTGACCATGGGTATGCTGATTCTTGCCGGAAACACCCTTTATCCGTGTTTCTTACGGTTCATTGTCTGGACTATGAGGCGTTTGATGCCAGATCGGCCGTCATGGAACTCGTGGAGGATTACGCTAGATTTCATCCTGGACCATCCTAGAAGAGTTTACACGAACTTGTTCCCTGCACGCCACACGTGGTATCTGATGGCGAGTATCATCATTCTGAATGGAATTGATTGGGCTTTTTTTGAGCTCCTAGCCATCGGAAACCAGGAGATTGAGAGCTTGCCAACGGGATACCGTGTCTTGGACGGTCTATTCCAGGCCCTAGCCGTACGAGCTGGAGGGTTCTATGTGGTGACCATCTCCGGCCTTCGTCAGGGATTGCTCGTTCTATACGTTTTCATGATGTATGTTTCAGCATTCCCGGTGCTGCTCACGATGAGAAACACGAACGTCTATGAAGAGCGTTCCTTGGGAATTTACTCCCACGATGAATTAGTGGAAGAAACCAATTCCAAGCCCCCGAATTTCTTCGTCAGTCTCTTCAGACACCACATCCTCGGTCGACAAGACCCCAACACCGCCGAAGGATCCCGTAGCTACTTCGTCCACCAGCAGCTCCGCTCCCAACTGAGCCACGACATCTGGTGGATCGCCATGGCAGTCCTATTCATCGCCATCGCCGAATCCCCGCACTTCCAAAAAGACCCGGTCGGCTACTCGACCTTCAACATCATCTTCGAAGTCGTTTCGGCATATGGCTGTGTGGGCGTTAGTGTTGGGTATCCCGGCAAGAACTCGTCATTCTGTGGCTCCTGGCACACGATTAGCAAGTTGATTCTGGCTGCTGTGACTTTGAGAGGACGGCATAGGGGTCTTCCTGTTGCGATTGATCGGGCGGTTATGTTGCCTAATGAGTCGTTGGCTTATGCGGAGGAGGAGGATGCTGCGTTGAGGCGTGAGCAGACGCGTACTTATGGGATGGATAAGATGCCTATGGGGGCGGTTTAATCTCAGCACACGAAGAAGGTTATATGGAGTTGTTGGGTGTGGTTGGCCGTTGAAGTGTATCATGTTGCTTGTGTTTTTTGCTTATTTTTGTTTGCTTGTGTTCGACATTGTTTCCTAAGCAGCATTGCTTCGTTACTCGTATATAGCCTAGAGTATGTTTAGCTGTGAATAAAAGTTGCGTTCTGATTTACATTTCCTCCGGTATAAACTGCACGAAAAAGCTCATCTTAACTTTTGTATTGACACCAGTACATAGAAATAAAAACGGTAGTGTATCCCAATAATTACAGCCCCGACATAAAAACAGCAATAATCTACTCCTCTTCCATCTCACCCTCTATCTCCTCTTCATCCTCACTCTCATCTTCCAACTCCTCTTCATTCTCCTCCTCACTTTCCTCCTCATTCTCATCACCGTCAGAAGCGTCATCTTCATTCTCTCCCTCCTCGCTATCATCATCACTAGGACCAAACCCATCTTCCATAGGCACATCCTTCTCCTCCTTCTCCTGCTTCCTCCGCTTCTCTTCCTCGCGTCTCCCCTCCTCAAGAACAGCAGCGCGCTCCTCGCGCAATTTCCGCTGGTTCTTCACGAATGCGCCCAGGGGTGTTGCTTCCCAGCTGATATCCTTAAGGAAAGTCTCGACTTCTGCGCGATTCCGGGGAGTGTAGGTAACACTCAACCGGCGCTCCTCGACCCACCGCGCGTTCGCCTCGACCTTCTGCACAAGAAGCAGGATCATCTGATTGATCTTTGAGTTCTTGTTTCCGCCCTGTCGCGCTGAGGCCTGTTTGAGCCAGCGCTTGAGCATGACGACGACGGGGACGGAGAGTTCTGGGAACGCGATGTGTTTGGTCCACAGGACGAAGAACTCCGATAGGAGTTCGGCGAGTTGCTCGCCGACGCCGTCTTGGTAGGTGCGCGTGCGGAGGTAGGATTTCGGGGCGCGGATGGTGGTGTTGAAATCGAGGGGTTTGAGGGTACTTGATTTCGGGGGCTTGCGCATCTCGGCGAGGTTGAGGACTTCCAGGAGGGAGGGGGCGAGGGGGATGTAGGTTCCCGTGGAGCGGGAGAGGCGGAGGAGGGCGCGGGTGAGTTGGAAGCGGAGGGGGAAGTACTGGGCTGTTGGAATGAGGCGCATTGCTCCGATGGTGATTTGGACGACGGGGTAGATGAGGGGGCGGAGGGCGGATTGTTTGCCGACTTGGGCTTCAACGAGGCCGTCGCAGTGTTGGGAGAGGACGCGGGACCAGAAGTCGAGGGAGTGGATGTATTGCCAGTTGTAGACTGCCTTGTAGGATTCCTTGGTTGTGTTGGTGATGCTGCTGCGGAGGTGGATGGCGAGTTGGCGGATGAAGTTGAAGCCCGTTGTGTAGGAGACGTTCTGGTCGATGCCCCAGAGTTCGGTTGCCGAGTTCTTCATCAGGTTGATGCCGGCAAGGGTGTGGATGGTTGTGTTGCGGCTGCCCTTGACCACGCCTTCGTACGAGGCCTTGAGAACCGTCTCCTTGATTCCTGCATCTCCGATGACCATTAACCGGCGCAGCAGGAGGAATGCGACGATGCGGGTTGCTTCCGTGGTGGAAACATCGGCCCAGATCCCGACAACGATCTTGATCAGGGTCTTGAGTAGCTTTCTGAACTGAAGAAGGTATGGGAGCATGGGCTCGACGGACGAGAGGGTCAACTTCAACGTTTGCGCATCGGACAGGTTGGTAAGCAGCTGGTGAACGGACGCAGTGTGCGATTTGATGAGAGGCGTGAGGGTCTTGAACTTCTTGGTCTCAAGAGACAGCTTGACTTTCCCGGAACCAGTCTCCTTGACTGGGAGATGGTGAGCCAGGACCCGGGGAACCATGTTGAGCGCAGTAACGAGAACCTGGTGATACACATTCGAGTCGCGAATCGAGTACTTCATCTCCTCTTGGTCCGCTTCGTTGAGGTACGCTGCGCATCGGAAAGCGAGCACGGCCTGCCGCATGGCTCTGATCGAATGTTGCTCTTCCATCAATTTCTGCCACTTCTTCACAGTCGCCATGTTAAGTGTGTTGTCCACCATCTCCTCATCTTCACCCTCGTCCTTCTTGCCCTTCTTTTTCTTCTTGGCCGGTCCTTCCTCTTCTTCTCCCTCACTCAGCGCGTCAACTTCAGACAGGTCGTCGTGGTCACCAAAGTCGAGCAATTCCGCGTCGTTCTCCTTCAGGTATTTATAGAATTCCGGGTCCTTCTCCTTCAATGCTTCCAATTGGTCCTTGTGTTCTCCGAAGCCGTCTGGGCCGCTAGCCTGTGAGGCATCGTCGTCGCTCTGCGCATCTTCCTCTTCGCCCGAGCCCTCGGAAGCCTCGTCGTCCTGCCCCTGGCCTTCAGATCGCTTGCGCTTCCCAATCTTCGGCGAAACACCCTTCTTGCTAGGCTTCGACTGATCCGCATCGGCGTTCGCGATATCGAAACCGCCCGAAAAGAAGTCATCGACGTTCATTTCCGCAAAGGCATTTGCCTTCTTGGCCTGCTCTGGCTCATCCTCAGCGGAATTTTCGTTTTCGGCACGTTGTTTGGCATTATCGGCCTTGCGTTTATCATTCTGGTGGTGTCGTTGCTTGATCTTCGCGGACGACTTGCGCCGTTCGAGAGTATCCTTGAGATGCTTCTTCTCGAACCTCTTCGTGGCCTTTTTCTGAACCATTGTGACAAAGTTTCTTCAACCAAAAAGCAAAACTGCAATTTGGAAAATCGATGGAGGAATGGGATTCGTCGCCGGAAAGAAAAAAGAGAAAAGAAAAAAAATTCGGAGAGCATTTGGCAGCAGAAAATCCCAATCGGGTGACCGCCTTCCCCCTCCGCTCGGGCCATACAATGACACTCGACAGTAGCATTGGGAATACAATAGCTCCTCGATTCCCTCTTTCGTGGTCATGTATGCTCAACGTCCTCTCGCCTATGCGCCTATGCCCTACAGCTATACTCCCAATCCATCGTTGACAGCTTCCATCAATCTCGATGAGGTATTCCGTTCTGGTGGTTTGCTTTGCGGCATCGCGGGCTAACTGCCGCACCAGGAAGTCAAACTAGCTACCAGCTCGGCGGAGCGAGATCTCTACGAATCGTTGGCGGAGATTTACAGCATTATCGTGACCTTGGATGGCTTGGAAAAGGCTTACATCAAGGATGCGGTCACTGAGACGGAGTATACTGAGACATGTACCCGGTTATTGAAGCAGTACAAGTCCAGCCTCGGTGATGATGCTGTCGCAAGGGAGTTTGTAGACCTCGAGACTTTCAAGCGCATGTGGGAGGTAGGCTTCAACTTCTTCTTACTGGGAAAATGCGTTTGGCTGACATCCATCTAGTTAGAATGCCCGCGTGCCACTGAACGCCTCCGAATCGGTCTCCCCGCGACAGTCGAGCAAGCCACCCACACTGCCCCTACGGCGCCCATGGGCGCTGCTATGGCTGGTCCTGCAGGCGGCGCATCCGGCAGCCTGATCTTGACGGCGACAGAGAACTTCATCACCTTCCTAGACGCCTTGAAGCTGAACATGGTCTCGAAAGACGCACTCCACCCGCTGCTCTCCGAAGTCATCCAATCAGTGAACAAAGTGACGGACGCAGACTTTGAGAATCGGGGCAAGATAATTCAGTGGCTGATCACGCTGAACCAGATGCGGGCGACAGAGGAACTCAGTGAGGAACAGGCGCGGGAATTGTCGTTTGACATTGAATCGGCATATCAAGGCTTCAAGGCAACGTTGGGCTAAACGAAGCATACGAAGCATATTAGTTCATATCTGTAAACTGGAGTCTTGGGCATGGCGTTGGTGTTGGTTGCTTTTCTGCTATTGTTCTCACGGCATCGGGCCGGAGCAATTCCCGAACCAGCTTTTCCTCTTTTGGCAAATGCGATTTTTTCTCGGCGGCATCGCGAGATTTCCGATTTTCTTTGCCACATCGCGATTTTGTCTGAATACCGGCAGACTCTTCCGTATTAATTTTCTAGCATATATCGATACCAATCCTCAACACAGAAACACAAAATGATTAGCAGGGACCCTGAGGAGCCACTTCACGGTAGGATCTCTATCCACTTTTATGTGAATTGGAGCGGCGATGCGGAGTAGTGAACTGATAAACCTCCCGAATATAGTGCTTGACCTGCCTCAAATCTACACCAAACCGTCGGGAACTGAGTTGATGAAAGCCATTGACCTTCTAGCGATTAAACCACGATCTTTCAGCACAGACGCCGAGACGACAAAGACTCCGTCCGTCCAGCCGACCGGAGTAACTCGCTATCTGACCTCGATTATCTCCAGTCCACTCTCATGGCTTGAAACCGACGCACTCCGGGACGCTATATGGGATGCCACCTCTGCTCGTCTTAGCGAGCGGTGCGGTCGGACTGGTACGTGGATTTCCCGGGTTTGGGTGACCTAGGGGGTTCTAACTTCGAAAATCTCCAGCCATGCCAGCTATGTCTCGAGTCTTCACAGTGCCTACGGCAGGAGGCGACCATTTCACACTAACCCTCCACGAACCTTCGCTTACCGCTGACAACCTGGGCATGAAGACCTGGGTTTCCTCCTATCTCCTCTCCCATCGCCTTCTCACAGTCCTCGACACCGCGCCTCAGCTTGTACCATCCACGACAACTACCCCACATACCGAAGACAAACTTCGAGCGCTAGAGCTGGGGGCAGGGACCGGGCTCGTAGGACTTTCATTCGCAGCCCTCCGGGGCAAGTCGGCCACAATCCACTTGACAGACCTCCCACCGATCGTTCCCAACCTCGCACACAATGCCGCTCTGAACGTGGAACTGCTCAACAGCACGGGAGCAACAGTGACAACCGGCATCCTGGACTGGTCTATCGTCCCTGATCCACTTCCTACCCCAGAAGAGCAATATGATATCATCCTCGCTGCCGACTCGCTATACTCACCGAGTCATCCGGAACTGCTCGTTAACGCCATCACGCACTGGCTGAGCCGTGGTTCGAATGCGCGTGTGGTACTCGAGATGCCATTCCGTGATGCGTACTTGCCGCAAATAGACGAGCTCCGGCAGCGACTGGGGAATCTTGGTCTGGCAGTGGTGGAAGAGGGAGAGGAGACTGGTTATGATGACTGGGAGACGGCAGATGGGTCAGCAGTTGCGGTTCGGTGTTGGTGGTCTGTTTGGGGGTGGCCCTAGCACCCTTGAGGTTCGGACCAATAAAGTGACGAAAATAGATGATAAACGATTCGCATAGATATAAAAGGTTTAATTCCAAGCTCTTTAGATTTATCAACAAGACCAGAATGTTTCTGTATTTCTGTATAGAAAGCCATTATTCAACCCGCGCGGCTAGCCGTCCTATGACGACATTAATCATTTCGCATCCATGAATTGCCTCCATTTGGTTCCAGTAACTGTCAAACTCTTTCCGTATATCAATCACATTTTCCATAAACACCATACCATAACGTGATACCCTAACAATACACCTCCAACGCCATCCTCACCACGAACCGCCTATAACACCTAGTGCCCTCAATCACATACGTCGAACAAATACCTAACCCATCAATCCCTCCCAAAAAACCACACAAAATGGTCTTGGGCCTCTTATCCATAGCCTCCATACCCACGGTAACAGGCACAGCAATCGCCGTCAGCGAACAGCGCAAAGCGAACGAGCGCAAAAACGACGCGCGACGCATGGCTAAGTTCTATATCGATGCTGAATGTATTGGTGACACGCAGGAGGATGCTGAAGTACATGGGAGGAGGGTTGTATTAAGGGATAATAAGGTAGGACTGCATTGTGTACAGAGTATGATTGGGGTGATGGTTGGTGTTAACAGGAACAGGTTTATTTAGATGATGCGCAATCTTCGACGTCGCAATCGCAATCGCATACAGCAGAATGTTTCTACGTCGAATACCCCGAGACCGAAGAAACGAAGCATCGAAAACGAGGGCTGGGCCTTGTGACTACCATCTCCAGTAATCCACCAGCGCTAGGCTGGATCTACGTTGACCAGGACACACATGAACTCAAATACGGGAACCGCTCGCAGAGCATCGATCACGTTGTTGGGCCGTGGGATTGGATAGATGATGAGAAGACAGTGATGCTGGAGGATAAGAAGTGTTCGTTTGTGGCTGTCGAGGAGGAAGATGGATCTGGGTGGGGAGTGTATTTTGATAGAGATGGGGATGAGTTGGAGGGTGTTTTAGAGGAGCAAGGGAAGTTGGATAATGCGTTTACGCCGGTAGTGTTGAGGAGGAGGTTGGTTGAATAGGTCTTGTAATTGTACAGAGAATTTTGTCTATATCCAATGACTGTTGAACAAACGGGGAATCTAAGTAAACTAATCTTCATCGCTTCCAGCATCCTTAGCGGCGTTGGCTTTCCTGTTACGGCTGGCGTTGACAATATCTCTCTTCTTGTTCTCCTGTCGCCGCTCGAAACCGCTCTTCGTACTAATCCTCGTCCTCCTGTGCTCCTTATCATCCTTAACAGCCTTAAGCGACGACTGTCTTGCCTTGACACCGTGTTTCTTCAACTCCTGCTTATTCTTCTTGCTCAGGTCCGGAAGTGCATCCAGCAGCCATTTCTGCACGGACTTCTCGCCCTCCTTTCCGCGTAGCTTTTCGCTGACATCGATGATGTTGGCGATACTCTTGACGTACGGGATGTCTTCTTTCGTGTAGTAGGTTACTGCGATACCACCTTCTCTTCCTGCTCGACCGGTCCGTCCGACGCGGTGGACGTATACTGCTGCGGAGTTGGGGATATCGTAGTTGACGACGCCGTTGATACCGCGGAAGTCGACGCCTCGGGCTAGAAGGTCGGTTGTGACTAGGATCCAGATCTCGCCTTTGCGGAAGCCTTTCATGATTTCGGATCGTTGGGTGTCGGATAGGTCGGAGTGGAGGACGGCGATACGGGAGGAGCCACCGGCCTCGGTGGGGATATCGTATTGTAGTTCAGAGTGTAGTGCAACTGCTCGAGGAATCGTTTGTGTGAAGATCAGGAATGGAGGACGAAGGCGTACGTCCGAGGCTGAGGCTGCGGCGGGATGCAGGAGTTGTCTTAGTCCCAGCAGCTTTCCTTGTTCCGTTGCAGCGTAAGTAAGCTTATGGTGAATGTTGGGGATGGCGGAATCCTTCAGGCCAACAACGAGACGAAGCAATGGCGATGAATTGATGTTGCTGACGGACTCATGTCGTTCTTTGATTATTGATTTACTGAGATCTTCGACATTCGATCCCATAGTCGCTGACCACAAGCTCACACGAAGCTCGGGATGTGTGCAGGCACGCCAGATATCGAGGGTTTGCTCACGGAACAAGGGATCCAGAAGGACATCTGCCTCGTCAAAAACGAGACTTCTCACCAAAGGCAAGGTAGCCAAGGGCTTCGTCCCATTGGCCGAAAGTGCATTAACGAACATCAATGGGGTGGTTACCAGAATGTCACTCTTGGTAACAGGAGCTTTTTGTTGGCTCTTGCTCTTCTTGGCCTTATCGTCATCCTCTTCCGATTCGGAAGATTCTGCGCTGTCTTCGTCCAGAAGGTTATCATCATTCTTATCATCGTCGTCTCCGTGTTCCGCCACCTGCATGCCCTTCTTCATCATGGTGATCTTCACACCGGTACCCGCAACCAGTTTCCTTCCTTCGTTCACAATTTGTCCCGCGAGCTCCTTTGTCGGCGCGATAACGAGTGACAAGATCCCGCGCTCATCTTGCTGCTGGTGATGGTGCAAAACGATCTTGTTAATAACCGGAATCAAAAATGCCAGGGTCTTGCCACTTCCTGTCGGTGCAACAACCAGAAGATCAGGCTCAACCTTCTCCTCTTCCTTCGACTGCTGAGAAACCGTAGGCTCACCCAGCAACAAGGGCAAACTCCCCAGCTGAACCTCCGTAGGAACAGTAAACCCCTGCTCCGCGATGTTCTCCGCAAGTCTGCTCGAAATTTTATATCTCGAGCGCAATTCTTTAAACGAAACAAGAGGCTGTGGGAACAACCGGCGCGCCTTTTTCTGTTCCTTCTTGCTCAGCGCAGCCGGAGCAGCTTCCTGCTCCTTCTTCGCCTTCTTCTTTTTCTTCTTCGGCTCCTCGCTTTGACTTTGCGTTTGCGGTTGAAGTTCCTCGATGTCGCGCAGATCCGTGACCTTGATCTTATGCGCATTCAAAACAGTCCTCCTCTGCACCTCATCCATCCCATCACCCGCCTCCTCATCACCAGATCCATCATCTCCTTCCTGCTCAGAGCCCTCCTCAGCCTGCTCTTTCACAGCAGCAGCAGAGGAAGCTTTTTTACTCCCCGCGCTGAAGAAGTCCAACTCCGCATCATCATCTTTCTCAGGCACCTGCTCCTGACTCCTCTTCCTTTTCTTCCCGTTTTTCGCTTCTTCCAGGACCTTTTCAGCCTCTGCGTTGCGGAAGAGCTGCGGGTTCTCTGCTTTGCCTGTTGATGGGAGGCGCGCGGATGCCGATGATGGAGTTGCGCTGCCTCCGGTCTTTAACTTGGTTGACCTGGTTAGGAGCTTGAATGCGTCCATTGTGACAGGCCGGGTCGGTGTATCAAATTGACCCTTTTTAATATATTAAAAGACTTTGGACAGTTAGTGATGTCCTTGCCCGGAAGATAAGATACTTGCGTTGGTTGGTAGTCGGACATAAAAAAAAGTCAGCGCCGGTTCTGCGCACGGACCAATCAGAGTCGCTGGTTGTCAGTGTTGTATGAAATCGGTTCCTGCACGATGCAGTAGAGAATATATGTAAGTTTTTACATTGATCGCAGTTAAGGCAATTCGGAATTGGTATGGTGCTGAGTATCATTTATCTACAGCATTGGTGGTAGAATGTGGTCTTGTATAACGACTGATCCGCTCAACGGTTGACAGTCCCGCTAATCTAGAGTACTCTGTACTTGTAGTCAAAATTGCTACTACGCATTGCGTTTATGAAAAAACCAGACGAGAATAACAGAGAAGAGATGCTTTTATTCATATTATGCGCATACAGGATTATATCCAAGTAAGATTTGTGCAAAGATGCGCTCGCCCGGAGAGCCTCCCCCACGTCCGGAAATCGCACAACCCCGGAAAAAAGCCTGATTTTAAAACCACACAAATCTTTGCCTCAGACAACAGTTAAATTCCATCGTCTATCATACAATAATACAAGCACGCAAGGAAAATGGGGAAATATATGAAGGACGGTTCAGACATGACTTGGGTGTAGTGTAGTGTTATAAACCTAGTGGTGCTCTCCGTGCGCAACCTCCCCCCGGTAGCCGACAATGTTAAATCTTCCGATGATCTCGCCCACGGTGAAGAAACCAAGAACCTCAGCGGCGGTGACACCGGCAAGTGCGATCTCCTTGGCGTTGGCGCTGCGGACGCGGTTCAGGATGTTCTGCGACGAGAGGGGGCTGGACGAGGGGTTGCGGGCGGCGTTGAGGAGGTGCTGGAAGTAGGACTGGAAGGTAGCCACATTGCTGTTGGAGGAAACGGGTTAGCAGGAGGCCTTTGGTTTCGCGGCGTTCACTTGATAGACGGGGGCCCTTACGGAGGGGTCATGTTCTGGCCACGGAAAACCAGCTTGCCGAGCTCAAGTCCGACTCTCGAGTAGTAGAGCGTAGGGGGTATCATAGCTAAACCAGCATCGCATTTTGTCAGTCATGTACAACCGGAAATATTGTGGTATACGAGTGCAGAACATGGGCCCATCAAGGAGGCAAATGGAGCAAGGGGTGACGAAAGCAAACTCCCCCGCGAGCCATTGCAACCATTGAGAGAACCCATCAGATAGAAAAGCAAGTCCAGATTTGGCGAAAGAAGGGCTTTCTCTTACACTCGACAAAAGAAATGACCTTTCCGGTTCTTCCACCAACTTTCTTCAGAGCACCACCGAGACCCTGAGCAGCGTTCGAGAGGGCAGGGCCGGCCGACGAGGAAACACGAGAGAGACCCTCAGAAGCCTTCGAGGCAGTGGACGAGGCCTTTTCGCTGGCCTTGGAGGCAGCTTCGGAGGAGGAAGAGGCATGTCTGACCGCGGTCCTCCGGGTCAAGAACTGCGACTGCCGCAGAACGGCACGGGACGCTGTGGCGGGCATGACTGAAGCGACTAGGGAAAGGAAGGACGGTAGAAAAGGAAGAGAAGACGAAAAAGAAGTCGCTGGTGGAGGACAATCAAGTCCAATGGGGTCTGGGTCAAGAGCGTCGCGCAGCAACTTCAAAGCCACAAATTGAGATTTGAGTTCGGAAGGTTCAGGGAAAAGGCCTCCGTTCACGTGATTTACTTCCGACATTCACCTTTCCGCAGTCAATTCTGAAGATTTATTGAGCCATTTTTACCCAGGGGTACGGACTTGTCCAATTAGTTTTGTTTACTTTACGCTGGAGTCCTCTAATGCCTGTCATGCATTGGTGATATCATTCGTGGTGCATTGTCTACCCGACTTGAAATTCATAACCGCCGCTAGGGAACTTGTCGGAAGACTGGCATCTAACATACCCGGAATACTTAACCACTGACATTCATGCAGGACTTACTTATTGCAACTCAGTATAACTGTCAAATAGTACCGTTTACACGCAGACAAGAGTCAGAATACTAACTCCTCACTACACATTCCGTCCGCACACATGGAGGAACGGAGCGAGATACCGGCTGAGGGGTTCAGGAGGAGCATGGAAGAGATGCCCCATGGACATGGAACGCAGCATTCCTCGACCTAGTGAAAACATATCAACCATATTTCCGATGAAAGGTTCTTCCGGGTCTCCCCAAGTACGGCTCCTCGTTGGTTATTCCGGAAGCATGGGCGCCGGCAAGTGATGAGCCCAAACGTCAAGGTCCCCGAAACCAGCACGCAGGTTTTTCAGACGACGTTGGAATAAACTTTTCTGGAAAGATCTGGGAAGTGCTTGAGGTTTGTAGATGATGTCCAATCGGAAGAATTTGATATCATTCTGATTCCCTGACACCGCCTCCTTTGCCAAATGTCTGCATCAGGCTCGATCTGGCTCCGTCGAATGTCGCCTCTTGTCCTTCTGGGGACAGGGATGCTTGTGCTCGTATGCTAGTTTTGGATTTCTTGGATATGCTCTATCTAGTTCCCGGTTGATTTATCAATTCCATTGGCCATTCCCTTTCCTACGCCTATTTGGACTATCCCCCTATGAAACCACCTGGACAATCCTGCTTTCCAGCATAGAATGTGACCGGAACAGCCGAGGGCCAGTGGCCTAGAACCTCCGGGGATGTCTCAATGTCAGACGACATGCTGTGTGATGTGCAGTGAGAGCTCTGTACTCTGTCGGATACTTACTGAAGTCACGAGATACATCTTTGCGAGTACAAAATCCATTTCCGTACCATTGCCAGGTCGACGATACCACGTTGAAGGCGTCCAAGTCAAGGGGAGAAACAACACAATCGTGCCGTATCGCAGCTTTAGCACATACACAGGTCTAGAATTTACCCGGCTTATTTGAAATAACTTGGCGACAATACGCAGAATCGCTACAGGGGTAGCTCGAATAGATAGCTGTAATAGGTAGCCAATAACCCTATAAATCCTTAGGGACATTAACTGGATAATAGACAGGGATAAATGGCTATTTCGCCTCTTTGGGCCTTATTATTTAACCGAGCCAACCGGCATACTACTTGAATCTTGGCTATATCGTTATGCTACCACTGGAGGAATTGAATTTCCCGTATGTACTTTTACCAGCGTACCTTTGTAAAAGTGTTGCATATGCTCAGCAGTTACTAGGATATCTCGAATGTTCAGTAGTATTCTCTCTTGCCACTCAATATCCTTAATAATGCTGTCCAGCTATCAGTCGCTGTCCTCCGCACTGGCCAATAACGCCCTCCAGACCAACCCCACGTTCGCGGGGCAAGGTGGTTCGGGTAAAAGCTGTACTCCATCCACTCCACCAGAGTCGAGATGCGGATGAGTGTTGTTGGATGGAGGGAGCGCTGATGGTCGTGTCACCCTCGTCTGCAGATTTTTCGTTCGTTTCTTTTTTGGGTTGACTATTAAAGTAGTACAACTCAGTCTTTTTCCTCTTCTTTCCTTCACCTCCTCCATATCTCTCTTTCGTTCTTATAGATCACTCGCTTTACGTCATCCTACCAGCACAATGACTAGCGCTACCGCTGTTACCGTCAACAAGGCCAACATCGGTGTCTTCACAAACACCAACCATGACCTCTGGGTCGCTGAAGCGCAGCCTTCTCTCCAGGATGTCCAGAGTGGAAAGGGATTGAACCCTGGAGAAGTTACTGTCGAGGTCCGCAGCACAGGAATTTGCGGGTATGCTTTCATCTTCTTTCTTGAGCTTCGTGGCGATTACGATAACTGACTGTTAACTGTTGGCTTGGATTAGATCCGACGTTCACTTCTGGCACGATGGTTGTATCGGCCCCATGATCGTTACTGGCGACCACATCCTCGGTCATGAATCTGCTGGTCAGGTCATTGCCGTGGCTCCCGACGTAAAGCACCTCAAACCGGGCGACCGCGTGGCAATCGAACCCAACATTATTTGCAACGCTTGTGAGCCCTGCCTTACCGGACGGTACAACGGCTGCGAGAACGTCGCTTTTCTGTCCACTCCTCCCGTCGACGGTCTGCTCCGTCGCTATGTCAACCACCCCTCCATTTGGTGCCACAAGATTGGAGACATGAGTTATGAAGATGGTGCTCTCTTGGAGCCGCTCAGTGTGTCCCTGGCAGCAATTGAGCGCAGTGGACTTCGTTTGGGTGACCCCTGCCTGGTTACCGGAGCAGGTCCCATTGGTCTTATAACTCTGCTCAGTGCTCGCGCCGCAGGTGCATCGCCCATCGTCATTACCGACATCGACGAGGGACGATTGCAATTTGCCAAGTCGCTGGTGCCCGACGTGCGCGCCTACAAGGTCCAGACCAATCTCTCAGCGGAGGACAACGCTCAGGGTATCATCAACGTTATGAATGACGGCAACGGCTCCGCACCGGATGCTCTGCGACCCCGTCTTGCTCTGGAGTGCACGGGTGTGGAGAGCAGTGTCGCCTCCGCTATCTGGAGTGTGAAATTCGGTGGCAAGGTCTTCGTGATTGGTGTGGGCAAGAATGAGATGAAGATCCCATTCATGCGTCTGAGTACCCAGGAAATCGACCTCCAGTACCAATACCGCTACTCCAACACCTGGCCCCGCGCCATTCGCCTGGTGAAGAACGGTGTGATTGACTTAAGGAAACTCGTCACCCACCGCTACGCGCTCGAAGACGCCCTTAAGGCTTTCGGTACGGCTTCTGACCCTCGGACGGGTGCTATTAAGGTCCAGATCATGAGCTCGGAGGAAGATGTCAAGGCCTCGTCGGCTGGTCAAAGTATCTAAGGTAATGGAGTTTGTTTGTGATTATGGGCTTGGTGTTGTTTTTATTTGCATTGCGATGACCCTTTTTATGTGATGTTTCCATTTTCCAAATACCTGTGCTAGAGATGCAATTTAAACCATAGAACTGGTAGCTTGGCCTACTTCGGTATATTGTGTTCCTGTTCAAAAATGCACAACTCAACGTGCATAATTTTGTACAAGCATCAAGTCTTGGCACGTCGAGGAATGCCCCCCGTTCGTTCCTCAGGACTATCCTCACCTCGAATTCCCGCAAAAACAGCTATCTTGTTCCCTCCGTTAATACACCGGAATGGTAATGGTCATGGTGCAGGAGGGGCACAGCAACAGCGCTACATCCCGACGGAGATCGGTCTTGGAAGACACGCTACCATCAAGTTCCCCGATAAATGGCCGATGCCGGTCCTCCCCTTGGGCCAACGACGCCCTCCCATTGCACGGACTTTCCCCGCGGTCTGACCTCACATACCAGGGTTTCCCCATATTTCTCCAGATTTAGCCTTTGGCCGGGTCCGTCCGCTCTAGAAAATCAATTGGACGCCGTGCAGTGCCGAAGCCGACAAATTCCCGGTCTGGGAATGTGAGGTTCGGGTTTGTTGGGCGTTGGTTTGTTCGGTCAATCTCGTTGTGGTTAGGGATGCAATAATTAAGGTGTTTTGGCGGGTTAATACAATTTATCGGTTCCTGTTGCACCCCACATTGGATATCCGGAAAAAGAAATCTCTCGACGCATGTCAGCAATATAAATACTAGGCTATAGCCCGGGCTGAATACGACAGCTAGACTACCATCTCATTCTAACTATATTGAGCCCGCCATGTTGGGGAGTCTACTACTCTTTGCGCCCCTTGCAGGGGCAGCCGTTATTGGGTCTAGACAGAATAGCCAGCACTGTCCCGGATACAAGGCAACCAATGTCCAAGAAGGTTCCAATTCTTTGGAGGCTGACTTGGTGCTGGCCGGCAAGCCCTGTAACACGTATGGTTCTGACTTGGAGAGCTTGAAGCTCCTCGTTGAGTACCAAACTGGTAGGTCCTTGTTGTACAGTGAAACTGGTTTAAGCTTATGCTAACATTGCTAGATGAACGTCTCCATGTGATGATTTACGATGCCGATGAACAAGTCTACCAAGTGCCCGAGTCTGTCCTGACCCGGCCCGACAGTGATGGTGGCTCTCGCGAGAGCTCGGAACTCAAGTTCGACTACAAAGCTGAGCCGTTCTCCTTCACCGTCAACAAAGGGGATGAGGTGCTGTTTGACACCTCTGCCTCGGAGCTTATCTTCCAGTCTCAGTACTTGGGCCTTCGTACCTGGCTCCCTAAGGACCCGCATATCTACGGGTTGGGAGAACACAGTGACTCTCTTCGTCTGCCTACGACCAACTACACTCGAACTCTCTGGAACCGTGACTCCCCCGGTGCTCCCCCCGACAGCAACCTGTACGGTAGCCATCCGGTCTACTACGACCACCGTGGTGACAAGGGAACACACGGAGTGTTCCTTTTGAACTCCAACGGAATGGACGTGAAGCTCAACAAGACCGGCGACGGCAAGCAGTATCTCGAATACAATACCCTTGGCGGTGTTTTTGACTTCTATTTCTTTACTGGATCGACTCCCAAGGATGTCAGCGCTCAGTACTCTGAGATTGTTGGCCTCCCAGCCATGCAGAGCTACTGGACTTTTGGTGTATGTTGTCACTCGTGAACAATATCTGAAGCTAGCTAACTACTTCATAGTTCCACAACTGCAAATATGGCTACAGAGATATCTACGAGACTGCTGAAGTTGTTTACAATTACAGCAAGGCCGGAATTCCCTTGGAGACCATGTGGAACGACATCGACTACATGGACAGGAGAAGAGTGTTCACGAATGACCCAGCGAGGTTTCCTCTGGAAAAGGTGCGCGAACTTGTGGACTACCTCCATGACCACGACCAGCACTACATTGTTATGGTTGATCCGGCTGTGAGCGCTAGCAGTAAGTATTTACCATCCAGCATTGACACGGGTATACCGCTAACATACTCTAGACAATTCTGCGTTCAAAAAGGGTCTGGACCAGGACATTTTTATTAAGAGGGAGAACGGGACACTTTACAAGGGTACGTTGCCAACCTTAATATTTCTAAGAATAAATGATTGATCGTTGATTAGGTGCTGTGTGGCCTGGTGCTACTGCTTTCCCTGACTGGTTCCACCCTGACATCCAGAAATACTGGGATGGGGAATTCAATGATTTCTTCAACCCAGAGACCGGCGTTGACATTGACGGATTGTGGATTGACATGAATGAAGCCGCCAACATGTGCCCGTACCCATGCCCGAACCCGGAGCGTTACTCAGAGGAGAATGACCTCCCTCCAGAACCACCATCAGTGCGCGCAAGCAACCCGCGTCCATTGCCTGGATTCCCCTCCGACTTCCAGCCATCTTCGTCGAAGCGTGAATTGGCAAAGAGGGAACAGGGAAAGAAGATCGGCCTGCCTGACCGCAACCTCATCAGCCCGCCATACAAGATCCGTAATGCTGCTGGAGGTTTGAGCCAAAAAACGATCGACACGGATCTCGTTCACTCAGGAGGATATGTCGAGTATGACACTCACAACATGTATGGTACAAGTAAGTCGACACCATGCATATGTCCATAGATCTTGTGTCTAACCAAAATAGTGATGGGTGCTGTCTCGCGCAAATCCATGCTGCAGCGCCGCGAAGATGTGAGACCATTGGTTATTACTCGCAGCACCTTTGCAGGAGCTGGGACACAAGTTGGACACTGGTAAGTTTGCAAATCCCATTGAATTTACTCCCAATATTAACGAATCAGGCTGGGCGACAACCTGAGTCAATGGGACAGATATAGGGCCTCCATCCAACAAATTCTCTCGTTCGGATCCCTATTCCAAGTCCCCATGGTCGGAGCAGACGTCTGCGGATTCAGCGGCAACACTACCGAAGAACTCTGCGCACGCTGGGCAGCCCTAGGATCCTTCTACACCTTCTACCGCAACCACAACGACCTCGGATATCGCCCACAGGAATTCTACCACTGGCCCACCGTCACCGAATCCGCTCGGAAGGCAATCGACACCCGCTACCGTCTCCTCGACTACATCTACACAGCCTTCCGCCGCCAAACTCAGACCGGTGAACCCTTCCTCCAGCCTCTCTTCTACCTCTATCCAGAGGATAAGAACACTTTCTCCAACGACCTCCAGTTTTTCTACGGTGACGCTATTCTCGTTTCCCCGGTTACGCAGAAGGGCTCACGCTCCGTCAAGGCTTATTTCCCTGGTGATATCTTCTACGACTGGCACACCGGTGCGCCACTCCGCGGAAACGGCACACATGCAACCATCGAAAACGTCAACATCACCGAGATCCCCGTGCACATTCGCGGCGGCAACGTCATCCCCGCTCGTACCTCAGGTGCATCCACAACTACTGAGCTGCGCAAGAAGGGCTTCGAGTTGATCATCGCGCCTGGTCTTGATGGCTCTGCGTCGGGCAGTCTGTACTTGGATGATGGCGACTCGATTGAGCAGCCTAAGACCTCTGAGATTCGCTTCGATTACCGTGATGGTGAATTGAAGATCGATGGCAAGTTTGGGTATGATGGAGATGCTGTTGTGGAGGCTGTTACTTTGTTGGGAGACAAGAGTGCGAAGAAGGATGTGCAGATTGAGTTGAACAAGGAGACATCTGTGAAGGTCTAATTGTACAAAGGGATGTCCATCTCAGACTAGTCCTGTACAGAAGTTGCAGCATCAGCTGAAATGAAAGCAATTCCATCAAAGAAAGGTCTAGATATCTTCCATATCGTATCCAGTAATGCTGTAGATCACTAGTATGCATCCAATCCAACTATTGGATTATACTGAATATTTTGGCCAACTACATCTCGTGCACGAAGCTGAAATGGAGACCGAGATGTGCTGGACCTATCAAAATCAAATCTCATAGATCTGAGGATGATTATCCTTCTTCTACACTCATTGCAGACTACCACATCAATAGTCTGGGCTCGGGCTATACGATCTCGATGATGTGACATCAACCGAGCAAAAGAACAACAAGCTATATAAAAATCCCAAAACCCCCATGTCCCTCGAATACAACCCTTGAATACTTCGTCCCATCCAACTATTCTCCACCAATCACCCACCATGCATCTTTCCTTCATCCCATTAGCAATCCTCTCCTTCGCTTCCGCTACCCTCCCACTAGCCCAAGCCTCCCTCCTCCCTCTCCCCTCTCCCTCCAACGGGCTCCCATCGACCTCAATCTTTTCGGCGATCAAACGAGCAGCATCCCAGGTGGCGGTGATGGGAAGGCACAGGCTATCGCCGGCCACGACGGCAGCGGCGGGCATAAGAATGATTTAAGAGTGAATAAGAACGTCGAAAATGTAAGGTCGAAGAAAAACGGCTCTTAAGAGCGAACACGCCAGTGCACGGTTATTTATGCCTGGCGTTTCAGGCATGAATGCCGCTGCTGCCTGCTGCACCCAGACAGGGGTCGCTCCTTGTTCTTCACTATCATGCATCAAATATTTATAAAAGAGACAAAGTTATGGAATATTGTAGCTTGTATAGTATATCGATTCATGTATAGAAAAATCAACAAGTATTGCCAGTGGTTCTGGTAGCGGCAATCTAAAGCCAGCCCTAAGTTACATGCTCATCCCCCCACAGAACCAACCCCAGTGCATCTCCAAGAATTTGCATAGCAGCATAGAATAGCAAGCTCATAACAGAATAAAATGCCTTTTGTACTGCATAAGGGACAGTTTTGGTGGTTCTACATCCCGACATCCCGGCAACCTTATAGGCAACAACCAAACAACGTCATGGACTACAAGACAGACCAAAAAAAAAAAAAAAGAAAGAAAGAAAGAAAGAAAGAAAGAGCAAACAAAAAACGAACGCGCCGGGAGTCGAACCCGGGCCTCGTGGACCACTAGATGCAAGCGCTCTCCGTTGAGATACACGTCCGTTCTCCGGATATTTACTATAGCTAGTGGTCCATATGTTCACGATGGGAGCCTGTTCTACAGTATGCCTGGGGCTGCAACGTGCTGAATAAAGATTATATAAGACAGAATGAGAAGAAAAGGAAAAACAAAAAAGAAAAAAAGAAAGAAGAAAGAAGGAGCCATGCCGAGACCTCCCAGCGAGCAGCCACTTTATTGTTTCGCTATCAACAATTTGTTCTCATGTATAGAATTACTTCCATCTTCTAACACCAGCTTGTAAATTGAAATAAAAGTCTTGGTACTTTGTCTATGCGGCCACTTCTTGCATCTGGATCTGGTGTATATGCCCCGTTCTTATTCGACACCATCTTGCTGCCGCTCGTAAGCTCCATTTTGAGAGGAAATCACCGTCGATGTGAAGAGCGGTTTTCATGATATTTAAGAAATGCAGTCCCAATAGCATCAATCTGTTTGCTATTATTGTAAGTCGACAATGAAAGGAGCTGGATCTGAAGGCACAAAGACAGGGTCTGGGGCCATGGGGTTGTGAATGAGTTAAAGGAATGTTATATTCACCAGCGAATGCATGCAAACAGAGCAAATGAGTACAAGAACAACACATTGTATAAAATTCATTACAACAACTTCCCTCCTCTCCCCCATCTACACCATATTTCCAGCCATGCCGTTTTGTTCTCCACTCGGGCATCCTAATGACGCAGATGAGGTTGACGATTTCATCGAAACTCTATGGGACTATGCCAATAAGCAAGAGACGGTGTTCGTGGACGCAGAGCAGCTGGGGAATCTTGGTGTGAACGCTGAATTTGATATTGACATGTTTGTCTGAAGCAATTTTCTACCCTACAGACTTGGGGGGCATGAAGGAAATACCCCTCGCGCCAATGATTAATCTGAAGAACCTGCATTACATTTCATATGCAAGCCATCACTCCCATTCTTATTCCCGATATGATGGACTAACGTCTGTTGTAGTGATGGTAATTCATTTTACGAATTTGGAAATGGGTTGCTATTCGGCTATCCAACAACGGAGACCCCAATGAGGGATTTCTGGAAATCTAAGCTCCTACTGGAGGACGCTAGCGGTTACTATGCTCACGTTACCATTTTAGTCTGCCATGACTGCCATGTGAAATCTTCAAGCACCGTCCTCTTGGGAGAGCTGGGTGGTATTTTTACCGCCATTCGAAACCGGTTGAGAGAGGAAGATCTGCTTGCCCTTGAAAATCACACTATTTCCCCCGTATGCATGAAGCTCTATTACTTTCTGTTCTAACCTGTTCTAAAATTGCTAACAATATGCTAATATCGATCCTCATGCTATCCTTCATGGGGCCTCAACAAGGCCGGATTATCCACGCTCACTACGATAAACATCAACGGGTTCTCGCTCTACAATATCCAAAGCTTTTTGACTTTGCGCGCAAAGAAGAATCTCCATTGGAGTTGTTCTATAGATACTTCCTAAGCAATCCTACTAAGCCGAGGAGATGGATGTCCGTCAACTAGTCATTTACTTAAACTCACATGCATGCCGCTTTTAGCTGGGGAGTGGTGATTGTCTTTATAAATGCCATTTTTATACCTCTCGCACACTTTTGTTACTACATCAATTTGCCATAAGTATAAATATTGTCATGTCTGGCTCTGTATATTCTTTCCTATGGCATTGCGTACGGTTGAGGGTGATAATTGAGCGTAGGGCTGTATTACCGTCGAATGGAAGATGAGGTCATACTTCTACAAATATCTACCCTCGACCTTGCAACATCCATACTGATTCCATCCACCAAATCAGCCACCATGACCCGCGTCTACTTTCAAATAATGTCCGACCTCCACCTCGAAACCCACCCTTCCTATACCTCCTACCCACTCCCCCAAACAGCCCCAATCTCGCCCTCCTCGGTGACATCGGCCACGTCGCAGACCCCCAACTCTTCACCTTCCTCGAAGACCAACTCAGCCACTACTCGATCGTCTTCTATCTCCTTGGCAACCACGATCCATACCACATGTCATTCCAGCTCGCGAGGAAGAAAATGCGGGAGTTCCAAGCAAAAGTGGATAAACGCAAGATTATGCTGAGGAAGTTCGCCTTTTTGGATCAGACGAGGTTCTACATCAGCGATGGGATTACGATTCTAGGTTGCACGCTATTCTCGCATGTCCCTCCGCACCAGGAGTTTGCTGTTGAGATCCGGCTGGTGGATTTCAGGGGTATTCTACGGTGGGATGTGGATGAGCATAATGCTGCACATGAGTCGGATCTCAATTGGCTTAATGATCAGGTTGGCCGAATGGCTGTGGACGAGCCGCATCGACGGATCGTGATTTTTCACACCACAGCCCCAGCACGGATCCGAGGAGTAGGGATCCCAGTCATGAAGGAAGTGAGGTTTCGAGTGGGTTTGTTACGGATCTGAGTGGGGGGGGAGTGCTGGAGGGCATTTAATGTTGTGGCGTGGGCGTTTGGACATATGCATCACAACTGTGAGTTCAGAGATGAGGGTGGAAAGACTATCATGACGAATCAGAAGGGGTATTATATGTACCCGAAGAAGACGTTCGTTGCTGGCCGTGTGTTCACGGTTGGCGAATAGCTGCAGCCATTGTCAGTGAGCTCTCCAGCTGCTTCCCAGCACTTCCTGGCTTTGCTAACCCCTTTTTAGGCTTCTGGGGTATTGCGGCACAGTCTCGGATTTACCTGTAGTAGAGAAGATACGAGGTTATTAATGTAAGTGAGTGAAAGCAGATTGATAATCGCCCCTTCCTTTGCACTTTATGATGTACGGAGTATATAACCACTGTGCGATGCCCTGGAAAAGCACTAAGCGCTACGCCTAATGGGGAAAAGAAGAGGTAAAAGGAATGAATCGATAGATACGTAGCTAGACGAAGCTATCTATCTGTGATCTATATCTAGCTAATGATGAAGCCAAAGTGGCCGAAATGAGGACATAAATAATAAGACTGCAATTGAGACTGCCATCGAAGGAGCTCCCCCGCCATCTGCTGCTGTTTTAGAAACATGCGCATACCTCGTTGAATCTGGGACCACAGAATCCGAAGCCGAACTTGTCCTTCGTCAAGCTTCCCGTGATGGCAACCTAGAAATTGCAAAGCGCATGCTGCAGTGCGGAACAAGGATAGACCCCATTCCAGCCAGCGACAGTGCTGAATTACGCCAACTCTTCCTTGATTTCCCCACATCTTGAATTTGTTTCCGAGTTACAGCAGGCGATTTGAGGGTAGTTATATGGCGGTCCTGACAAATTTCGTCAATGGATGGTGTGTTGGAATGTGTCATGACTAATGTTGGATCTTTTTTGTCGTCTGTATGGGGTACTAGAACGTATATATCGCAAGCATCACACCAAGCAGTTCGAGCGCGTAGCATGGATATAAACTATCATTCCATTAGCGTAATGCAGGCCATATAACCACAATTGTCGAGTAATGCAGCTGCGCAGATAACAATTTCCCCATCACCATCATCACCGGGCCGGTCTCAAAGGCTAGGGCTACCACTATTTCTTCTGTTATTGGCCGGGAACATAATTCCCTCTACTCCCCCATCAGAATACATATCCGACAATTTTATATGTGTACATGCATGACATAAAGATAAGATCAAGCCGTCAATCTTTTAAGGTATCGTTGCCGAGATATGGAACTCGGCAAAACCCCCGATCTGATTACGGACCCATAAACGACGGAAAGTGTCCGAAATCAGTGTGGAAACCGAAACCTGAATAAATCTCACCGGCTGTCGGCCTTGTGAGGACCTTGCGGGCGATGGCGATGCAAGAAATACTGCTACAGGAATGTGTTCCGGATTTTAGCCGGATGGTGGTTATTGGTACATAATGGTAGTGGTAAGGTTAAGGTTAGATAACCAGTAGTGGTATTATGCTGATGTATGTACAATCGCTGAAGAATTTGAATCGCTAGTCATGATATCGTGTAATGCAAATGCAGACAAAAAAGAGAGAAGGAATCGAAATCAACACAACAACTCCTCTGTGTTCAAACAGAACACTCGTTCGGCCAGTCCTGGCTGGCTGGAACACCATCGTAAACACGACTCCGTGAAAGGTCTGATATTCATCCCGTCGAATCGTGTGTGCGGCCAGTCTGAAGCATAGATCACCCGTCGAGGAGCCACGCGCAGTAATTCGATGGCAATTGCTTGGATGTCCCGCATCTGCTTGTCCTTGCTGAGACGGTAAGGTGCCGAAATCTTGACGTACGTTTTTCCTGCACGGAGCAAGGAGACCAGAGACGAAAAACCGGGGAGCGAGTAAGGATCGAAGGGCAAGTTCACATTATCTTTCCAAGTGATCGAGGAGAGTTCAGGCCCTCCGAAATGGTCGATGCAGATTTTGACACCTAATCGGGGGACAATGCGTTCCAGCATAGGTAGCATATGCAGGGGAACCCAGAGTTGGATGATCCATCCGAGAGGACGGACTATCTCCGCATGCCTCAGCAAAGTTTCCTCCAGCTCCTGCTCGTTCATCACTTTGCCAACGGATTTCAGGTTGACTCGGACGCCGCGGACACCGAGAGTGTGCCATTCCGTAAGTGTTGAGGGTTCGAAGGTTTCCGGATCGATCACCACTATCCCTCGTCCGCGAGAGGGGCCCATTTTCTTCAGTGCTTCCAAAAGACACGAGTTGTCGGTTCCGTAAATCGATGGCTGCACAAGAACGATGTTTTCGACTCCGATAGACGACTCGAAGGCCATGGCATCCTTTAGCGTACGCGAAGGTGGTTGATACATTGCGTCTGCGGCGATGGGATACCGCTGGGGTTCCACGACATGCATATGGCTATCCCATGAGCGCGGCGGGAGTCTGTGCTTGAATAGTAGCGTCGGTGCGGCCTTCTGGGTTTCGTAGACATCGTCTCGCGGTTCTTCTTTGTGAGTCCCGAAGGCAAATGAAACCCGGGGAAGGCCCTCAAGGAAGCTAGTCTTGGGCTTGACGAAAGTAAGTAAACCGGACACGGAGAAGATAGCCATGGCGCGTTAAGCTATAGTAGGGAAAGGAACATAACAAGATTGACAACGAAGAAATGACAGGAGAATAAAGTAGACGTCAAACGGGAACAAAGGGCATGTTATACCCAATGCGCCACGCCAGCTTGGCCATCACTTACCAGTACATCTAGACGAGGTCGCCCGATGGCTCCTTGCAGACGACATAACCGCAGAGAAGCCATGATCCAGCGCGGACTCTGAGCGAAGGGAAGCACCCACATAACCAAACCTGATATGACTAGTTCGATTGGCTCAGCCGATCGTTTGTCGTTTGTCACAGATAGCACACCGGCGAGAGCTGTCACGAAACAGAAACCGGCTTCCCGGTGACTCTATACCGAAAAGACGTTTTGGCAGGAGATAAAAAATGAAATGGCAAAAAAAAAAAAAAAAAACACGGTCATATTAAACGGATATCATGAGCAACAGACCCACAGACAATTCGTCAGTCATAATTCCGTATCCTTTCCGGCGCAAAAACGCAAGCATAGTGACTACGGAAGTCGTCCGGACGGCGAATGCGCAGAGATTTGAAGGCCCTCCAGGAACTCAACCGAGCGGTAGGGTCCAATTTGTATGGAGATGGAAGTTCTCGTGCAATGATTCCGGAAGCTCAATGGCTATATGGCAGCTGTTTCAATAGATCACTTTTAGCTATCCGAATGGAGCATTCTGCTGTGCTATTCTCGTTGAGCCGAAACAGCCGTGGGACCGGATATAATGAGAGAAGTGGACTGCGCGGGAGCCCATCCGGGTCGATCTGATGGAGCACATACCAATTGTAGTATATTATGCCTGGAGAATTCTCTTAAATCACTCACAAAAGCACCAATTTTCAACTCGTTTCGAGGGTTTGGAGTTGATGGTCGCTGCAGCGAACAGACGCTGGGCGTGGGAGGAGGGAGAGGCGGAGGTTGCCCGACCAGGAAAGGGAAAGGGACTTTTGCCATTGCAAACTGAATAATAGCGACCCTCTTCAACCTCTTTTCGTCTTGAACCTTTCCCCAGATTCGTCGCTCTGGGGGTCTGTATATATCTCACGCAACTTTCTTTTATCTTCTGTATATATACCCATAACGCTCGTTTTCTGTCTTCCATCGCATCATGGCGCAAGCGATGGACAGGTCGCGATGGACCACCAACCCCTATTATGCCATAGTCATTCTTATTGTCGCGTGCGGCAGTATCCCCAAAGGTGCGCCATCAACCTCGTGTTGCTTTTTCTTTCATGCGACAAAGAAAATGACCTGCATATACGAGAAAAAAAAGGCGGTAAATTGACTCTTTATTGGTTGCAGGTTACGATGAGGGAGGATACAGCGCAAGCGTCAAGCTAGACTCGTTCACGCACGATTACAACCTGATCTCCGCCAACTGGAAGGACGATCCGAATGGGCTGGCCAACCGCAAGGCCAATATCACCTCGTTTAACGTGCTAGGTGCAGCCTTTGGTGCGCTGTTCTCGTTGTATCTCAACGATCGCCTGGGTCGTCTTAACGCGTGGCGACTGGCTGTGTTGGTCTGGGCGTCGGGCACTTTCGTTCAGGTCTTCGCGTCGGGGATTTATGGGTTGTTGTTGTTTGCGAGAATCTGGAGTGGTCTGGGGGCTGGCTTGCTGACGGTCGTGGTGCCGTTGTACCTGTCAGAAATTGGTAGGGATTGTCTATCATAAGAATTTGAGTTTGATTGCTGACACGTACAGCTCCGACAAGGACGAGAGGTCTCGTGGTCAGTTGTTACATGGTGATTTTGTTGTTGATCCTCACAGTGGGTGAGTACTCCCTATATCTCCACATTCTTAAGGCTATACTAACATGTACTCCTACAGGCTTCTTCGTCAACTATGGCGCCAAAATCCACATGGCCCCTACGCGCATGCAATACCGGCTCGTCCAATCCATCCCCCTCATCCCCGTCGGAATCGCCTTCATAGCATCGTTCTACTGCCCCGAATCCCCCCGCTACCTCGCCTCCAAACAACGCCGTGATGAAGGCCGCGCCGTACTCGCTCGCCTCCGCGGCAAATCCATCGAAGACCCAACCGTCGACGAGGAATTCAAAACAATCAACAACCAAGTCCGCGAGAAAACCGCCGACCTAGCCTCCATCTCGCATTGGCAAGCCTTCAAAGAAACCCAACTCAACCCCAACTACCGCCAACGCTTCTGGCTCCTCATGGCCATGCAGACCGTTGCCCAGTGGACGGGTGGTAACGGCATCACCTACTACATCTCTGACATCTTCCAGTACGCCGGCGTGTCCGATGACAGCTCCCTCATCTCCTCGGGCGCCTACGGCATCGTCAAATTTGTCTTCACCCTCGCCTTCACATGGGGTCTAATCGACTACCTGGGCCGCCGCACCTGCACAATCATGGGTCTCTCCTTCCAACTCGGCGCACACATCTACATGGGCGCATACATGGGTCTACAACCAGGCTCCTCAGATAACGAAAACGCCTCCAACGCGGCCATCGCCTCCGTCTTCATCTACGCATTCGGCTGGTCCATCGGCCTCTGCACAATCCCGTACCTCTACGGCACGGAGATCTTCCCCACGCGCATCCGCAACATCAGCTACGCGATGAGCATGTCGCTGCACTGGTTCTTCCAGTTTGCCGTTGTGCGGGTTACTCCTAACATGTTCGTTTCATTGAACGTGTGGGGCGCGTATCTGTTCTGGGCGATTATTTGTACATGCGGTCTTGTGATTCTAGGTATTTGGATGCCGGAGACGAAGGGCGTGCCGATTGAGCGGATGGGTGATCTTTTTGATACGCCGTGGTATTTGCGGTGGAAGGCCAAGGCGAGGGAGGTTGAGGAGCCGCCTTCGTCGTCGTCGGATGCGGATAATGTGGAGTATACGTATGAGAGGGGTCAGGAGAAGTAAGTGCTATACGGTGAAGTATATGGTGCTTGGTTGGTTGGATATATTCTTGAATTGTCTTAATATATAATTTGTGTGTTATCATCTTGTTTGGTTTGGTTTTGTTTGGTGAGATCTATACCCATTTATTGGACATTTGATGCATTGGGTGCACGTTAAAAAGTTGAAATACATACATTCGCATGTTTAATATCAGAAAGGGGATTGCCATTTATTCCACGCCTGAACCTACATATAATGAAAAGAGAAAATCTAATCCAGAGAGATATATCAAACAGAGATCACAAGTACAGAAAAGAAACCACTCCACTTCGCCTTTCCTCCCCCTAACTCAAACAAAGAACAAGAGAATATATATAGAAAGATAGCCAAAAACCAACCCTGTTTTGACACCTATCCAAAACCAGGCATATTCGTCGTAATAGGCTCCGCATATGAAAACGCCTCGAAAACCTCCGGCGTAATCTCATAAGTCCCCGTATTATCCAGCGACATTACAGCATTCGGCATCCCGCCCAGTAAATGTGTCGCCCCCAGTGGCGGCAATCCTCCCGTAGACGAGTGGTGATGGTGATGATGCGGTTGGTGTGATTGGTGGTGAGAGAGGTCAAAACCCGTCTGCTGTTGCGGGAAGCTATAGCCCTGGAGCATAGAAGCAGATGCTGTGGATCCGGGCGTGCCCATGGACGAAGAAGGATGGCTTGAATGGTGTGAGTGGTGCGGATGGTGGACGGGGGACACGTGACCCGAATCGGTGTCGCTGGGGTTTAAGATGTGACCCATCGCGGGGAGGTGAGGACCTTGAGGTTGAGGGGAGTGGCTGTGATGCCGAGGTTGGGATTGTGGGTCTGGGGTTGTTGGTGTCGGGGCTGGGACCGGGATGTCGATCTGGAGTTTCTGGAGTTCTTGGTAGATGAGGCCTAGAGCCGTGTTGATCACTGTTGTCGTTAGCCGATGTCTAATTTTAGTATCTTTCGCTGCTAAACTCACCAGGATTGGCAGTCCGGACACGCTCTAGAGCATTGATGCAGTACTTCAGCTTATCCAACGTGCCCGGTGCGGCGTATTTCAGAGCCTGAATTTCCAACAAAAATATCGACGCAGCCGTATAGACACTGTAGGCGAGCGAGAGAACCACATGCGCATCGCCAAAGGTACGACGGTACAAGTCAAATAGCGATAGAGTCGCGATCGCAGACGACATACACTGAATTAGATGGCTCTGGTCATAAGATTCTCTGGTTGTCTTGGAGCAAAGAACCGGACGGTGAAGTAAGATGTTAATTGTGTGATACAGACAACTGTTATTGTTAGCATTCAAGCCCGAATTATGGAGAGGCCATGACATACTTGAGAATCACCATATGACTTGGAGGACTGTACGGTGGCAGATCAGATGGCACCAATTTCAGATAAGGAGGCAGGTCCTCCCACCAATCAGCTAGATTCTTCGCTTGCTCCTGGATGCATTGATAGAACTCTGCCTCGGAGATCTGGCGGATAGGATCGTAGATGTGGACCAGGATTTGGTTGAGAATTTCAGCCAACCCACACATTTTCATGAAGCATGATGTCGAATGCGCCTGGGTCGGTGGATATTGCATGCCCTCGGGGAAGATGACACCATGCGGTGTCCAGATTTCAATTTCCGAAGTGTCGTCCACTATTCACTTATTAGACATAGCAAGGCCACGGGCTCAGGTCATCGACTTACAGATCATCCTAGGTGGGCTAACACGCGAGTGCTGCATCGTTGGAGACCGACCGAAGTACAAAGAAACCATCTTATCCCAGAAATAACAACTCCAGAAAAGACGGTTCCGGATCTCAATGTCCTCGTCATTCAGCTGCGCGGAACCAGAGTATTTTCGACTGTCGATCGAGATCCCCAAATCGTCCAGCAATCGGAACGCCATCCCGCTATACAACCATGCCTGAGTTCTATTGCCCCGTCCACATTCTTGTGCACTGAGAAGCAGCAACGTCTGAATCGTCGGGATGCCCGCGTATCCAACTTTCAGAGAGTCATGGACGCCAGAGATGGCACGTTGGAAGAACTGTGCACCGCCATCGAATGACCCCAAGATCGGGCCGATCTTCGGTTCAGCCTTACACCATCGGACCGAGTGGGAGAGGAGGGCGTTCAGGAGAATATCAGAGTAATAGGGCCCATTAATTTTCAGGTCACCTATATCGTGTCAGTTGCAAGCATTCATGTGGTATGGTGGAGGAAATAACGCACGAGTAAAGGCAGGACGATAGACAAAATTAAATAGAGGGTGGATCCAACACCAGTGGGAATCCAACAAATACTGGAAAGGTTCCTGGGCCAGGTTAGCACACGTTCAACACTCCATGGCAGAATGAACGCCTACCGGCATAGCAGCCAGCTGCTCAAATGCCCTCTCCCGCCACGCATTGTTAATCAACCGTTCCTTCCTAGCCCCCATCTCCATGCCCAGAGGGAACACCGACGACGCTTCCGGGACGCCACTGGGCAGTTGGAACAAACTGGTCGGGCCATGGAAGGAGATACGGCCATCATTCTCGACTTTCAAGCCTTCGAAATCCTGTGATAAATCCTGTTCACTACCTTCTTCTTCTTCCTTTATTGTCTGTTGACGCAAGCTGGGACTGGCACTAGAGCCGGCGCCCGTCGATGCAGGCGAGGTTGTTTTCCGCAGCTCTGTGTCGGACGGTTGCTGCAAGCGGGTCTTGGCCAGAGCCTCTTCCAGCTGTGCGACTCGGGATTCCAACTGTTTTGTATAGGATAATGTAGGAGCTCTATGCAAATCCCAACATTAGTACTTTTTTTTTTTTTGTATTTATTATTATTTTTTCCTTGTTGTGATGCAGGAACACAATGAGGGGTTCAGTGGGTTCGCCTTACAAGCTATAGACGCAAGTTTCGCCTCGAGCGGCACACCGTGAACATGATGGACTAGCACCATTGCATTTCACCTTCAAACAGACAAAGAAAAGCACATGTCAGCCTTATACCAATATTCAATCTCAAACAAGGAAGTAAACCCGGGCGGGAGAGCTCATAGGTGCTATGACCTATCTCAGCCTCGTCCTCGCTCGGACGGACTCCGCCCGACCACGCGACAGCAAGAATGGAGAAGAAAAAAGAGAAGGTCAAATCAGAAGGACACATGGGAAAATCTCACCTTACGCTTTCGACAGGCCTCACATGAAAAGGCACTTTTCCGGGGCAGATTAGCCTTCCCGGGGATCTCGGCCATGCCTGAGCCTGAACTGCTGGATTCTACCACCATCAATGCGCAGATGAAGAAAGAGGAGCGCGACCCAAAATGACCGCCACAGATCGATCAGGATGCGCTGCTCGCGCCATGGAAGAGAGAGACGAGCTCTTGGGAAAGAATGTAAAAGGAGGGATGGAAAGCGACAGAGAGAGAAGTTAAAGGATTTAATCAAAGGAGAAAAAGACGCGCTGGAGAGACAGAGGAAGAGCCCGTCCGTCTCTGGGACACTTTGGCTGGGGCAGAGGGGAACCTTAGATAATAATTCCAGAAATTTTTCGTGGGGCTCGTTTTTGGGGGAGGCGGATCGCGGGGAAGACTAGCTGGCCTTATAGGGGGTCTCCTATAGACAGATTTCAACTTGAGTTTGACAAGTCTATGACAAGCCGTCGAGGAGCTATCTGGCTTGCTTAGGTACTTTTTATTCTACAGTTATAGTACATCGTGACATTCATGGCTACATAGTACAGTGTACATCATCCCTCAGGAGCATCCTTTAAAGGAAATGCTTCTCCAACTGAACCAGCAGATCATGCACCTGATCGACCTTCAACTTCACGGCCCGAGGATTCTGTAAAGACTCGCCCAGTTGCCGACCCGCCACTTCCTGGAATATCTGCGCATTGCCCTCCGGTGGGCTCTGCATCTGACCAGTCACATCAACCGTGATGCTGGAATCCGCAATGTCTTTCGGTCCCAGAATGAAAATGAGGTTGTACCTCATCTGTTTAGCTCGTTGGATCTTCTTCCCCAGCGTCTGGGGACTCGTGTCCACGTCGATCAGGAAGGTCGAATCCACGGACGATAGAGGCTTAGGTGGCGAAGCTAGAGAGGCATTGTCTGAAAGCAAAGGCCGGAAACCAGAGATCCTTGCAGCAGCCTCATGAGCCTGCTGGACAACTGCCTCGTCCTGGTTGACGGTCAAGATGATGCCTTGACGTGGCGACAACCAGAATGGCCAGCGACCGGCGTATTGCTCGATCAGCAAGGCCAAGAATCGCTCGATTGACCCAAAGTTGGCCCGGTGAATAAGAACTGGAGTCGCCTTGCCCGGGGTCGCAGGGTTGTAGTCCTCCTCACCCTCAGCGACCTGGTATTCCAATTCGAACCGCTGAGGCAGGTTCATATCCAGCTGGATGGTGGACAATTGGTGATACTTGCCTGCCTGGTCCTGAAGCTGGATATCAATCTTAGGCCCGTAGAACGCACCATCCCCTTCATTCAACGCCCACTCGCGACCGCTGCTATTCAGGGCCTCGCGCAGCTGATCCTCGGCGCTATTCCACAGATCCAAACTTCCGATAAAGTCCTTCTCCGGTCGTGTCGACAGCACAAGTCGATGTGGCCCCAGGCCAAACGTAGTCATAACCAAATCCACAAAGCCTAATGCAGACGCAATCTCCTGCTTAATCTGCTGCGGCCGGCAGAAGATATGACCATCATCTTGGTGGAAACGGCGCACGCGAGTAAGTCCACTCAAAGAACCAGACACTTCGTTGCGATGTAGCGGACTGAAATCGGCATAGCGCACAGGGAGTTCACGGTATGAGTGGTTCTGCGACTTGAACATGAGGCAATGGCCCGGGCAGTTCATTGGCTTCAATCCATACGACTCATCTTCGCCCAGTTCGCCTTCTGTTTCGCCAGTGGCCCCTCGCCCGCGCACCTCATACATATCATCCTTGTAGTTCTGCCAGTGGCCCGAAATTTCCCACAATGAACGCTTGTAGATAGTCGGAGTGAGGACTTCGCGGAAACCATACTGTTGGTATTGTGCGCGAAGGAAGGAGACGAGTTTGTTGATGATGTGTGTGCCATTGGGGAGGAAAAGCGGCGATCCGGGACTGTAGACGGAAGAAGTAAAGATATCTGATCCTAAAGCTCGATAATCGGGGTTGGAGGATGCGGTGTTGGGTGTTTTTGCGGCATTGTCACCGGACTGGGGATCGGAGCATGAACAGTTTCGCGTCGGCGTGGAGGACAGCAATTGCACTTGTAATCGCGATGAAGGTGTGTAGAGCACCGGTCGCCCTGATAATGGGCGTAACCGGGGGAGTGTGCTTAATCGACACATTGTTGTTAGGGAAGAAAAGGACTTTTTGCGGCAGTCGAGAAATGAAGCTTTTGGTACGGGCCGACTTCCCCACCACCACTAACTACGGAGTCGGGGTACGGAGTACAACCATAATAATATTCAATCAATTTAATGGAGTATACATTATCTTTATGCTCTTTGAATGGGTTTGACAACCAGTATTAAAAACGAACGTGATTGGTAATGATCCGTACTCTTAACTACACCTAACCATGAGCAAGTAATCAACAAGCACTTCACTACAACAGAGGAGGCAGATAAGCTATCTTGTTAGATGCAATAAGAAACTAAGTACGGAGCAAGAAGGGGTATAAAAGCTTCTATGGAGCTTTTTGTTTAGCCACGATATTCCGTTCGCAACTTGAGCAATATTTGGCCATCCAGTTTCTCGCCGCGCAACCAGTCGTTGACAATCTGTCGACCCAAGTCCTCAATTGCATTCCTGCGTAGCTGCTGTTCACTCTCTCTCCAGAAGCCCAAGGATCTCACATCCGCGAGCACATCACAGGCTTCAACAACATACGGGGGCGCGATTGCAATATTCCCCGAAGCAGTCTTCAAATCTATCCCATAATGTTCACGAAACGCAGCCCTCAACGCCTCCACGTTCTCCTCGCTTTCGTCAATTAAAGATGAGAGGAGTCGAGTATCGGTGGTAATGTCGCCCCCGTGTACTGCTGCATCGCAAAGAGCTCGTAGCCCATCATTCCTGATTCCTGCCCACTCATACAACACACACCATCTGCCCCGATCATGCGCAGCTTTTACTGGGTGAAGGTCCCGGAGCTCAATCTCATGTGCATTAACTGTTTTGGAAATGGCGCTGGCTGTTGCGGCAAGAAATTTGGTTTGGTTTGCTAATGATTTAACGGCTTTTTCCAGTTGCGTGAGTTGCTGGGTGAGTGTATGGCTGTTGATATTTACTAGGGTTTTCATGTTGTCGTTCATTGTATATTCTTATTTCTTCAAGAGGGCAGATGACATCTAGACATATAAACAGAAAACTAATGAGTTAGTCATCAATTGCTGACAGCAAACTTACATGTACATGTCTGTACGAAATGACGTTTTCTGCCATTTCTACTAAGCTGTTAATACCGTAAGAAATGTGACGACATGTACAAGAGCCTGAGCATTCTGGCGGAATTTGGGTAGTTAACTAACTAGTTAACTAGTTATGTAGCAGCGCGGAGTGGAACCTGCACTGACTCCTTCCTTCCCGTGTCATTCACTGGATTCGGGAAGCAATTTTCATAAAATTACCACAATAGTGCCTTGAAAATTGAAACAGAAAACGAATGAGATTGGGTGCCCTTGCGGTAGTCGTGTTTGCTGTGGCGCGCCAGCACAGCACTTGGTATGTGCTCGGAGTATATATCCTTTCATCTCACCCCTCCGAACCAACCAACCCGCTGACTTTCTTCAACGCAAAAGACAGAAACGTCCCGACCCATGTCCACAACCCTATCGCGTCCCCAGGAAATCTCTATCCTGGGTGAATCCTGGGTAGTGCCGTCGTTACCATCGCTGCCCGAGAAGGAACGGCAAAACGACGGAACCGAGACAAACAACCCGGATCCGCGACAACAATCAGAGACAAACAAGGAGGATGATTCAAACACAATGGATACATCTGGTTCGTTGATATCGGGGCCTGAGCTTATTATGCCGTCGATATGCGAGGAACCGATTCTGATGCCGCACGTACGGTCAAGACAATCTTCTCCGTCAAATTCGCAGACGTTGAAACAAAGACGTATACCGTCGAAGAAGACAGTGGTGGATCGTGAGGATACACCATCTGAGCCGCCCGTGAAGGAAAAAATGAGGATCCCAAAGAAGCAGGTCGATAATGGATCAAAATGGGCATCAGGCTGGACGTGGGAAAGGCCCATCCGCGCCATAACCAACCTGCTCCTCATCGCAGCCATCTCGCATCTGCTCGTCGTTCCCGAAGTGGTCTACCATTCCCGACACCTCTGCACGATCCCAACTATACCCGCTCTCTATCCAACAAGCTGTTCACAACTATCCCACTCCGGTCACTACAACCACCGCCCACCACCAACCCGCTACGACTCCGTCCTCTCCCTCCAAACCCAACTCGAAATCCTCTTCAACTCGACCCTCGAAGAAATCAAGCCCTATGCCAACAGCCTCCCCGAAACCGAATCACTCCTCCGCGATATCCAAACCGCCATGAAACAAGTCCAGTCGGGGCCCCGACACGAACTTTCACTTGAATACGACGGTTGCCGACAAGCACTCACCACGGCGACACGCAAACTCGACTCTCTCAAGGCGGACCTTCGCTCTGCGGTCGATAGTCTAATGGCGACGGGCGGGTTACCACAAGACAACCAGAATCACCACCATCGTGTCGCGAAGGATGTCCGGCTGTCGACGCAGATGGCCAGGAGGGAGAAATACCTCGATCAACTGGCGGCGCGGATGCGGTTGAAGACGGACTCGTTGACGGGAGATTTTGCGACGGTGGCTGACCATCTGGAGTCGCTTAAGCGGATTGTCGCGCAGCAGGCTTCGTTGCAGTTTCCACATGGTGATAATGGGAATGGTGACCGCGACGAGTCAAACGTGTATAAGAACGTCCGCTCGTTTGTGGATTCGATTGTCCCCGGGTGGAGGGTACCTCGGTGACCCCATCATGCCACCGATTCCAGTAAATTAACCGGTTCCCACACCCAGTTCCCCATGTCTCAGAACCCGATCGTCCTTCGACTGTCTCATCGACATGAAATTGCATCCCTCTCATGACCCCTTATTGATGACGTCTTATGCCCTCCCGTTAATCTCATGTCTATACCCTTATGTAATGCCTATGCCTAACTAACGCCTAGAATGTGGAAAATGATATCATGTTAATGAAAGCGCATATCAATTGCCCCTGATCTTCCAAAAAGCTCCTACCAGAAGTACGGAGTGCAAATTGTACGTAAAGTCACGCAATGAACGCAATGGCTCTGTATTATGGCGGCATAAGTGAATCTTAAAAATTAGAAAGAAGAGAGGCAAAAAAAAAAAAAAAAAAAAAATTTGCTCGCACTCGGATTCGAACCGAGGATCTCATCATTACTAGTGATGCGCTTTACCAACTAAGCCATGCGAGCTGATTGGTTAGATAAGGATTGACAAACTATGATACATATACCAGCTAGCATTGTAGAAAGAAAAACGAGGCAGCCACCAGTCTACCCAACCCATACAAATTAAATCCATATACAAAATCCCTTCCACGTACAGAGTACACAACACAGTCCGATTGGAAATATATACCCCACCCTCAGCCCTACAACCCCCCAACCACTCCCTATCCACCATGAACCCGTAAGTACTCCATACTTGTACGGAGAAAGCCGGCCCCAGTTCTAGAACTCGGTTATGATCTTCAACGGAAGGTCTAGACCGGGTTTCCTGGCTACGTATGTTCTCCTGTCAATCCATTGGTATGTTACTTTTGCTTTTCTGCTTTCTGCGTTCTTCGTGGAGGGTGCTTTTGGGGGAAGAAGACGAGAACGTATCCTTGGATATGATGTTCTGGGCTTTGGGAATCGGTATTGGCATAGGTCCAGTTTCGTGTCGGTTGCTGTACGGAGTATGTGTGTAGTATTAGTTTTTATGGATTTGGCTCGGGTTTTCCGTAGGCGAATTAACAAAAGGACCTGATAGGAATACGTCCGAGTCAATTGATAGATTCGTGCTCGTATGCATGTCTCAGCCGGGAGATACTTCATCCACCGGTTCTTTGCGAAAGGTACCCCCGTACTTTGGTACTCCAGGATTACGAGAGAAAGAAGTTTGAAATTATAAAATTAGAATATTCAGATTAGACCACCCGTGTTAAGTGAAAGTAATAATAGACGATAGAATTTTGGATACAGTCATGTCATAAATGACCAAAAATATGCACAAAAAAGATCATGAAATGAGACAAAAAAAAAAAAAAAAAAAAAAAAATTATAGCTGGAACATAGCCGCGAACAACGCCAGCATCATAGCTGGGGCCACGAACGAGTTGGACAAAGTGCTGGCAGCACCGTCGAAAGTAGTGGAGCTCGCGCTCGCGCCAGCGCTGGTGCTATCGCTCGAAGCGGAAGCCGAGTCCGACTCCGAACCAGAACCAGTGCTAGTGCTGGAGCCGGAGCCAGCGCCGGCGCCAGTAGTGGAGCCGGAGGTCGAGGTGGCGCTGGACGAGTCCGCAGTGGTGGATGCAGAGCCGGAGGCAGTGCTGGTGGAAGAACCGCCGGTGGTGGTCGACGAGTCGCTGGAGGTGGATGAAGAGCTGCTGTCGGAGCTGGTTCCGTTGGAGGCCTCGATGCTCTCGTACGAACCGCTGGTGTCGGTCCACTTGTAGGAGTCGGCGGGGTTGTAGTTGGTGACGGTGACGGACTTCACGTACATCGAGAAGGGAGCCTGGGTGTAGTCGGTCTCACCGCCAGCCCACTCGATGGTTCCCTGGCCGTTGTCGGGGTCACCACCGGCCCAGATACCGAGACGCAGCTTCATGGGAGTTTGAGGGAAGCGCGAGCCGTCCTTGGCCTCGGCATACTTGACAGTGCGAACTGAGTTGCCGTCAATGAGCCAGGTTATGGATTCCTTGGTCCAGTCGATAGTGTAGGTGTGGAAGGTCTCCTGGGGAGTGTCCAGGTTGACCCAGGTCTCGCGATCGTAGGTAGTGGTGTCACCCTTGCCGAAGTAGTTGGTTTCGATTCTGTCCGTGAAGCCACCAACGCCCTCCTGTTCGTTGTTAGCTGTGCATCTTTCCTTCAGTCTCTTTAAGTGAGGCATACCCAGTCAATCTCGTCGAGGTCGTCCGACTCCATGACGATACTGCTAACGACACCGGTACCAGGAGAAGCCTTCATCTCGACATCGACACGACCAAAGAAGAAGTAGTCCTTGATGTCAATGGTAGGCGCATCACCCTTCTCGTTGATGGTAAAGGCAGCACCATTATCGTCGAAAGTCACTTTGCCAGCAGCAGTCTCCCAACCGTCGAGAGAAGAGTCCTTGGTGAAGTCGGTGCTGAAAGTGTACTCCTTCTGCCCATCATCGGGGGAGCAGGATTCTATAGCTGTTAAATTCTGTTCGATTGTTCGCTGAATATGGTAGACATACTCTTGGTAGGGTTGCAGTCGGAGTAGGTCTGTGCAGTGACGATAGGAAGCACTGCAGTCAATGCCGCAGCATAGCTCTTGAGATACATGGTGTCAGAGAACGAGAGTCAATCCGCGTAAAACAGAGGATTAAAGAGAGACTCGAGCGAGCGTTGAACGGTTAAAGAAAGAAAAGAACGAAAGAGTGGTAACTAGAAGAAAGTCTAGAGTAATAAATCAGTAATAATGAGGAAAGGGACCATTTTAAAGACCAAAACTAGTGACAGACTCCTGCATCCCTTAGTTCTTGTCCCCAGGCACTTTGACCTCTGACTGGCTTGTCATTATGCGCTGAGGTGGCGAACCTCGGGCTGTTATTTGCCAGATCCGGAGGGTCCCGTCATAGACTCTGCAATCAGATGGCGTTCCGCTTCCTTATCGGCCAATCAAATCAAAGTGGGGGTTGGAATTAACCGAGAACGAACACGGTGCAATCGACAGCCAATAATGTACTTCAGATGAGCTGTTTCACCTGTAGTGGGCACTAGTCTCACGACCATGTGGGCCCCCCCTCATGTATCTTAGAGTTTGCTCCAACTGCAAGGGGGAGGCAGCAACAAAGATTAAAAAACAAAGAAGCGGAACAAAGAACAAAAGATAATATTTTTGAGTCCACACGTGATCGCGTAGCCCTGTTGGCAGTAGTTACGTACTAAAGAACACTAGCCAATTCACCTATATTGCTCCATATCTCATTACCGCTTACAGTCAGCTGCAGCTGCCTAGTCATGGGCAATATCAAAGCTCATGGTGAAATGCGTTGTCATGGAAAAACCAAACAATTCAGCTGTCGTCGTCATCTCTAGCCTTGCATTGTATAGTTACAGGGTTGAAGTGAGACTTCCAAATTAAACAGATAGTACTTTGAGAAACCCCAAGTGTATACAATGCGATCATACATGCACGTCAGATTGTCCATCCTGTCCAATGGGCCTATCGTCACCGTTCCATTGCTACTCTCGAAGTAAATGGACATCTTTCGAATGCAACGCATGGCCCGAAGTTGCAAAAACAACGCTGGAGAGTGATTACGGTGCCGTCAGCTTGTGGTATGGGTAAGTTCCCTGCCGAAAACGGAAGTGACAGAGACTAATAAATACAGCAGACCATTACCTCCTTCAATCATTTGACACCTCAACAGTGTCACTCAACCATCGGCAGTGGGCGTCCATGTCACGATCTTCGACGGGTGCACTACTGTTTACGACCTTGTACTCTGTGGACAGAACCGAGGACAACCATGGCACATTGTCCATGTGAAGTATTCTGACGGCAGATTTCACTACGAGAAGTGCACAACACACAACATCGAAGTTATGTTCGTTACATTCAGAAGGGTGGTTGAACTTCTCCAGCCTCCAGAGCATCATTCGCAGATCACCGCGAGGACCATCGAAATCTCACTGCACTTTTTATCCACATTGGCTTCGGGCTATATCACAATTGATGAGAGATTGACCATCATATCTCACCTGAGAGGCTAAGCAAAGAGAAGTAGATGACGGGTCTGCTTAGGTTGGGCAATCGGAGTATCATTTATGGACCTTGACTGTCGAACAATGATCGAAAGTTCAATGGAGCGACAGTATAATTATGAGGATTAACAAACAGGACCACCTTATATCGCAAATAAAGTAGAAAAGACTACCCCCGGCAAAAACACCCTACTCCGTTCGAAGTACCAAAACGGAAATCTAGCAAGTTTGCAATGTTTGCATGTTTACACCATTTGCAACACTAACCCAATCCATCCAATCACATGCCTGTTGGGAGAACGTTGAGTGGCCCGTCCCGTGGCTCACGTGATCGCCCCCTCTACTCCATACTCTCAACGCTCAACATTCCATCTACACCATCCATGCACTCCTTCATCACCAACTCATCGCACAATCAAACATAACAAGCAAGATGTCGAAGTCATCAAAGATCAACTCGAACACGCACACCTCCCGCTCCAGCGTATCTTCGATCACAAGTACCGGATATAACGCCGTTGCGGCCGCAGCAGAGATGGATCGCAGGGTGTACATCCCGTTGTGTTTCTGTCTGGTTTCGTTTGCGGTTATGGTTTATAACAACTAGACAACAGCAACATGCTGTTGTTTTTGCTGCCGCTCTTGCTCTTGCTTTTCGGTCTTACGCTTGCTATGCTCCCATGCGAACTACGTCAGCCCGCTGGTTATCGTCGCTTTATCTGTTTATCGTATCGTCGACCGAGGATGATTGATAACGCCACTTGTTCCCCCTTTCGCCAACATCAACAACCACAACACAACAACCCCGATTTCGATATCGATTTCAACCTCGACCATTTATAAATAATATATGAACACCTCGGTCGCACCAGCACCGTTCCTGCTTTTACGATCAATACGTCTTGCTCGCATCTGCGACACGGGCATACCTTTCCTCCACTTTACCTTACCTTGCATCTGGTCTACATACGCCTACATACGTCTACATCTACATAATTCAACAATGGCCGGCCGACAATGCGTCCTTGATGGACGTGTACAATTCAATGCGAACGTCAACGTCAACGACAACGCCTTCGTCTTCCTGCTTCAACCAGGATGGACTGACCTCAATTTATCCCGCCTAGTCCTGCGTACTGGCTAGGATGAGTTGAGGTACCTGCATGCGAGGATGCATGCGTTGCTCTTTTTTTTTTTTTTTTTTTTTCTTTTGTTTACTTGCTTTTTGGATATCGCATCTCGATTTGGATTTGATTTACACTGGACTACTGGACGGATGGATTGGAGTTTCTCGGTCGCTTTTTGGTCTGATTTATCACCTTTGCATAGCTCAACATATTTATACCCCGGGATAGTTACACTCGCTTCCCTCGCGACTATCATATCATCACATTTATTGCTACTCAGATTGAAATTGAACACATTCATGAGTATAATCAATCATCATATACACACTATATCCTCATCTAAATAAACAAATGCAACCCCCTAACAAAGGAGACGGCTACCGCAACGTAACCAACTCCTCCGCACTAGTCGGATGAATAGCGACACAACTATCAAAATCCTGCTTCGTAGCCCCCATCTTCACCGCAACCCCGAATCCCTGCAACATCTCCCCCACACCAAGACCCAAAATATGCAACCCAACAACCTTCTCCTCGGGCCCCGCACACACAATCTTCATCTGCGTGGGGTTCTTGGCCTTCTCCTCGTCGGGGAGTAAGGTGTAGAACATGGCGGTGAACTTGGTCTTGTAGACCTTGACTTTGTCGTCGCCGAAGCGCGCGCGGGCTTCGGGTTCTGTGAGGCCGACGGTGCCGACTTCGGGGTGGGAGAAGACGACTGAGGGGATGTTTTCGTAGGAGAGTTTGGAGGATTTGAGCTCGGGGGGGCCGAAGAGGCGGGAGCCGAGTTGGCGGCCGGCGGCGATGGCGACTGTTTTTGTTAGTATCTTGCTTATACCGTTTGTTGTGGAGGCATGGAAGACTAACCAGGTGTCAACTCAGCCTGTCCGGTGACATCGCCTAGAGCGTAGACGCCCTCGACAGAGGTGTTTTGGTACTCATCGACAGTGATATAGCCAGTGTCGGTCAACTTCACACCGGGAATATCGAGGTTCAAGTCCTCGACCTCAGGCGCACGACCAACGGCCCAGAGCAGCTCGTTGACCTCGAGCACAGAGTCATCCATGCACACCAGACGCAGCAACTTATCCTTGCCCTTTCCGTCGCGCACGAGCTGCACCTCCTTGAAGCCCTCGTGGTTACGGTGCACGTTGATACCAGCAGCAGCATACCGATCCGTCATAGTCTGCTGAATCATAGGGTCGAACTTGCGCAGGAAGTTCTCGCCCCGGATGAACATGTGGGTGTCCACGCCCACAGCACCGAGGACACCAGCCAACTCAACAGCAATGTATCCAGCACCTACGACAGCGAACTTGGGAGGAAGGTCCTCAATCTCGAAGAACCCGTCGCTGTTGATTCCGTGCTCCGCACCCTTGACCTTGGGAATGTTGGGACGGCCACCGGTAGCGATGAGGATGTGCGGGGCAGTGTACTGCGCCTTGGAGCCGTCTTCGTTGACGACCTCGATGGTCTTGGGCTCGACGAAGCGGGCGCGGCCGTGGACGAGGTCGATGCCCTCGCGGTTCCAGTTGCGTTCGTACATGCCATTCAGACGCTGGATCGAGGCATCGCGGGCGTGCTTGAAGTGGGTGTAGTCGATCTTGATGTCCTTGGGGATGTCGTAACCGTAGTGTCTGCCGACGTCCATGGTTTCGTTGATCGACGCAAAGTTCCAGCACATCTTCTTGGGGACGCATCTATCCACCACGAACACCCCGCATTAGCTCAATTTCCCCCCTAGGTGACAAGGACAGTGTACATACCCCACGTTAACACAAGTCCCTCCAGCGCGACCACTCTCAATGATCAACGTCTTCTTACCATACCAGCCCGCAGCGCGACGGGCACTACCACTACCACCACTACCACCTCCTAGAACAATATAATCATAGCTCAACTTCTCAGTAGCACCCATTGTGTCCGAGTTCGAGGTTCCACTACTCCGCGCAGCCGGGGTCGAAGAGAAATGTCTAGAAAGCGAAGCCAAGCGAGGCGCCGGTGCAGATGCAGTCGTCACTTTGGCGTTGGAAGCAACCACGGTTTGAATCGTCCGTTTCCCGAGCGGTGACAATGACACTGATGAACGAGAACGAGCCAGTTGGAAGAATCGAGTCTTTAAAGGCTGGATGGGGAGGGTAGGGAGGGAGCGGGAGAGCATGGGGAAAAGAGGGTGTCGTTTGACGGACAAAGAATTGATATAATACAGAGAAGATGAGGTGGGAGGGGCTGGCGGGGAAACCGGATGCAGGATGAAAGCTTTCCAATGGCTCGGGTGAAACACAGCTGTTTCTTTATTGCTTGTTTCTACCGTGCCAATTGGCTAGAAAATAGGCTGATTAATTTCGCAGGATTTGCAATGGTAATGCAATTGCTGCTGAGAATAACGAATTGCTTTCAAAGCAAAAAAAAAAAAAAAAAAAAACATCAAGCTGGAGTTGCCACACGTGATATGTGCTTTATAAGCAGCTTATCGATGGGACTATTCCAGACCTAGAGTAGATGGAAGAAACAGGATGAATAGTACAACTCTAAGCATAAGCATGTCTAGTTGGAATACATTGAATCTATTTACATAAGACTTTCAAGATAGCAACACAGGCGGAGATATGAGCAAAATCTCCCACCAATGTCCAAAAGAGCAAAAACAGTGAAGAGGTAATAAAAGCAATGCCATATCACATTCATATACAGGATATTCATCACACATGAAAGAATGCAGCTTGAAAGATGCAGACCTTAGGAACTGTGGCTGTCAAGAAGCCAAGCCACGGATATCATAGATCAGGTGGGAAGAGAGAAGGGCAAGAAAGCGAAATGAAAAAGCAAAGAAACCGAGGTCACAAATCATCGCCCAATATGTAGAACTCGCTTCAAATCACTAAAGAAACTCGACAAAGTAGATAAACAAACCGATACGGCCACCAAAATAAAAGGAGGATGTTCAGGGTGAGATTGGGAGGGATCAGGCAGGTTGTTTCAACGCGGTATCTTCCAAAAGCGGGCTTCCAGGAACAGCATCCAGTGGAGCGGCGTGTAGAGCCGGCTTATCTGGAGAAGGTTCTTGCCCAGATGCCAAAACGGCGAGTCGCTCGTTTACCCAATCAGCAACTTCTTTGTCTTCAGTCTCCGCCCCGGAGTCTTCAGGGCCCTTGGCGGCTTCGTCTTCGGTAGGAGGTTGCATGAGTGGTGAGAGCCAGGGGTGTCGCAAGAGCATCGTGTACGAAGGACGGTTATTAGGGTTCTTATCCAAGCACGCGCGAACAAACGCATGCGCATCCTCAGAATAGCCTGTTTCGGGAAGAGTTGGAGCTTCTCCATGGACGATGGCCTGTTAAAAGGTTAAAAACCATACATAAATTTGGGTCTCGACAGGGAACTTACGTGTAACTGGCTGAAAATGTTGTTGAAAGTCTCAGGAGGATAAGGATAACGGCCAAGGGCACATTCAATTACCGATAACCCTAAGCTCCAGATGTCACTCTGGACGCTGTAGGTCCCGGTACTAGTTGCTCCCGACTGCTGCATACCACCACCGGCGATTCGTTCGGGGGCCATGTAACTTTGACACCCAATATTCGTCTTGGCAATACTCGACACCAGATTACCGCTCACACCGAAATCGCAAATCTTGATTTGGCCGCGACTGTTGACAAGGATGTTGGTGGGCTTGACATCGCGATGGATGATGTTGTGGTCGTCTTTTAGGGTCTTCAATCCCATGATGGTGGAGAGCGTTACCTTGCGAAGGATGTTTTCCGGGACACCCTGTTTGTAGATTTTGTCGATTGAACCGCCGTCCATGAATTCAACACATATATAAACTGCCCCTTCTTGGAAAAACGCGCCGTAAAAGTCAATGATGAAAGGTGAGACGCAACGATGGAGAATGTCCAATTCCATGATGATCTGGGCGAATTTACTTTCGTCCAGCTCCAGTCGAATTTCCTTCATCGCCATAACCACACCAGAAAGGTTATCTTGGGGCTTCAGTGCCGGGATTCCATCAGAATTGGAGTCGTCGGGGCCTGCGGGACGACTGAGAATACCTCCAACGCCCGTTCCGGGCTTCCTCATGTGCGGCCGGCTGTGTCGAACCTTGTATACCGTCCCATAGTTTCCTTTGCCTAGTTCATCTAAGCGGTCGACCTCATCCAAAGAAATGTTGAAGCTATGCCCGGAAGAAAATTCCACGCCACCACCGTGGATGACCGCCTTGTTTTTGAAATTGAGCGTACCCGTCATGGTATCAACAAACTCGGAGTATTTGCTGAATACCGACTCTCCACCGGGGGCAGGTCCGTCGGAGGGTTTCCCTGGCGAAGACCCGTTGGGTCCTGCGGCGTCCGAGAGCTTGAGGCCAGGCTTCATCCGTTTGGCAGCTAAGCTGCCTGTCGGCTTAGGGGCATTAGCAGCCGCCGAACCCGCAACAGTAGGTGACGAAACCCAGTTCTTTGCATTGGGACGGGCTTGCGGGGGCAGGCGACCAGGAAGCGGGCCAGGAAGCGGGCCAGGAAGCGGGCCAGGAAGCGGGCCAGCGATCGGCCCACCCGATGGAGGTGACTGCACACCACCATTAGGGGCTCCGGGGCTATTGAGAGACGGAATGGTAGGTGAGGAGGCAGCATGGGGTAAAGACGGAGGGGCACCTTGTCGAGAAAGGGAGAAGGCTTTCATTTTGGCGAGAATATCCTGATTTAGTCCCCCGGATGGCGCCGCACTCATGGACGCTGGGGGGCGCGGAGCGGGACCTCGTCGGGCAGCATTAATCTGACCCAAATGTGTCGAAGAGGCGGAGATACCAGCGGTCATATCCTTTGTTGGACGTAAAGATGGGATGGAAGGTTGTTGGGATTGAGGTGCAGTGGTCGAAGGGGTGGCAACGGGCGAGACATCATCGTCGATGGCATCGGAGCGGTCCCCGTCGGGGAGGGCGACAGGGACGTCTGTGACCGGCTTTTCTTCGATTTGCATGGTGATTAGATGAATAGGAAGGAAAATCGCTCGCGGAAAGGAAAAGGAACGCTGAATGTTTTTATCGAGCGAGGTTTTAAGAGAATGGTCAGGGGTATTGAATTAGGGATTATCTGACGGAGAAGCCCCTTCTCACACTTCTAGTGAAATCGACGTAAGTTCTAATGTTGTTTCGGTAATGCAAGAGTTAAACAGAGAATCGAAGGATTAAGGAGGGTTTCAAAGCAAGTCGAGGCCTTGGAGGGTCGTTCTGGCGGTAGGGAAATTTAAGAGCGAGGCAGAAACGATTCGACGGGGGAAGAGAGTTGGCGGGGGGCAAAGGCCATATAGCAAGCCGGCGAAGGTCAAGGATCGAACAAAACGACAAACAATGATATATCTGTTGGAGCAGAGGGAGTGAATGCACCGGTCAGAAAAAGAAAAAGAAAAAAAGAGACGAAGAATGGGATTGTTGGGGTTCTTCTTGAAGTCTTGTCGAAGGTTGTCAGACAAAGTGATACCATTCTATGAAAATGAACGAGACGGATGGCGCTTAGTCAGCGACAGACTGGTTTTTCTTGCAGCGGGACAGTACACCGGCCAATCAAACGGTGTAGATCGCACCCCGGAGGCGGGCGGAAGATCCGGTCGTTGATGTGGACGATTTCCACGGATGAGTTCATATCAATCAATACAATATAATGGAATCTTGAAGCCTGGGCTCGGATTATACGAGTACCTGCACAGACCCGGCTTCCTTCTGGCGGTCTACTTTGATACCGCAGACTATCTACGTAGGAGGCCGAAGTTGCTATCGGCCATTGATATCCTATCTTCTACTTGAAACAACGTCCACCTACTTTGATAGTCATCGCAAATAGAGCGTTAGAGTACTATGAGGTGAGTACGTAGTCTTTGCCGATCCAAGGTTACTTTGCGGCAAGGATAGACAAAAGGTGCCATAATAAACTCATACATGAGGCCCAGTATGTACTCCGGAGTACCCTCTGTACCCTGATATCGTCTTCCATAGAATGAACTCAGCCACAGCACGTTGTGGCTTGACGAATGAATCACCTGCTCCGATAGAGCTTCTGATTGGCTTATTGGCTACATGAAATCACGATGATCTGGAGGAACTAAACCGGATATAGCAATAATATTCTGTCCAGTGGCGAAAGCCAAGAAGACTATGCCTAAAAGAATCTGTAGAAGGCTTTTTGGGTGATATGGAGATAGCCTGCCATGTATCCCAATCAGAACTCCCATCCATGCTCTAAACTCAATGGTCTCGTATCAGGCTGTGCTCAGTGGCAAATGAGTAGAAATTGATAGTCCGGGGATGACAGAAACTCAACTCCGGCCAAGGATGGCGTGAAATCATGCCATGGCCATAGTTCCTCTTATTGGGTGCCTCTAGTCTGGACTAAGCCAGACGAATGGCCAGAGATATCATCAACTGCAAGGATCATGCTGGGCACTTCAAGTACTTGTATGTATGGAAGTACTTATATGGGCTGAGAACGGGTACTCTGTTGTACCTGTACTGGTTGGGCATCCTTATTCCATGTTTGTTTGTTTGCGGTAACCTCAAAGCATCACTTTTAAGGGAGCGGATCTTGGCTGTCGCCATCCCAAGAAACACAGCCACCATCTCGCATCATGATTGCTTCAACTGAGGTGTACAGCGCAGAGAACTGAGCACTGAAGAGTCGTACTTTTTTTTTTTTTTTTTTTTTTTTAGCCTTTTTTAGAGTTTTATATTCATTTTAATGAACTGGAGTCTTTTATATTATAGAGTAGTATCCCGTAGAGTACATACTACTCTGTAGTAGTGGTTTGACTTCCGCTGCTATCACTGTTCCAGAAAATTTCATTATTCTCCGCCGTCGCGTCATCATTTAGACTACAGACCCGCCTCCCATCTTCATCATTATCGACTCATTTTCATCTTCTCAACCATCTCCTATTCTTTCATCCCGAACTGCTTCTCCAACTACGCCGTGATTGATGGCCATTTTTACCGCGCCCCGATCGTTCCAGTACGCCAATTCCTTGGTCTCGCGCCAGCTGGTATCCCAGTCCGATACAGGCTTCATCACCCCCAGCCAACTCATCGCCAATGGCCGCCATTCGGGGCATCCACCTTTCTTTCATTTAGTTCTGCTGGTCTTCGAGGCCGTCCTTGAGGTAGTATGCGTCAGTTTACCGGGTTATTTCGCTGCCAGACAGGGCATGTTTGATGCGGACGCCCAAAAACTCGTCGCTAATCTCAATGTCACCTTGTTCACCCCTTGTCTGAGTATGCGCCCTATATTCAGTGAGAGAGATGGAAAAGGAGAGCAATAGCTAACGGCTGAACCTCTTTAGTTTTCACGAAACTCGGATCGCAACTCACCGCTGAGAAGTTGACGGATCTAGCCATCATTCCCTTGATCTTCATCATCCAAACCTTCGTGTCGTATCTATGCGCCTTTGTTGTCTCAAAATGCTTTCGATTCAAGAAGCGCCGGTCCAACTTCGTGACGGCTATGGCAGTAAGTGGTGGAACCGATATATCTCATTGGGTTGCGGTGGTTAAGCTAACGGTTACTCTATATGTCTCTAGGTTTTCGGCAATTCCAACTCCCTTCCCATCTCTCTCGTGCTTTCGCTCTCCCAAACTTTGAAGGGTCTTCATTGGGACCGCATACCAAACGATAATGATGACGAAGTGGCCGCGCGAGGAATCCTCTACTTGTTGATCTTCCAACAACTGGGTCAGCTCGTTCGATGGAGCTGGGGCTACCACGTCCTGCTAGCTCCGCGTGAACGCTATCTCGAGGAAGCGGAAAGAGAAGCAGGAGCATCAAGAATCGAACAGGGTCAAGAGCGGTACACCGACAACCCCGAGCAGACAGACCCAGATGAGCCCTTGATTCGAAGCCGAAGCCGAAGCGATCTGTCTCGCCGGCGCACTAGCATCCACACCCATAACGACGAAGAGTTCCATTCTGGTGACCAGACTCCCGTGGGCTCCTACTCGTACTCCAAGACATCCGGTCACGATTCCGATCATGTTGAGGGGAGATTGTGTGAGGACGATCATCCGGATCATTTCCCTCCTCTCATCGCACAGCCACCCCAAGGCCCGTTCCTCCCTCGCCAGAATACCGAGGGTGATATGCTTTCCTTCCCCAATGTCGAACTCGCACACCGGGAAGCATGCCCGCAAAGAGGATGTCTGCAGCAATTCCGAGCTTCTCTCCGTCGGGTTGGCAAGGGTATTACGTACGCTTGGGAAAGACAAGCCGGGGCGGCATTCAGGAAACTCCCGACTGGTCTACAGAAGGGGCTTTTCGGCGTCTGGGACGGGATTCGCAAGTTCGTGCATGGCGCGTGGGATTTTATGAACCCTCCCCTGTGGGCGATGTTGGTCTCCATTGTAGTGGCTTCGGTTCCAACCCTGCAGAAGCTCTTCTTCAGCGAAGGGTCGTTTGTGAACAGTTCAGTGACGCGTGCCATTAACCAGAATGGTCAGGTGGCCGTGCCCTTGATTCTGGTCGTGCTGGGGGCCAACCTGGCGCGGAACACGCTACCGGAAGAGGCCCTAAAAGACTTGGACCACCCCAAAGAGGAGCGCAAGTTGATCATTGCGTCATTGATTGCGCGCATGTTGCTGCCCACCATCATTATGGCACCGTTGCTGGCGCTGCTGGCTAAGTATGTGCCTGTTAGCATCTTGGACGATCCGATCTTCATCATTGTCTGTTTCCTGCTCACGGGAGCGCCGTCGGCATTGCAACTGGCTCAGATTTGTCAAATCAACAATGTCTATGTCAGTGCCATGTCGAACTTGCTTTTCCAGAGCTATGTTGTCTGGTAAGTCTTTTCCGAATCTTTTTCTCTATAACCATACTAACAATGGCCAGGATCCTTCCGTCGACTCTTGTTCTGGTCATGTGTGCCATGGAAGTTGTCGAGTGGGCGTCCGCTACTACATGAGTTATGTATTCTTTTGTCGTTCACAGTATGATGATATGGCGTTGGGGTTGGTATCGGGTTATTTTCTTTCCTTCGCTTTTCTCTGGATGATCATGTATACATATTGTTATCCGATAGTAATTTCCGGGAGTTGTATCTCGTACGCTTTGATGTCAACGAGAAACGAGAAATAGTTCTTTTTTGCATCTGTGCACTGATACTTAGCGTGATTATATAAACCCCACCTTCTCCTCACTTCGACTTCCACTTCCTGCTATTCCTCAGTGACAGTTCTGTCAATACTCGTCGAACATCTCGGATCAAACCCAAAGCGACATTAAGATCCAGATGATAACCGAAGAAGCCCATGCAACATGGCTCTGTATAGGAGGAAGAAGATGTTGATGCCAGTGCACCATTCCCGAGCGACAAGTCAGTATGAGAGATGAGACAGACATCTATGAAGATGGTGTCCACCAGCCCGACAGCAGACAAGACAGATGATGTTTCAACTTGAATTAGCACGTTGTATCAACTCCCAGTGCGACCTCTTGTCTTATGGAGTATAATCCAAGTCTCAGTACGAGTATTCAACGCCAACTAGACGTTGACGAGTCAGTTACGATGATCCAATCTCCGTTGCACTCTATCATGCCACTGTGCTTATCTGGGGTTGCTTCATGTCTTATCTCGTCCCGATGCGACTTTTCGTATCTGTTTGCCTCCTCTTGTTGGCCGAAAGCGGATATCTCACACGCGACAAGACAAACAAGGAGCGGGAGAGCTGAACATGAGTAGCTGAGCGGGCCATGTTCTGTTTCTTATTTCCACCATCACCACGCGCGGGTGGCTGACCTTTTTCTTGGTTAGGAAAAGCTTGCGGCTTTTTAAAGTGCGTGGTTTTTCGAGCTCAAACCAGCCCGTGGTCTTTGTACGTATACGAGCAAAAAGGGAAAAGTCACGAGCAGGGTGTGATAAGCACCTGATTTGACTTGGCTTGGATTCATCTTTTTTTGCCATCTCGAGGCATCACTTTTCTTCAATCATTCTTATGCTCTTCTATCACCCTATTTGGCTTTGATAGTTGATGGTTGAGATCTCTATCAAAAAGGACCCTGAATTTGACTTACCCCAAAGGTCCCGACCGCTTTCTCTCCGACGTCCCATTAAAAAAAAAAAAAAAAAGAAAAAAGGAACCAGGCACCCCACTTGGTCTTCTTGTGATTTCTATCTTTTCCCTCATTCTGTGACCCTCTTCTCAGTCTGCCTCTTTGTGTCCCAAAGATTCAGTGCAATTGGGCATCATTTTCTTGCACGGGGAACTGGCGATTTGGTTGCGCTGCTTTCGTCCGTGGTTCATTGATAGTTGACCTCTTGAATCGTTTCTCTACCTCTACCGGTGTGGCCCTCACAATCATAGACCCTCAATCTAGCGACTCCAGATCCCCGCTGTCATTCCCAGATCAAATCATGCCCTCGTTCACCGACCACAACGGGGGGGACTCCGGTTCTGAGCTGCCAGGTGGGTTATCCTCCCGCACTGTTCATTTGATCTATTCTATTTTTTGAATTTGGCTCCCCTTTTTGCCTTTTCTGTCTGTGGTTCGGCGGGGACTGTCTCGCGTGCTCTCCGTATTACAGTTCTTACCGTCCCCGCAGCCATCACCTTTTCGTCACTTTTTTTTTTTTTTTTTTTTTTTTTTTTTTTTTTGCTTCCCTTCTTCCTTTACTGTCTGTCTCCATTTTGAAATGAATTCTGACACAGGTCAAGGTATACAGCCTATCCTGGGTACTGGCCTCAACGTCCGCTCTCCCAAGATTACAATTGACAATGGAAATGGAAATACGACCATGACTCCGCCGGATGGACACGTTCCCAGAAAACACCGTGCGTCGGTGGGAAAGAAGACCACCGCGCGACCACCGACATACAACGAGTTCGCGCTAGATGATACGGAGCCAAACGGTGCGAATGATCCTCAGGATACTTTGTTCAGCCAGGTGTACGAGTGGCTTCAGCATGAGAAAGCGAAGCAACGGGGTCACAAGTTGCGGATATCGGGCGATGGGAATGGGATGGATAGTGCGCTGGCAAGTGATGGAGATGATGATGATGATGATGAAGATACCCACGCTCAACCGAGGACCGCTGCGTCCAAGAACAAGACTTTAGCCCTCGAGGGATTGGAAAAAATCCTGCTCGAATACACCACTTCTCGATACGATGGCAGCAACACCTCCGTTTCCTCCACGCGACGATTTGGCCGCCGGCGCCAGGGTAAGAAGGGTCTGCGCAGGGCCTCCGCCTCCGAGTCTGATAACCTGGATGTCGAGTACGGTGTGCCTTATGTTGATGCATCGCTGGATAACTCCAGGACACTGGGATACAGCGGTGGCGCCGCGGAGGACGAACAGGATGGGGCCACGACTGATTCGAAGCGCGCTAAGGAACGAGATGCTTGGTTGACATTCAAGAACGAGATTGTCCGTTTGGCTCATACGATGGGGGTCAAGGGGTGGCGGAAGTTCCCTAAGGAGTGTGCTGGTGATATTGATGTGGTTCGACTTAGCGGTGCTTTGACCAATGCGGTCTATGTCGTGACACCACCGGCAAACCTTCCACCTCCTCCTAGAGCGGAAGATGGATCTTATACTCTGGTTCCTAGACGGTCTCCTCAGTAAGTTTCTGCACTTTTTTCTGGCGACTTTGTCTGACTCCTTTCTTCTACAGGAAACTTTTGCTTCGTATCTACGGTCCCCAAGTGGAACACCTGATCGACAGAGAAAAAGAGCTACAGATCCTCCGCCGCCTGGGCCGAAAGAACATTGGACCTAAAGTGCTGGGCACTTTTAACAATGGCCGATTCGAGCAATACTTTGAAGCCCGAACCCTCACCCCAGAGGATCTGCGGTACCCAGACACAATGAAGTCGATCGCCAAGCGGATGAGAGAATTGCACGATGGCATTGAGCTGGAGAAGGAGGAACGCGAAGGCGGTCCTATGGTCCTCAAGAACTGGGATAAATGGGTTGACCGCTGCGAGCAAGTGATCAGTTGGCTGGACAAGGAGATCCAATCGGACCACAACGATGCGAAGGCGCAGGGTGAATCGTGGCGTCGTCGTGGTTTCGTCTGTGGTGTCCCGTGGCCGTTGTTTAGGAGGGCGGTTGACCATTACCGCAAGTGGCTTGAGGATACTTGTGGTGGTGCTGATGAGATTAAGCGCCAGCTTGTTTTTGCGCATAACGATGTGAGTTCCCTCTACGTTTGTTAGATTGGGCATGTGCTAATGTCGCAGACGCAATACGGCAACCTCCTCCGTCTAGAACCCAAGTCCGAATCGCCATTGCTACTCCCTGCAAACGAGCACAAGCAACTAGTCGTCATCGACTTCGAATACGCATCAGCCAACACCCCCGGCTTCGAATTCGCCAACCACTTCGTGAGTCCCCTCTCCACTTATCAAGATATTCAACCGCTAACCAACCAGTCCGAATGGTGCTACAACTACATGGACCCCGAATACTCCTACTACTTCGACATCAAACAATACCCAACCCCCGAACAACAACACAACTTCATCTCCGCCTACGTCTCCCACCGCCCCTTCAACGGCCAGTCTTCGGTATCACCATCAGGAACCCCGCGAATGCGCGCCGCAACATCCAACCCACCAACATTCAACCTCGACGACCACGACCCCAACCAGACCCAGAAATACGCAGACGCCGAAAAGGCCGCTGAAGACATCCACGAGGCTGAAGTACAGTTCTTCATGAGACAGACTCGTCTGTGGAGAGTCATTAACTCCGCGCAATGGGTTGCTTGGGGTGTAGTCCAGGCTAAGGTGCCAGGCATGGAAGAAGGTATCGCAGCAGCTGAGGCCGAAAGGGCACGACAACAAGGCCACGAGAACGGTCACGGCCAAAATGAAAACGGCAACGGACACTCGAACGGCTCTGCTGAACAAGAAAACGGTGGCGATGGCGATGACGATGACTTTGATTACCTTGCGTACGCGCAGGACCGGGCTATGATTTTCTGGGCTGATATGCTTGCATTTGGCCTTGTGAAGGAGGATGAGCTGCCGAGCCATGTGGTTGAGCATGTTAAGTCCCGGACTCTGGAGTATTAGTTATTTATTATCGTTGTTTTATCGAGTAATTATTGAAAGGCATGACTGACGACTTTGTTGCTGGTCCGGCGTTACGTTATGTAAATAGCAATGTCATTTATCACTGACTTAGTTATATGCATATGCTTCCATATCTGTTTCTTAACCCCCCATTCAACCTGCACTCCACTCCACTTCATTGGGTGCAAGCTAATAACTCTCCCAAAACTGTGCATCAATAGCAACCAACCGATTAAACAACTGATTCCTCCCCTTCATCCCCGTCAAATGATAACACTGCCCAACCTCCCTCCCACAAACCACCAACCCATCCGCAACCTCCTTACTCTTCACCGTCAACTCCACAATCAACTTCCCCTTCCACCCGAGCCCCTCCGTCTTCTTCAACTCCCTAATCTCAGTAACAGGGATCTGAAAAAGCACCTTACTATCCTTCTGGTTCTCAATCCGTAGATCATCCAGCGCACCCGAGTTCTGGGTAGTAAAGTAGAGTAAAGGCGGTTCCTTAGAGGAGTCGATGACGACTGTTCCGCGCTTGCGTTCGAATTTTGCTTCGAATTTCAGCGGGCCCATGGGTGCTGTTATGAAGCCTTTGCGCTGCAGCATGCCGAGGAGGTTTTGGGTGTGTGCGGAGCCGGCGATGGCCATGGCGCGGTCGAGGGCGATGTGGGATTGGATGGCTGTGGTGATTGTGCGGCGGAAGATTTTGAAGAGTTTGGTGAGCCAGCGGCGTTTGCTGGGTTTGGGGGGTTCGAGGGAGTCGGCGGAGGGTTGTTTTTGGAGGTCCGTTGGGGGGTCGCGGTTAGTATTGTTGTCGTTGTTGTTGTCGCCGTTGGTGATGAGGTTGTTGGAGTTGTTGGATTTCCTGCGGGAGATGGGCCATGAGGGTTCGATATTTGAGGAGCCTGGTGGAGGGGGAAGAGGGGAGGAGTTCATTTCGCCGATACGGAGCAGGGTTAACGTGAGTTGGGCGTTTGTAGGGACTCCTTTCAGGAGTGTTCTAGGATATTATTAGCATGGCAAAGCAAAGCAGGTGAGTTAAGGGACATACTTTTGCATATCCAAACTGTCCTTCCAGTTTGGAACTTTGCGGTTCAAAAAGTCCACTGTCCATTCAAAGACCGGATCGCCAAAGAATCCGAATCCGATAGCGAAACCAATGCCCTTGACAATCACATAGCTTGACGTGATGAGGGAGGCAAAGCAGATAGAGACCAAGATTCCCACCAATTGCAGACGAGCTGATATAGCAAAGAATGGCGGTGTTGGCGAAAAGACGCTGGATACCATTAGCATTATTGATGGCCTGTAATCCAAAGGACAACATACTTGGCAAATCTCTCATATAGATCTGTAATATCACTGATAACCCGCATCGTCTGATTCGTAGCCTTGAATACCTTCTTCTTCATAGGCTTCTCAGTCTTGTCTTCAGCCGGGGCATTCTCACCCGGCGCCTCTGTTGTCACTGGCACCACTTCCGTCGAACCAGGCATAGATGGAGTCTCCGGGATTTCCTCAGCTAGAGTCTCGGTTGAACTCTCAGCCACACCCTGGCCGTATTTCCCAGCGGCACCTTCGACAGCAACAGTGGCGACCATGTTGACTAAGTTGCTAGCCTCTTGCTCTGCTGCTTCACCCTTGTGTTCCTCCGAAACGCCAGTGATGCTATCGTGCGATTCATACTGCCCGGGCTTTTCATCGGGTTCAACCGGTTCAGGGAAAAGCAATGGCCGGACTGGCGAGAATATGATCAAGGCAATAAGGACGCTGGAGAGGGCAGGGATAAGGAGATCGACGAGCCACGCGACAAAATAGAACTATGATTGTCAGCAATTATATTGACACAAACTCCGGGTATCTGCATACTGCACAGAACTTTGCTGTCCGTCGAGGCTCCTTCCACGACCGCAACCTGCCAATATGATTGAAGAAACTGGAGAATCCGATGATCACCGAAGTATAGAATCGTTCCAAAGTTATCCGAAGCTTTTCAGGAGGGTATTTTTCGTCTTCAGCGCGGTTAAGGTCGAGCGCCTTTAGGGGAGCTTCTTCTGCGGCTTTCACATAATAGATTTGCTGTGCACGTGCTATATTAGCAAATGATCTGGGTCGCATTGACTGGGCGCAGATAAAACACACCTTGTTAAACCGCCGAATAAGCATCCATAAGTCCTCATTCGACAATCCCTCTGCTAGAGTTTCCTCCAGCGTCCTGGAAGACGGCCGATATTTGATCTCAGGAGGGTTCGGATGGTTCCTAGCCAGCGCGCTGTCGCCCGTCTCTGTCCGGACTAGATCATGGCTGTCTGTATCATCCAATGACCCTGGTAAATGTTCCTGGCTCATCGTGATGGTCAAAGGTCTAATTGGAGGAGATGTTTGTTTTGTGTTGGGGATTATTCGAAAAGGGTCCAGTTTTCAATCATGGGTTATGCCGGTCGATGACATCATACCCAGGGGCATTGGGGCAGTGAAACGATACCTTTTACCCCGCGTTTTTGGTTGTTTACGCGTGCTTTTATTTCTTTTGATGATTTTTGTACAAATGAGCAAGCATGGAGCATGGAATGCTTTGAGCAGGCATTGGGTGATATTCCTGTCAAGCTGAGCTTATGCTGTACCTGTCCGGGAAGCTTAACGTGGAGAAGCTGGGTGCGGACCAATCCGAAGGGTGCAATTATATAATTCCATTATCCAGCACCGTATCAAAGGCGAGAGTCTTCGCAAGTATCAAGTAACCCAGATCTCAATACGATTGGACTTCAGCCAAACACGTCTGTGACTCTGTGCTAGACTTGGGCATTCCCAATATGCTCAAACCACGTTAGCACCGCAGCATAATATCTAGGCCGGGAAAACCACTATTTCTCTCGATGGTTGCCACGTATGGGTCGGTAGTGGAAATGTCATTTTCCCTTTCTTGTTCCGAATTTCTCGGCGACGGCAACAGCGATGGCCAGACCAAACTAAGGAGAGCGCAAAGATGTTTCGTTGGTCGAGGCGGTTGCGGTTACTTCCCAAGGAACGGTCCAGGCTTCATCGAGCTCTCTGAGTTGGTCAAGTGTCATGGGGTCGAAGATGTCGAATGATTCGTCGAGGTAGGTTCCATTCTCAGTGCGACTTGACCTCTGGACCGTGCGGAAACCAGCATGCATGATAGGGACCTTAATCACCTTCACATTCTTACTGGCCAGGTTGTATTGGTGATCAGTGACGAAGCCTTTGTTGGGTGTGTCATGTCCGCTGGAAACAGGAATAACCTGGACAGCTTTTCCAGCAGTATTCTGGGAGATGTTCAAGCATCCATTGAGACCGGTGATGCTCCCAATGATATTGCCGGTACAGTCGTCGGTGTCATGAACATTAAGAGTATATTTGTCGTTGTTGAAGTTGTCAATTTTAGCTAGCACAGAATTGGAAATCCCCTCGTTCAATGCAGTGCAGGTACTTGGTTCAACGAGTCGGTCGATCCCAACTTGTGCGCCTGTACAGCGTTTACCAGTAAACTCAAGCACTCGATATGCCAATGATGTGGCAAAGAGCGCTGAATAGACTAGAGAGCAAAGCATCCTTCTTCTTGGTCCCGATGGAAGGGGGACGTTTGTCAGGAAAGGCAAAGGTTCTGCGTGCCTGGTATCTTTGCAGCTCCTTGCTAAAAAAAAAAAAAAAAAAAAAAATGCTGGTTGATTTTGTACATTGTGCTCACGGAATCGCCGGAACTTGTCTCCAGAATCTGTTAGCGTCTCGGATCAAATAGGACAATCTCTGCTACTCTGTTTACATGCCCCATTGTTCAAGCGAAACTAATATACATAAGTAGGCCATGTGGAGTCTTGGCCAGGATTCGGATTAGACTCGCGAGAATCCACGGTCACGACCGTTGCCAAGTATAATTATTGGGCCCACGGTGGATCATCCGGGCACTTTTGCCAGGCAACATTCTGAGACAATCGAAGTACAGTCCACTCCTTGGTGGATTCTGTCCGGAGTAAGGCACCGTTGTCCCGAGAGGCCCCAGAGTAGATTGTGGTTCGGCGTGGGCCGCGAATAAGTCGGGGTGTAGGTATCATCCTTTGGAATATTGAATTGCCATGGAGCGTCAGGGGCGAGGTTCAGGATCAATAGTTTGGTCAGGGAGTTTCCTCGTTGCTGGGGTGTCGGAAAGAGATGAATTTTGTTGTTTGGTTCCCCACACAACTAATTTCCGGGATGCCGAGCTGTGAGCCCTATGCCGCTATCGCAGGCCAGATACTCCAGTATACACGGTACACTAGCATCTGTACTCAGTTGTTATCCGTAACCTTTTGAGTATATATATTTTGGCAGAAGATAGGTGAATGCTCCAGCGAAGCAGGTTAAAAACCGGCGAGAAATCCGGCGAACTTGCGTCCACCATGGATGGAAGTTGAAGAGAAAGAGAGGGAGAGAGGGAGTTTACTTCTTGGCACCTTCCTATGTCATTGAAAGAAAGGTGACTATTGCGCAACTGAGTTAGGACGCAACGAGTACGCGCGTGACTCACGGCGAGTCCAAAGCCGGACTCCGTTCCCTTCAAACGTGACTCCCATTCAGCAACCCCCCGTCCCCATATTTCCTCACATGCCTTTCAAGCAAGTCCATCACTCCAAACGCATAGGCATACTATTTATAGGAGTATAGGAGAAAAACAAGATGAGCCTCATCCTTCCTGAGGCTCATCACGAACAACTCACACACACCCCATAGGGCCAAACTCAAAATCGATATCCACAGCATTGCCCAGAAACCCACCTGAAACGAAGTGGGATAAATATGTCTACACAGCCACAAGCCTTACTATCATCGTTTATCGCACTGCGTAGGGTAATTCGATGTTATCTGTCAGAGCCGCAATGCAAGCCACTGCAGTGGAGCAGGGTTAGATGGTGATACAATGCAGGGCCATGTAAGACCCCACGATGTATACAATACAATGCGATGCAGTGCCACATAGTAACGATCCGTCACGGAGGGAAGGTAAAAAGGGGTATCTACTCCGGATTATGTGCATTGTAGACCAATGGGTCAGCGCCAGCGCATAGGGGAATCTGCACACCAGGGAATAGCAGGGCATGGCAGTAGCGGGATATATTCTATAGGGATTCCGGAACATAAAGAACCAATTAAATTGAATTGGAATTGACTGAGTTGGACTGATGCTGGGTATGCAGTATCACTGCTTACGCATAACAGATGTACTCTATACGGAGTAATACGGCAAGTAGATGTCAATTTAGCACAAGTAGAGCTTAGCATGTTTATTTGCTGCATTAATAATTTACAATGAATAACTAATAATAACGCATGCTGACCTCACTTGGAATCGCGAATTACCATGGATAAAGATGTTCTATGTATGGGGTTAAATCTCAAGGGTACCGCTACTTGATGCAATCGTCATCATTATTAATCTTCTGCATACGGAGTACCCCGAGAACATAGAATGACAGCTGAATACCCGTGGTTATCTTCCTCGTCTATCGCTGATTCCAGATATGCTACCCCAAGGGTACTGGATCTGGCTAACCCGAATCGGAATTCGGGAACGAGATACAATGGTCCATGTATTCTGCTCCCAACGGATTGCAGAAGAAGATATAGATGCGTCTAGATTGTATTATATTGTGAATGGAGATAAGGTCTTTGTATAACCGTGGATGTTCTCGAATTAGTGAATAATCGCACATCATCAGCTTGCCCGATGACTAGGATGTTCATAAATGGGAAGGCAGACGAACTCATTGTATAACTAACTCCAGGGCATTTATCAGCAAGGCTAAGGCGTTGTGCTAGCACGCTATTAGGCTCAGTTCGCGCTAAATTGGCGTCATGGCACGGTCCTATTCAACGCATAACTAAGCACATCTAGTCCTAGTATCATAAACGCCCTATTGACCTCTTGGCTGCTCGGGTATATGAAAACGCAAAGGGTCAATGATTTCCCAAGCGCGTCGGCTCCCATTATGCTGACGTAGGGGTGTCCGTAGATCCCAATCATGTGATGGACCTGTAATGTATGGGCCAAGGATACGGCGTATCGAGACCGACCAGATCATCAGGGTCGCCGGATAGCTGGATCGATCAATGCTCCATAAACTGAGAACGGAAACTGTTCATCACTCTAATGTCACTAAGAACAGTAGACCAGTTCCCAATAAGGGACTGCATTGGCGATAAGGCCTCGCTTAGCGAGTCATGAAGACATGGAAATGGATCTTGTCGGGATTTCCGTATTCCGTACTGACAAGTGCGGAGAAAATAGCAACCATGGTTCTGATTGGGGGCTTTGGTCCGGGCTTTGAGCGGCGGGACGGCAATCTCCGATGATACCATTTTGGGAGATAGGTCGATTTTCGATTTTCGATTTTCCCAATAAACAGTTCGGAGTATCTACGACTAGTTTAGTCATGGACAATGATGCATTAGGTGGTGAATGGGTTTTTGTTCCCGTGGGTGAGATGTCATGGACGTTGTGGATATCGCTGCATGCGTCGAATTGTACCGTTTTCTGGCGCAACGTGGGTGAAAGGGAGGCGAGGTGTCAAAGGGTGTTTCTTTTTTGTTATTGAGGCTCAGTTTGAGTTGGGGCGGGTCTTTGGGGGGAAATCTTATCCCTAACCAGGTTAAGGCAGAAATCAGTGATACGCCGAAGTACGGATACTCTGTGCTCCGATTCAGTATGCTGTCCGCAAGGTCTTTTTTCTGAGGTTCTTATTTGCTTTTCTCTCTGAATGCTTGGTAATAATTATACTGAGTTGGGTAGTGAGTGTTTATCATTGGATAAAAAGAGGAAAATCAGACGAAACGTGTCATCGTCCTGAGGCATTCGACAAGTTACTGTACAGAGCGTTTCGTACCGTACTGTATTCTGTAACAGCGATACAGGGTGCCCCCCTACGGAGACATGTCACGGGGGATCTCGGTCTTAAATGGCCCCACTTTAGACCCCAGGATCTCTGCTAATATACGAATGTACCAATAACAGGCTCTAGTCTCAGCCGCGATGGACCCCGGCCCGCAGCTCCGGGCAGCGACCGAAAAAGAAGATGGGCAGCTTGACAGGAGCCAAACTTTAGGCAGTGTCCGTTTTGTCTTTTGCGGTCAGTCCGTGCTTTTGATAACGATCAGAATCCATACATCTAAACGATAAGATCACTCGAAGCTTCATTGGATTCTATTTTGATCATGCTATTTTATTCGAAGGATATGATTCTCTGGTACGGAGTAGATGTACACCATCACCGGCGCCTGGGGAAAGTGGGGGTGGTTGGCAAAAGACAAGGATCATGCTGGTCCGCATTCATCAATAAAGTTGTTCCACTAACCAGTCAATGCACGGAACATGGTTGGATATTCTCGATATTATTATTATTATTATTATTATTGCCCAGAAGTCTGGAGTCACACATCATCATTATGATTCTTGATCCATCGCTGCCATGAGAAGATGTAGTCTTACTACAGTATGCAGGAATGCAGGATGTATGTGCTGTGTTTTATATTTTTACTGTACAAGAATATCATACTCACAACGGGGAAGCCGAGATTCGTCCATTTGACCAGTGAGCGGTCTAAAAATCCCAACAGCAACCAACAAGCACATAGCACGGAGACCGGAGCACAGAGATCCCGACGACTGCACTTGTAGGGAATGAGTATTATTTCCCGATCTGGAATAGCACATGCGGCTCTTACCTCATTGATCGAGACCCAACCACGGTTCACTTGGGGCCGGTAGCTTGGCGCCAAGCATGTGCCCATCGGACGGTATGGTACGGTAAATACGGTTACAGGACACCCCAGGATGGCAACTGAACTGTGAATCAGAGCAGCAAGTTATGTTTGGATGGGCAATAGGAATGGGCGTCAGGGGATAATTCTAGACAGTATTATTTGCTTTTTTCCGCGGAAATGAGATGAATTAAAAAAAAAAAAAATAATAATAATAATAATAAGTTGTGGTTCGACCATATTATCTTCACCACCCAACTAGATCAGCATCGCCAAAAGAAGGACGAGGCTGTGGATTGTTCCCACTGGCCCTTTTCCCTCATTGTCCTCTTAAAAGACTTCTTTTAAGCCGCGAGCCGCAACGGTTGGCGGTCCTCTTCTCTCTCTCTCTCTCTCTCTCTCTCTCTCTCTCTGTGTGCAGTCCCTCCTACTAACAAGTCATTTTCTCTCTCATCTTCTCCGCCCCTCTGCCCCTCTGCATCTTTTCTCTTTTTTTTTTTTTTTTTTTCTCTCTTCATAATTTACTTATCTTCCCTGCTTCCTTTGTCTAAGAAGTATACTATCTTCGACAGGTCGTGTTACTCCACGTGCTTCCCTCGTCTAGGGTCTCCGTCGCACTGGTACCGGTGCATCCTGGCGTCTTCACTTTATATACTTCTCCTATATACCTATACCATCGTCCTCTGAAGTGAATTGCTCCAACATCCTTACGTCTCTATCTATACATCTATCGATACACAGATAACCTCTCGTCTGAAACCAACTTCAAAATGGTCGGTCCCCGTGGTGGTCCATCTCGCAAGAGCCACACCAAGTCTCGTAACGGCTGTAAAACTTGCAAAAAACGACATATTAGATGCGACGAGAGCTTTCCGCAATGGTATGCATTAGTCGGACTGAAGGATAGCAGACAAACGCTGACACCGAACTAGTCGCAATTGTACCAAGCACAACTGTCGCTGCGACTACATGGACTCGTCCGCTGCCAAAGACACTGCCTCCAACCCGCGCAAGGCCCCTGACCTCCTCATGTCGCCGGAGATCGAGAGTGAAATCGAGAACTGGCACGTTACCGGCGTGCCTCCTTTCCCGGAACTGCTCCACTGCCCCCAAAATGGATGGCATGGGCTGTCGCGAACGGATTTGCGGTTGATTCATCACATTACGGGTCTTTCGATCGATCTTCACCGTCGCGGATTCAGTAACTGCACGACCTGGGCGCGGTTGATGCCCAAGTAGGTGTTTTAGATATATTGGTTGAGGAGTATTGGCTGACTCACTGCAGCTTCCTTGTAGTTGCGTTGTTGAACGATTATGTGATGAGTTCTATTCTAGCCCTATCAGCGGCCCATCTTGCCTGGATTACCCGAAACAAAGATACCAAGTATCTCGCGCACCGTCACCGAGGGGCCGCGATCAAGGGACTACACAAGGCTATTGGTACATTCTCGAATGACAACAGTGAGCCAATCCTGGCAGCCTCGACTTTGCTGTCGTGGCAGACAACGGAATGGCAGAGTTGGGCATCTTTGCAGAAGGGAATCACTACAGTAAGTGACAAGCGTCTAACCAATTGTTCAATGGCTAACCGATATGCAGGTCTTGGCCACAATGCATCCAGCCTGGAAGCAAAAGTCAGAGATAGCCCAGTTCTTGGAGACCCAGAGATACCTAGGATGCACCAACTCTCCGGCCATGACCGGATTCCAATTTCAGGAGAAGAACCTGGTCCGCGTCGACCAGACCATCACGGCCCTCGAGAATGTACAAGAACAAGTTGCGCATAGCCACCAGGAGCACTACTGTCGAATTGGGGAGCTATTGGAGTTCCTGCGCCACTTCCGTAAGGATCTTCCCAAACAAACTCCTCAGGAAGCCTTTGAACGCGTTCAGCCCTTACGACGATGGCTGTTCTGGTTGCCTCCTGCCATGCTCCGGGGCGGAGAAACCGATATCAGCGCGCTCGCCATTCTTTCCCATTTCTTCGCTACTGCAGTCACCTTGGATGCGGTCTTCCCTAATTTGGGTGGCGCATATTTGGGTCCTCTCTCAATGGGGCCCATTGAGGACATCTATCGGATTATTGCTGCCCGTAACGCGACAGATCCATTTAACCCGGAACTACAACTGGCCCTCACCTTGATGGACCTCCCGCAGCAAGCAGTCGCCCAATACAAGAACCGCTTGTATTTGTCACCGCGATCTTCCATCGATTATACCTCCCCACCACCCCTCAGTCCTTATGCCCCGGTTCAAGACTTCCGGGCAGGTTCTTCCTCTTCTCCATCCACCTCACCTTCATACACGCCGTACACTCCTCCTCTTCACTCTCCCCCGGAAGTGGGCGTTGCAACCTCTCCATTCGAGTTTGTCGATTGCATGACAGCGCCGACACAAGCATTATACCCACCGTCGCCGGGCTTACTCTCGGATTCCTGCGAGGGCGTGTCTGATTTCTCATCAGCCTACCCCGATGACGTCCTCTGCAACGGTGGTCTCTCTCGAACAAACGACACTCTGGGAATGATTTTTGGATATTGTCCTCCACCAGAGACTAATCGGGACTTGCTTGCGCCCGAGTCCAACTGGGCATGAAGCGCAGTTCATACTTCTCTTTCCGACATTATGCTTACGAGCAATGCTTCACTTCTGATACCCTTTCTATTATTCACCATATTGATTTGACTATATATGATTTATTTATCTGCTTGAGTGACTGGTGTTAATTTTGCATGCAACTAACTGGGACGGATTTGTGCTTATTCTTGTTTGGATATGATACCATGGGGTCAATTAACGAGGAAACATACTACTTATTCTGCTATAGGCGCATTGGAATGACGAACATACTCTATTCTATAATTTTTACTATATTGATCCAGCCTTAATGGATTGACTTTTTCATCTTGAGGCGCTGTACCAGGACCATAAGCTAAGCTTCTGGAATGCTATAATTAGACATACCTAACTTCCATCCTCGTATAAAACAGTCAAACTCAAAGCCCACGTTTAATCGGGATAATCCTGACTGCCAAAAAAATATATTCCAGCCCTATTCGTATTCAATCTCATCGATGTGCCCTTCATAGTTCGTACCCCACAATGACATAACGATACACGTGATACAGACCACCTTGTTTGCATCATTGTCAAACAATTATCGGCGGGCGGTGACATCGTTTGTTTCTGCTTTCCTCCTCTGTTCAGACTGTTCAGGTTCCACGCCAGATCTTCTCAAATTTTATCTCGATAACCTGTTGCTAGCGGTTTCGACTGATTCTTGCACTGTGATTTTACGAACTCGGATTGCACTAAAGACACTTCAGAAACACACCATGGCTGACGGTGGTGGATGGAGTACGATTGAGTCCGATGAGGTACGCTCCTCTCTTTGATCTGGATTGACTGAAGCTAACAGTGATACCGCAGGGCGTCTTCACATCCCTCATCGAGAACCTAGGCGTCAAAGGCGCTCAATTCGAAGAACTCATCTCCCTGGATCCGGATACCATTCGTTCCTTGAGGTACCTACCTCTCCCCATACCCCAGACAAGCCAGGTAAAACGATACTAACAAAAACAGTCCCGTCTACGGCGTAATCTTCCTCTTCAAATGGCTCCGCGAAACAACCACCCCCTCAACCCCCACAACCCCCCAAGACGGCGCCTACACAACAACCCCACCCGATAACCTCTTCTTCGCCGCCCAAACCATCCAAAACGCCTGCGGCACCCAAGCCATCCTCTCCATCATCCTAAACCAAGACACACCCGCCACCAACAACAATCAACAACCGATAAACATCGGCTCTGAGCTCCAATCCTTCAAGGACTTTACGACTGGCTTCCCGTCTGATCTACGGGGCGAGGCGCTCTCGAACTCAGAGGCCATTCGCACCGCGCATAACGCGTTTGCCAAGGCATCGCCATTCGTTGACGAGACGACCCGCCCGCAGGATGAGGAGGAAGGCGGGGATGCGTATCATTTCATTGCGTATACGCCTGTGGACGGGGTGTTGTATGAACTTGATGGATTGCAGCCGTACCCGATTAGCCATGGCGAGTGCGGTAATGATTCGTTCCCTGAGAAGGTGATTGAGGTGTTGCAGAGGCGGATTGCGCGGTATCCCGAGGGGGAGACGAGATTTAATCTTATGGCTGTTACGCGGGACTTACGGATGCAGGCGCAAGAAACTGGGGATGCGGAGTTGATGGAGCGGGAGGAGAGGAAGAGGCGGGGGTGGGCTTGGGAGAATACATTGCGAAGGTCGAATTTTGTGGGGTTTATTGGGGAGGTGCTTAAAGGGGTTGTTGGGACGAAGGATGCGCAGGGGTCCGAGGCGTATAATGAGTGGGTTGAGAAGGCTAAGATTGATACGCAGAAGAAGTTGGCGAGGCAGTAGTTTATGTACAGTATACTGTATCTATTATGCATACATACCCCGGGTCATGTCATGTCTAGAGTAATCACTTATGTCGATAATGCTACACAATCGCTCGATTACCCGGAATGTCTGTAGATGTAGAACGGCTACTCTGTACACGAGGTCTATCTAATTATTAGCTAGTCTATCTAAGTACCAATTATAAACAACAAAGCAAAGGTAGTACAATTCATTAATCCCCAATCCATAAATGCATCCATTGTTTTACCAGGTTCCCTTGGCTATACGACATACAACCGCTCTTTCTTCTTCCCCTTCGAGAATATACCCTAGGTGCATCCATCATCTATGCAGACGCCATAGCAATAGCAATTAAGCAAAGCTTTTCGCAGAAAAAAAAAAAAAAAAAAAAAAGAAAGAAAGAAAGAAAGAAAGAAAGAAAGAAAGAAAGTGAATAAAAGCAATACACGCCAGTTCATGAAGTAAAGTAAAGAAAGGAATCATAACAAAAACATAGACAAGAATAGATTTTCAAGTATTCACTCCATTCCCGACTGATTCCGGAAAGAAGATCAAGTCAAAATAGAAAGAAAAGAAATGCAATGAAGAAGCGCCTTTCGCCACGGAATGTTGGAAACCGATGCACATCTAAATCTGGTATACAGTACGAAGTTTTTGAACAGCAGGGGGCGAAAGTTGCGAGAGGAACGAGTCGAAGTTGGGTATCATGTTTTTGTAGCCTTGCAGGACCTATACTTTGTTAGAGACAATCATCTTAATAGCTTAAGTGAGGAAAGGGAGGAAGGCTACCTGTTGGAACGAGGTCAAAATGTCACGGTAATCTTCCTGGTTAAGCGTCTTGGTAGGGAATGAGGCAATGGCCTGGAAATAATCCCCAAGACAAGACTCCATCGCCTGCGGGTTCTTCATGACCGCTTGGTTGAAACCCAAAAAGGCAGATGCCTTTTCGCGCGTAAAGTCGATCTTGGCCATCGATTTCAGGTACGGACTCGCGTACTCCCCGAGTCGCGGGGCGAGCTGGTCTGAGCAGCAAATTCCCAATCGTCCAAGAGCCATTGCGGCGTTCTCGTTAACCGAGTCGATGATCTCTTCGTTGGAAATGATCACGAGCAGTCCTTGGTACAGCTTGTCGGTGTACGGCGACAAAGGTGCCTTTTCGTTGATTGCGATTTCACCGCAGGACCAGCAGGCGTTGTTCAGAACGCTGAAGCCGGTGTGACGGTCGTCATCCTTGATCAGGTCAAGGTCCAACTGCTTGATCAAGATGGGCATGATGCTCGGAATGAACTGCTCGAGTTGTGGGAAGATATTGATCGCACAATCACCCAACAGTGCATACGATGACTGGCGAACCTCGTAGTTGGGGTCCTCCATACAGAAGCAGAGGAGGTCGAAGAACCGCGGCTGCGAGTTGCCAACCAATTCGCTGCTCTTCTGAGGATCGATAGCCTGGATGATGGCACTCAGGAGATCCAAGCTGGTGACCAAAAAGTCCTTGTCGGGTTCGTCAATGGCTTGGTTGTTGACAGACGCCACGTACTCCTGCAGGTTCTCGTAGATGATCTTGGTGCACCTCTGGAAAAGTGGGAGCGCAAACGGCGCAAAAGCGTCACCGTACGCGCCAGCAATGTACCCCAGGCACTCCAGCAAAGGAAAGAGCTCTCGAGACAGATCCGAAACCTTGTTGTAGCGATCAATGAGAGCAGGCATGAGAATATCCACAAGGTTAGGCTTAGCCAACTCTCCCATAACGCACTCCGCCAACGTCTGGACACAGTCGTAGAGAATATACATGTTGCGGTACTTGTACTTTCCGAAGCACTGCACAAATTGTCGGAGGATAGGTTCACAGTAGGGAATCAAGTTGGCATCCGACTTCTCCTCGAGACTGGCAAACGCAGAGGCAGCTGCCTCCTGCACCTTCTTGTTGTTGTCAAGCATCCTGCGCAGGATTCCTTCCATCATGGGCTCAAAGAATTGGGCCCTCTGCGAAGGATCTTCCAGGTGCGATGCCCACTCAGAGTACCGACCAAGACACCAGCAAGTGATCTGTCGCACCACAGGCTGCGCGTCTTCCAGCAACGAAATGAGGTAGGGAACGAGTTCTGGGAGGTGTGGGGTGACTGCATCATTGCACCCATCCGCAACTGCACCGAGGGTCAAGACAGCAGCTTCCCGGTGGGGCCACTGGTCGTGACGGAGGGTCTCTTTCAGGTAAGGCAGGATAACCTCGAAGATAGGCTCGTGGTAGACGTTGGAGAAGACGTCCAGCGCAGCAGCAGAGCACTTTCTCAATGTCCACTCGTCTTCTGGGTCATCACCATATTCTGACTCCTCGATCTCCCCATCGCTCAAGTCGTCATCGTCCTCCTCCTCGGGGACATTGCCATTTTCCTGCCCATCCGGTTGTTTCGAAGGGTCCAACCTGGAGGCTTTCGACTTGGCAAACTGAGGTCTGATTTCCTCCTCGCGGTCTTCAACATCAGCGTCGTCTGCTTCACTCATCAACCGAATTACTTCATCCTCGTCGTACACCATGCTCTCCAGGAGAACGGGGACAACTCTAGGCATATGCGGTGCCAAAGGTTGCTGCAGTCTCACCTGCTCACCAGCGACTAGCCAGAACTCCGCCGCATCAAGGGCAAGTTCCGGGTCCTCGTGATTGCGCTGCTGCAAGATGATGTAGCTGACCAAGCCTTCGATATGGGGAATCAATTTCTCCGGAGCAAAGTCCACAAGCTGCGCAAAGGTTTGGCACACAGTGCGCCGCACATCTGTGCTGGTGTCGTTGGCCAGTTGGAAGAGCTGCGACAGGAAGAAGTCCATCGAAGAGATCAGGGCTTGAGGTCGGTGCGGAAGGAAGATGTGGATGGTACCCAGCGCCATGGCTCGGACCTTGGGGCTTTCATTCGACGTGAATTCCATCAGCTTGGGAATGATCACATCCAACGGACGCTGTCCAGCATAATCCCGGTCGAGGATCTTGTGGTTGTCCTCGCAGACCTTGGCGAGGGCTGACATGGCGGCTTCTTGGGTCACAATCGGAACGTCTCCCGAAGGATTGTCCATGAGTGCGATTAGCTCTTGCAGCACTTCCGGCCATGCGAGAAGTCCCGCCTGCTGGAGCAGCTCCGTGATGATGCTACCTGCTGAAGCGCGCACTTGTTGGTCGTTGTCGCGGAGGCCGATAAGAGTGGCGGAGCGGATATATGACATGCTTTGTTGAGAGATTGTGTGGTATGCCATCCGGATCTTCGTTTTGACGTTCATTGCGGCGGCGATCCGTATCGTGCTGCATGTTTTTTCATCCATGCCCAACGACGAAGAGTCTTGCGGGGTGGAGAACAGAAATGTAATGTAGTTGACATAATCGGGCGAGGAAGTCGCTTGCACTAGCATCTATAGACGAACGATAATACAGATTAGTCCGCATTATTCTTCTTTGAACGTTCAAGGGTCCAAGGCAAAGGTGGGGGACGGGGAAGCAATGCGCGTGCACGGAGGTTGGGAACAACTCACTTGTTCAGCCTGCTTCTGGGCTGTCTTGTTATAGGGGTTCAGAGAATCCCTCAAACAGCAGGCAAGCTGCCTCAATGGCTCTGGTTGTGGTTGCCACTCCATTGTTCAGCGTGTAGGGAGGGTGTTGGTGGTCGACAAAAAAAAAGTTTAAAAAGTTGAAATTGTGTGTAGGACAAGAAACCCCGCGGTCAACGGTTCCTAAGAGGTAAATGTCGCCAAAAAGTAGAGGTGTGTCAAATCGCGATAGAAGAAAATAAAACCCGAGGATTCGAAGTATATAATCGCCTCTAGACCGCAGGTTCAGAGGACTTCGGGGTGGCTCGCGAAAGGAACGGATGAAACGTAGAGGGGAGGTTTAGAACGGACGGCCACAGATGCCAACAACGTCGGATTTGCCAGGATTGACGGCGGTCACTAGTGTAGAGGACAAACAATTAAAGAATAGATGAATTGAATGGTAAAAGGGGGAGCTTCGGGAGAACCGACAGCAATACACCCTATAGAGAAAAGAGGTGGGAGGTGAAGGAAGAGGAAGAGAGAGCGAACAGGAGGAGGGAGTGCGAAGAGGAGCGAGTGAAGAGGAGAGCCACCACTAAAGATTACGGTGAGGGGTGTATGTACGGTAACCTGTATCATGAATTTGAGTCTCTCCAAGCCTTGGGGTTTACATTTGCCCAAAGAAGAAAAGAAGCGACGAAACTACAGTATTTTTGCCCTTCTGGATCGACCCCGTCAAGGATGCTCACCTTTGTTTGGAATGGCTGTTCTGTGGTGCGTAGCCTACCTGTACAGAGTATACCCGATACACCAAGCATTAGCGGCGCATTACGCCCCTGGCAGCTCGACATCCACATATTGATGCATTCCTTTAATTGTATCATAATATGAGTGAGGGAGTTGAATATTTTGGTTTATTTTCCTTTTGCTACTCCGTACTGTCTGGTCTCGTAGACTCCGAATTCTGTAAATGTAATTTTACATTATTGATTTCTAGTTTACTATCCACTAATATATGACTAATCACAAGCCTGGCGTTAGTGGTGTAGCGGCTAGCATTAGTGCCTTCCAAGCACTAGATCTGGGTTCGACTCCCAGCTAACGCATTGTATTTTTGCCTTTCTTTTTTTTCCCCCCGCCAGTCCAGAAGTAATGGCTTTAAAATCCCATCAATTCCTTCTATCCCGAACCATAAGTCCCGTCCTGTACTCTGTAAATATGTGCAGCATTTGTAACTCTCATTGTGGTAAAGCAACCCATGCCCAAAAGTTCTTTGTTTATATCTGAACCAGGTTATATCCAGAAAGGTGATCATAGTCTCAACAGTCATGACATCTGGTAAAGTAACATGCTCTACTTTAACCGGACTGCTATAGTACTGCCAAGGGTGACTTTCTTTGCTTGAGCCTGTATTTTCTCTGCAGTAGTTTGGCATTGCTCGCATAGAATTGCGGTCCCATCGCCCTGTCCGAATAGCTAATCGTATAATTGATAAACGTATGCGTAAAATCGATATTTTCCAAAGACAGATCGGTAATCGCCGTATAGGCTTTAACCTGACCGTTCTCTATAGCGGGAACCCCTATTAGAGGCGCTCTGGGTCTTGCGGGTGTATTTTCCGTTTCATCAATAACCGCAATGGCGGTATTTGACTTGCAAATTCTACAGTTGGGCTCTTTGGCTGCTATATCAAAGTAGACCGAGTCGTGGAAACGGAGAATGGGTTATCCTTGTCTGTCAGCCCCATAGGATCTAGCTAGCCGGAAACGTGGCTCGATAATCTGGGGAACGACGTTCTCGTGTTGGTCGGACATGCTGTCGAGTAAAACGAGGTAGAATAGGGGAGGGGTGAATATAGGGTTAAGGAACAAGTAGGGATACCCGTCTGGTATGAATTGCTTGACCTCACCCTCGACCCTTGTCATGAATTAACCAGCTGTATGACACGCCACATGAAGTTCTCCTTCGATGCTGTTGATCTCAACCAGTCGTATCATGAGCTGTGCTGTCCAATCGGCCGCCGTTCAGGAGCTTGTGGTGCCGTGAGGATCAATGTAGGTGCTGTCTTGATCGCGCTTGGCAGAGTGTATGAGTCATAGGACGCCCTTGAAGTCTTCGCCACGGATTGGGGTAGAACTGACTTTTTGGGGTAAGGTGTTGCGGTGCATCCGGGAAAGACGCGACTTCAACAACCAATCGTGCCAATAATGGAGTCAGCATATCTTTGAATATCAGGATTTTCCCTTTCATACGCGAGTTCGCTCTTGTGAGCTTTGCAGATGAGTCCAGCTGTTGTGGCGATCAAGATCAAATTAAGCAGGAGCACAAAACAAGATACTTTGGCACAAACGTAGACTCCATCGCACATGATCCCTTGTGCTTCCCCTCCATAACCATGCAGCTCTGGAACAATCCATGGCCTTTCTGGCAATGGTTGCAGCCCAGGTCCTGGGGAGTGCCACCGGTTTGAACTTGCATGGCTTCCCAGTTAGTATTGCAGCCCCAGTTTAGTTTCTTCTCTGAGTAATCAGCAAGGCAAAAAAATCCACACCACAGGCGGGAGGCGGGCATTACAGCAAGCTGTCTCATAGTGGCTATTGGCTTGCCAGGGTATTTGCTCAGGTTGTGGACCTTCCGCGCCCACTTCATAATTCCCAAGTGTACGTGCATATTGACGCATAGGATGATCAAACCAACTTCCATGACATTTTGCAAAAAAGCAAGCAGACCTGATTTCCAGGTCGTGAGCTATTCCCAGCCAAATTATTCATTGTTAAGACAATGTATTGCCGTTTGAGCTGCTCAACAGCAATGGCCATGCCGCAGACCATAAATAAGCATTAGCCACGAGGTTTTCCGTCACTGCGAGGCACCAGCCGTCGATGTTGATTGCCCACGACAGACCATGCAAGATGGGGTGAAGCCATGCAGGTAAAACTTTTGAAGACATTGCAAAAAGGCCCGCAATGTCAAGTACCACACATTGTCGCTGATTTGAGGTGATCAGGTTTTTCTTATGCGTGCAAATACAGCAAGTGTCGAGATAGTGAGGGTAACCACGCTATGAATTCCTTAAACTCTATCTCTCTGGCGCTGTCCAGATTCAGACAGCAACGGTATTCAGCTCGTGCCTGGGCTAGTCGTTTTGATGTTTTCGCGATCGACCTGGACGAGCTGAACGTTGAATACAACATGATCCAAGATGTTCAATTATTCAAGCCATATGAGATATCTAGGCCTCAAGTATGTAACAAAGATGCTTGTGGTGCCAAGTTCTAAGATGGAGTGCTCAATTCGTATTTGAATGGAGAAAAGACGAGAACTGGGTCACTCGTCATTCAATCTACCGTAGAAGAGAGCAAGTGTGCTAGACATTCACCCAGCCTTCATTCACCCCTTGTTCATAGCGGTACGTTGAGCTATAACCATAGCTCAAGTACAGCCCAGTCGAGTAGACCGGAGCCCTATATTCGACACCTACGATCGTACACGCTTGCAATGCGGCAGGGGATATGTATACTCAGTACCGGGTTCTGCCTGGTTCGAGAGCAAAGCATTCGAAAGGGAATTGTACAAATTAGTTCGTCAAAATGACAACAAAAAAAAAAAAAAAAAAAAAAAAAAAAAAAAAAAAAAAAAAAAAAAAAAAAAAGCCTACGAACATCAAATGGGGGAAAGTCGACAAATGTATATATACCAAAAGGCAAAAAAAGGAAAGGAAAAAAAAAAAAAAGATGCGTTAGCTGGGAGTCGAACCCAGATCTAGTGCTTGGAAGGCACTAATGCTAGCCGCTACACCACTAACGCTTTGCGGTATCATTTTTTATGCATTAGAGCTTTATGACCTAAGCTAACTGCCTTACGTGCATAAACATATCTCCCAAACCCAAGAGTTAAAACAATAAAGAAGAAAGTAACATTAACTATCCAAGAAAACAAATGGTATATACAAATTCCCTAATCAATTTTATAAGCCAAGAAAGCCAAACCCAATAAGTCAAGCGGACAATGCACCTAAGCCCAAACAAACTTCTTCAAATCGTAAATCAAATGCTCCAGAATTCCCGTCCTCTTCTTCGCCTCTTCCAATGAGACGATGTCTGTTTTTTCCACTAGCTGTCGCTCCTGTCCATCTTCATCTCCCTCCTTATCCTGCTTCTGCTGTTGATCGCTAGGTTGTCTAGCTCGCGTGGCACGCTCAATTTCCTCACAGATACACCGTACCCAATCGGTCTCGGTAACTGTCGCGGATCCCCGTCTCGCGGCTATGCTCTCCGTAACCGAGTTATGAAGAGGAAGCGCCTTAAACGCTAAAAAGCGGGTGGCTGGTTGTTTGTTGCCTGTAAACCATGAAGCTATGTCCCATTCATCGTTACTAGTAGCAGCGGCCGTGGGAGGAGGTGGTTCGAGAGTGCCGGGATCAATCTGAGTCTGAACGGTTCTAGTGTTCACGCGGCGGATATTCGCACTATCTTCTCCCTTGCGATAGACGATTACCAGACCGACATTGCTGCGCTCGTCGACTTGGCTATCTGTCAAGACGGAGGTGATATACGTGCCGTAGTTGATGCGGGAGATGGACTCTAGGTCAATTCGTTCAAAAGAAGTGACTTTGTCGGTGTCCCAGTCAAAGCGGCAGTTGTAGACCGCGGCATCAGTGAGAAGCATGACTGATTCTTCGAACGGCAATGTCCGTAGTGTATTCGGTTGTCGCGGACTGAGCATCGTCCATCCACCGAGGAACTCCTCGGATTGCTCGCTGATGACGATCTTGCAGCTTGTATCGATGGCGTTCTGGCGCAGTTTCTGCATCGAGATACCTGGGTCTGCGGTTTGCATTTCCATGGCGAATTCGGGGAAAACCTGTGTCGAGACATTTCCAAGGAGGTAGTCAATGCAAGCTTGAGAGAAGTAGTCGTTGACGATGTTGTTGAAGTACCGAGATAGTGTCAGGCCGAGGTCGTTTAGCGCACCACGGTAATCACGCTTCCGGGTTCGTGTATAGTCACCTTTCAGGGCTGCGGTGGACGAGTATTGTTTCGAGATAGCATCTCCGTTATCTGCCCAGAGTGTATTGAACCATTGCGAGGCTGAATTACCGCCAAGGTCCACGTCGATGCCTTCTTTCTTCAATTGACGTTCCAAAGCCCATTGGCCGAAGGCAGATTGCGCAACGCCCGTACGATCCAGACAATCCATGCAGTTCGTCCGGATAATGCCCGTCTGGCCCTGGCGGACCTGGTTATCTTGCACGGCAGCATAACCGAACTCATCCAGAGTCGTGTCCAGTCGTTGTACAAGACGGCTCACATTCTCAAACTTCATGCCACGACATTCATTGTGGAAATCAAACCATTCCAGACCAAGCGGCGTACCATCAATTCCTCCAGACTCATTCAAAGTCTGGGCATATTTCTCATACTGTTCGCCGACCTTCAACTCTCCAGCCTGCTTGTCAATAAGCGAAACTGCCTGAACTTTTCCGTATCGCCGACTCATATCCCGGAAATGTCTCTCAAAAGCGACCTGGTTCGTCTGAGTCGAATTATGAAGGACCGGCACTGGCTTAAACGCATATGGCGACTGAGAGAAATACAGCGGAATAGACCCGCGCACTTGGAGATACGTATAGACATTCCTGGAAGAATCACAATCAGGAACAGAGAGGATCTGCTCTGTCTCCACGGTATTGGCAGTATTTCCGTCGTCGTCGACACCACGGCGAAGATATCGTAGGCCAGGCCGTTTGATTGACCGTCGAGAGATCAGGGTAAGAAGAAAATCACGTTTATGAGCCTCAGGTTCTAGTTCTTTGGTTTCCTCCTTGTTTCCCAAGATCTGGCCTTCTGTGCTTTCCTCTGACCCTTTCTCCGTTTCTGGAGATGGAGGCTCAGGGGCCGCTACTGTGAATTCTCGCTGGCCGACGAATCCCTGCATCAATGGCAGAGCATAGTTATGGGCATCAATGTCGATAAATGGGGAAATGAGGTGCTTATTCCAAAAGTACTATAGCCTAAGAGTTAGCCTCCATAGTAATAAGCCGGGGGGATAAGTCAATGCGGCTTACCAATGGATCCACAACCGTATGCAATGGACGATGACCATTGCGCGGCTCCTGAGCCCCAATATGCCGTGTAATATCATAATCATACGAGAAGAAGAAGTTCTGCGAAGAAGCAAACAACAGCTTCACGTAACGGAGCAACTTGGGCAGCAACTCCACCATATGGTCGGACGATTGCAAAACCCTAGCCTCTGGCAATGGGGTCTGCTCTTTCTCATCCAGAGTTGTCTCTTCCTCGGGTTTCGCTTCCTTGTCGACCACAGATTGACCCTCAGGAGTATCATTTACCGAACGACTGTCTTTCCCAAGTAACATCTCCGTTGTATCACGATCCACTGTCCCAAACCCAGGTAGTCCCAAGGTCTTCCTAGACAACCAGCTCGCCGCGAACCTACCAAACCGCACATTCTTCCCAAGCACATCTTCAGCAATACTAGTGATACTCCGACCTCGTGCATGCGCTGATGGCCCTGCAGTATGATGAGAGTCCAAATCCGGCACCGTGTTACTGATATCCTCGCCTGCATCCGTGTCTGTGTCTGCTATACTGCTGCCATCGTCATCATCGTCCTCGGTCTCAAGGTCACTGGCCCCATCCTTCAAGAGATGTTCCTTGGCTTGGGCAATTGCACGGACGGCGTCTGCGTGCGACGACGTAGGAATCAGGGCGATATTTTTAACGGCGTAGATCGGGTTTCCCTGGATCTGGGCGACTTGTTGCCGTTGAGTGATCGGGATGAGGAAGGAGTACGGTGCAACGGATAGGAGACCTAAACCAATCCCAGAGAATTAGAATCAATTTCAACCTTGCCAATCGGGTCAGTAATGAGTATAAGGACCACATACCAACTAATCCATAAGCCTCTAACCCAGCATCCTGCTGCTTCCCCTCAATCTCATCCGACAACGCCGATGCCGGAAATGAGGAGATCTTGCTCGTCTTGTACTCGATGCGGATTGATGAAGAGTCATTATTGCCGCCGTTATGTCGCGAGCCATTCCCATACGGCTGGAGAATGAGGCCGTCTACAGCCGCGAAAATGAGTAGTTTCCGGATCAAGCCCGGCATATCGAATCCGGTGGAGATGGAGAGGAGAGGCTTCGAGGTAGGGGATCTTCTTGCTTGTAGCTTTTTCTGTTTCGTTAACCTGCACAGTTGAGAAACGTTAATAGAATTTGCAGTAGCATGGACTGCATAGCTGTTGCGAACAGAAGTGCGTGGTGTGTTTGCAGCGACATGCCTGCTCCTGGTGCCTCCGTAGGCATCTCCGACATCATAGCTGGCGGGCCGAGAATTGCACCGCGGGGCGAACAACCGATAAGACCCCCTAAGACTATTGACTAAGACTATTGAAGACTATTGCTTGAAACAGACAAAAATGTCTACACAAAAAAAAAATCTATTCAAAGGTTTGAGGTCTCTGGTACATATATACAAAGCGGATTTTTGTGTCTCAGGCATTGCGCGTCGCAAATAGTTGTCACATCAAGGGTGCAACAATCGAATCGAAATCCAAACCACGCCTAAAATCATTCATGACATCTCTTGCTCCTATCCCATTCATTCCAAGTAGAAATACAATTGCATCCAAAAAAGTCAAATGCGAAGAGGTAAACAAAGACAAGAAACGGAATACCCCAAAGGAAAAGCGGGAAGAAGCATCAATAAACTGGATTTTATCGTAAGGCGGAAAGATAGAGGTGGTGAATCATAGGAAATAACGAGAAAAGAAAATTCGTATCGTGACTAGCTCTGGGCCAATTTGCCTGACCGTCCAGTATCCTGGCTTTGCTTGTAGGTTGGGCCTGGCTCCCCATC